TCCAACCTAATTTGCCCATCTCCATACAAATTTTCTCATATAGAGAAACCATTGGTGTTCTTATACTCGTATGTATTAATATTTTAAAAATGATTGGTTATAAAGGTAATATATGCGTCCCTGACTTAACTATGTGACGTCACATAGCCATATGTGAGAGTCTCCCTATATGGGGGAATACTCAATAAAAAGTAAAGTGTGAATTGAATTTCTATTTTGTGAAATCATGAGACTTACTTTCTACTTTTATGACATTTGATGGTAGTTAAAGGACTAGGGGTGGTGAGTTTGTGGTTGATGGAGTGAAGCTAGAATGACAGCGATCACTGTTGTCGTCCTTCCATTCTGGGAATGATCGTTTAAATAACCATTTAGGACTTTAATCTCTTTGGGTTGCAAAATTACCGAAACGATACGGTAAGATTAAGGCTTTCATCGACTTGCTGTGCAACCAATTCTAAAGAAGTTGGACATTCCCACATGTGATGAATGAGATTTTCTCCTTGAGGCTGATTGCTGAAAGAACATGGATTTCTGGTGTTTAAGGGTGGTGTACAGGGGCCATTTATAATTACCTAATGCAAATTGGTGGAAATGGGCCACTTCTCCTATTGGATTCTTCTTTTCGTGATGTATATGGTTCCAAAATTGTAGTGGATGGTCGGGAGTGTGGGAAGTAATTGTGCCATATTCTTGGAATAATTTGTATTTGCAACAGGAGCTTCTTTTTGAAGTTTGACAGAATGATACTTCCGAAATCGGCTTATTTTTCAAGTCTTGTAATTGTTCAATATGATCTGGACGATTTGAACCGATTTCACAAAATAATTCACTATATGAATCTAATTCCTGGAATCTTGATTATCAAATTCTAATTCTACAACTAATTGTGATAAATCATAAAATAAAACATAATAATCACTATACCACATAGTAGCCGGCTACCATGGTCATTGCTAGACAGCCACAGAGGGTCCAACTGGTGCGCCCCCTTGGGGGGATGGCCTAGCCAGGTGTCAGGCACGCTCCGGGCCGACAGTCCGAGTAGGGACACGTTGGACGACATGGAGATCGACAAGGGGCACCCATACGGGACACCGGTGTATAGTAGGGTGTGATTTCTTCTGGTCTCATTACTTACAAGCTGGTGGATGGTGAGTTTGTGGGTCGAGTAACCTGAAACCACGCATGAAACCATGATTGTTCAGGGCTTAGCTATAGCTTTCTCTGTCCAAAATTGAAATGCTACGGGGTCACTGTGAAAACTAGTAGGCGGCTGATGACAGCGAAATTCTACCAAGGGTAAAATAAGGCTCTGGATAATTCCGGAATATTTGGAATGATATTAGATACTTCTTCCCGAATGGGTTCCTGTATTCGATAAAGTAGATCTGATATAGCCCTGGAGTCTTCAACTGTAAATAGCTTATAAATTTCTTTAGCTCGGCGTCCCAAGACTTGATTGGAGATGTTCAATAAACCAAATCCTCCCAAGGGTTTAGGTGTCTGATGTTTTGCTACATTAATTCTAGGAGTGGATTTGTTACGTATCGCTTCGTATATGGTTCCTTATCTGGTCACGTTATGTCTCTAGAATATACAGTAAACATCCCTATATGCACATTAGTGCCACAGGATATCGCTTAACAGCAATACGAGATTTCTCTGTCCATTATTCCCTACTCAGCTTCATCAAAGGCTGCAGCTTATTATTTGGGACGTGTTGAATGAAGTCTCTCATTAGAGAAATCACAAGGAGTCATTATCAATGTCTCTATGTGGCTCTCAGATGTATCTGTACAATAGCCAGGTACAAGGCACGCATAGAACTGGACTTTTGAATGATGTAATCATATAACAAGGGCCATCTCTCCCGGCCCAGTCAAGGAGGGATACTTCTGAAATACTTACATTTGTAAAATGCACTAACAAAGCACATATCGAACTTTGTGAATCTTTTTTCTCCTGTGACGGTTTTGAAATCTCCTGGGACAATTTCCACTACTAAATCAATTCCAAGATTCCTCCTTCATCCTCTAAACCCATTTTTCACCAAAACCCCTCTAGAATGGGTATAAGTTTTCCAAAATGGCAAAAATTTAAAAAGAAATGGTCCCTAGCAGGATCGAACTGCTGATCTTGGCGTTATTAGCACCACGCCTTAACCAACTGGGCCAAGGGACCGTTCTTTGTTGTCGTCGGAAGTTTTGTGATTATTATTATGGTTGGAATTTTTTTGCATCACAAAATTTGGTCACGTGAGGTTGCATAAAAATTGAATACTATATTTTGGCTCCAATTTCAACTGTTTAACGGATACAATTATTTGGGTGTTGGTTCCGTAATGAATAGTGGATGTTTGTAATGTAGTTGATTTGCATTTTACAAGAAATGTTTAGTAAAAAGATGTCTTGGAATTGTTTTGTGTTAAAATTGGGAAGTTTATCTACAAAATTCACCACAATAACCATAACATGAACCCTTATATGGTTATGACATATGTTCATTCGAACATAACCTTTAATTCATTGATGCCTTCCGGGTCTAATTTAGGATTATTAATGAATTCAATTTAGTCATATATAGAGTACTTAAATTATAAAAAGAATGAGATCAAGAAAGATTCTTTACACTACTTCTTGATAGAAAGAACGCACCTACACTTATAAAGTCTGGGACCTTTATGGAACTTCTTTAACTTATCTATCAGTACCAGAGTAAACTAACCTTATGTCATCTCGTCACCAGGGTCTTACCGAGGTTTATTTCTAACCATTAGCTTAATTAGAACGAAAGGGAAATGAGTTCTGATTCCCTTTCGTTCTAGATATTGGGGCCGGACAATACAATTAAGTCGAGTAACATTTACTCGAGTATATCTGCATAATATCACACGAAGGTCGAACCAGAATCAGAAATCCTTAAACACCAAAGACTGAAAAATTTGGAGCCCAGGGTCTAATTTGAAAAAGAATGAGCCACACTACTTGTTCAAAATGAAAAAAAAATGCGGAGAATTTCTAAACTGCATAATTTTGCTGGCGGAAGTATTGGCGATAGGCTTTTAGGAATAGCCTTAAGAATGTGTACAGAATTTGAAAAAAGGATTGAGGAATTAGTCATAGTAATACTTATTTGGGTGGTCTACATACATCTGAAGGGAGTCAGAACTCCATAAGGGATGAAGGAAGGAAGGGGGGATGAGTGTAGTAAGTTGTTACCCAGACATCCAACGCAATGACAGGGCTGCAGAACTTTAATCCCTTAAGCTATAAGGGTAGATGAGTATCTCACACTTAGTTGTCAAACATTAGTTAATACAAACTAGAAATATATGATAGCTTGATTATTCAATCAATCAAAAGGTTAGAGGATTAATTAATAATTGTCACTTTTATTTTTGCAGCTTTTCTTTCTGTAATACCTGAAGAAATCAACCAAAAAAAATATTTAAAGCCTGCAAGCAATAAAAAACTCTCTCGGTAATGAGGAGATTAGCGACTTTCTTTTTACGAAGACCCGCATATGAAAAATAAAAGAAATCCATAAATGGATATAGATTACGAAGTTAGCCTTGATGCAGAAAGGTCTGGCTAGATCCATCCATTGAAGCATGATGTCTAACCATCGCATGCCCTTGCCCTTTTTTGAGATTGTATGTAAGAGTACGCGCAGTCTAATTGTATGTAATAGGGGACAAATCTAATCTCTTTCTTGTTTTTTTTAACCGCAAATGCAAGGGGCGTCGGGGGGTCGGGCGTAATTTATATCGATTCAATTAACAAAGAACACCCACCTAAACTGTACCTTCCCGGTTATAAATGTTGAATATTTGGAAACTCCTGCGGGGGTATAACATAGGTGGCTGCTACTACCACAAATTATATATTGAATATTACACAATGATTGAATGGGGGAGTGGTTCCTAATTTGCTTTTTCTCAGGAGTGGTTACAAAAAAAAAAAAATTAAAACGGATTGACCTGACAAAACGGACAAGAAACAATGAAAAAAAAATCCTTAATAAAAATAGGAGCTGTGTTTGAAAAACAATAAGAAATAACAATTTAAAGGATGTTAACTATACTTTTGCATTGTTAAATATATGGTTTACGAAGACGTATCCCTAATTGGATGAAATATGTGTCGGATTTGTTCTAAATATAAATGTATAATATAACTTTCGACTATGGAAGTTGAGAGATTGAATCAGAAAAGCATAAATTAAAAAAGAAGGGAAAAAGCCAAGAACTTTATTTAAGAGGGGGGGGGAGAGGGAGAGGGAGAGGGAGTTATAGTGTTGGAATACTCCTTTCTGACATGATTTTATATTTATGATCTAACAATTCCATTGAAATCATACCGAGCATCTCATGGTGAGAGTAAAATATGAAATAGTCAATGTGTATTACTACTACAACCTAACGAATTAGGAATAATTAGTAGAATTAATTTTTTTTGTTTCAATTATTTTTTAAATTCCCAACAATGGAAAAAATTATTATTTTTTATGTAAATAATTAAATAATTAAATTAATATACAGTAAATATTTTATTATTATTATTTTTTTATTTTTTATTTTTTTCATTACAATTCTTTATTTTTTTTTATTTTTTTAATTTAATTTAACTTTTCTTATTTTTAAAAATTTTTCAGAAGACTTTTTTTTTTTTTTTTTCAGAGTCTCACACCATTTAAAAGTAATAGGCCTCTCTCAATTTAATTACTTTTATAAATATAATAATTATCTTATCATCCCCCCCTCCCCCATTAAATATATTTTTATTATAACTTATTTGTTTTTCATTTCATCTTAACTATAAATCATTTAGTCAATAACACTATTCGATATCTACACACTTACATAACACAGAGATATTGGACATCCCTCCTCATATTACTTTTTCAACGGTTTTTTTTATTTTTATAGAAGAGGATTTCTTTTTTTTTTTTACAACTAAAAAAATTACAATTTCAATTAATTTAACAGATCTACAAATATGAATGGTGGTCTTGGAATAGTCTTAGAAGAGACAGAAGATAAAGATCACGATAATCTATTACATCATCTTCACCATCACCATCAACATCAGCATCATCTGACAATCCTATCTAATACTGAGATCAACTCATTACATTCAAGTTATACCAACATCGTTAATTTAAACTCATCACCCTTACCATCATCTCCTATATTTACAACCACAAGTGGCACGAGCACTGCCACCGAGAATAAAAGCAGTATCATGTCATCTCCAAAGCTTAACAACAGCATCAGTAGTTCAGATATTCCTATATCCATCATGGCATCAGCCATGGTAGCCGAGAAAGAAATGAAATTTGCTGAAGAATTACAACGAGAAGAAGATCAAAAACAACAAACACTGAAAGATGATATTTCATCCAATATAGAAGGAGAATCCTTATTACCTCCTTTACCTACAGCACCAGAAGATTTAATAAACAATGAAAGAATACCTTCAGTTGTTCTGGATGATAATCATTCCTCATCGCATTCAAGAAGTTCTACTATAGATTCAAAAGATGATTTCAATCAAATTTTTATACCAAATACATCAAATTTTTCAAATTATGTATTTGATTCTTTGGATCATCAAAACCCTCCACAAGATTTCCCCATATTAACTGCAAACTTGATGAATTCAGCACAGTCATCTATGAATTCCAATAACAACATCAGTAACAACAACAACAACAATACAAACTCATCAACAGCAACTAATAACTCAAATAACAATTCATCCTCAAGTAGTTCTCCTTTAAGAAAATTAAGAAGTCTCAAGAACGGTATTCGGAAACTATCACTTTCTACCCATAGCAACAACAATAGTATAACCTCATCAACAACTCCAAGTACCACACCAACTTCAGCAACCCCTGCAACATCAAGATTAAGTTCTGTCAATATCCCCAATTTGGCACCTTCCACTCCAGTTGAGAATACCGGGAAACATTCCCATTCTAGTTCAACATCTTCCAATTCGTCATTTTCTCAATCATCATCAAAAAATAATAGAATAAGAGGGTTAAGTCATAGTACAACAGCAACTCCACCTTTGGCTTCACCAGTTATAACAATTAGTGAGAATTTATCAAATAGTAAACGTACCCTTAATAATATTGAACAAAATTATTTCGATTCATTAAATCAAAAATATGAAATTCATTCAATTGAAGAATTAACTAATATTGATGATTTATTAAATTATTCCAATTTCTTAAATCAACAGAAAAGTTCATTAGATGATGTATTTAAATTAGCAAAACAACGATTGGTTGATAGTGGTTGGTGTTCAGAACATGATTTAAATAATTTACAACTTCAACATGATTCTTCTCGTTGTCAAATTGATACATTATTATTAAAAATTGAAGAGAAATTAAATCGAGAATATTCCATTTCATTATTAGGTAATAGAATTATATCTAATAACAATACTACTCCTGCTGGAAAATTAACTACTCCCTCCTCATCAGCGGGTTCAATTCCAACTAGTCGTTCTATTCAATTGGATGAGAAATCCTTGGGAATTAGTCCAAGCTTAAAAGTTTTAGAAAGTCGTTGTTTGGCATTTCCCGAGTTTTGATATCCTTTAGTTGCTTTAATATTTTTCATGATTTTTATGTCCCCCATCCTGGTGTTTTTTTGCGTTTTATTAACGGAGTCAAAAGGTATATTGTTTGGCATTTCAAACTAGATTTACAAGCTTCTCTTTGTTTCTTTTCAATTAATTATGACATTAAATATGATACAGAATCAATTTAGAGTAATTTGCTTGAATGTATAGAATTTATTTATTTACTAGAATATACAGTAGAATTTAAGTAGACTTGACGTCGTAGAACCTTCCCAAAGAACTTATCGCATAGGTAACTATCATAAATGCCACCACCTCCTATTATTATTAATACCATCAATCAGGAGAGAAGATACCATGCTAAGTATCGACTTGATTCACCGATGCCTGGGGCAATGAATGTTGAAGTTGCAAAATTTGCATTCTTTCGCTTCAAAAGACTTCCTGGATTCTCTCCTCCGCAAGAGCGACTCCTGATAGATCAAATAAGAAATCATAAGAAAGACTAAGAACTTCAAGACTTTCGAAATGAGCTACTCCTTAAAACACAAGAAATAGAGATAATGAACAAAAATTTTGCAACCCTCAAACAAAAACAAGCTTTTCTGCAAAGTTTCAAAATCACATGACTATGCATTTCATCATGTTACTCTCGTAAGTTCAAATCTAACTATGATTCGATATCATATTATTCAGGGCCCACCTGCATGTTTCGCCCATTAAGGCTACGATTACGAATGTGGCAGTATGTAGTTCTGTATTAGATTTAATGGATTATCTTTTTTATGAGTGATAACTCATTCGCGCATGTATTTACAGAGGCATATTCTGCCAATGAAAGATGTCATGTATTTTACTAAAATTGATTGGCGAGAAAAGTGACTGAATTTATTAGACATGAGACTTTTCTAGCAAGAAATATTGATGGACTCGTCTAACAAACGTGGGACTAATTAAAGTATCCACGAGCTCATTTATTGATCAATGCCTGAGATGATTCTCATCTATAAATCAATTAATTAAGAAAGATAATATATCGAAAACGCAGAATCCAATTATGCCTTTTTTTAACAAAAAATGGCGCATATTTAGTATGAGGACGTATTTCGAATGACTAAGCTTTATTCTAGCATTCTTTTCCCCTCCAATCATTCATTGATTAACAGAATGGTGCAGTGAATAGAAGGCATTCGTATCAAAGAAAGAAGAACATACAAAAAACATTTCTTTAAAAAATTTGCTTGACAAAATCTTATTTTATAGGTCGAAGTTTCTGAAGAGTAGTGTACTTTTTGCAAAAAAAACAATAAGAGTAAGAGTTACCCGGAATATACGTTTTTTAAGGTCTACATAAGACAACTTCGACCACTCAAACATTTGCTTATTACACAACCAATTTTATTCCTATAGCCGGTCTAATTATATCAATACATTGCCACATATATTAGCTGTAAAGTGGTACTGATTTCAGCTATTCTAAACTAAACTCTGGGGCACTAAAGAGCTGAATGCTTATATGTATGACTGGCAAATTGTGTCGGGTGGAGTGGAGAGTTTCAATACATCTCAACTTATGTATAGACGATTCTGAGCTCGAATTTTAAAAATACCAATGTATCTGTGTTGTAGACTCTTTCTATTTCGAGAGCATTACCGGAGATAAGTCATTGGATTACTTTTCCTACATCAAAATCAATTGTATAAATTTGACAAAAAATACCAGATTATATTGGACTTATAAAAGATATAGCAAACTCTCCGCATGCGGCAAAACCTGTGGATATTTGGATAATTTGTGCTCGTGTATGTAAGGCTGATTAATGCAAGAGGCAAGAAATCAGTAATACCAATAATAGCTCCGTTAGATCTATGTGCAATATATAAGTATAATGTTTTTTATCTGGTATACCAATAGAGGGGATTGGTTGGCAGCCACTTATGTTAACTGAAGAGAGCCTACTTCTACAAATAGGTAAGAAATGTGACTAAGATTAAGACATAGAATTGTCAATAATACGACACTTCTGGAAACGGCTGTTTCACATCATGCCAACAAACCAATTGCACTATTCCTTACTCTTTTTATTGTTTTCATTTTCATATTCACTTCTTCTCTTTCTTCCAATCAGATAGTGTAAATTCTTTGAATGTCTTCTACTTTGTACATGAATGTTCCATGCATCTTCCCCAACCGCAACAACCTTAGCTCCAGACTTATCTTTACAAACATCACAAGTATAGTGCTTCCAATTTGCTTCTGCTCCTAAGATTTTCTGACTCTTGGTAAATGAAGATTCATCAAATGGAATTATATGCATTAATGATTCTGGCGCTTGAGGATAAGTTACCTTTGTAGGTCCATCAAGCAAGAATTGTTTTGTAATATGAATACCAATTTTTGCAACATTATCTTGCCAAGTACTTAAATCTGTTGCATCCAAAAGATACAATTTCCCACCATATTTGAAATTAAATCTAGATTCTTTTTGTAATTCGGCAGATAATAACTTTTTGATCCATTTGATTTGATATTTCGCATATTGCCTTGTTCGTATTTTCATTCTTTCAATCCCTTCTTTTAATAATTTATCATCTTTTTTATTGGTAGTTAACCATGGCAAGAATTCTTTAAATCCAATAACTTGCCAAATACCACTCGTACAATCCGGATGAGGATCTTGTGATTCATATACCTCATACAATTCATTTATCTCCTCGATAGCTCCCGATTCTATCATTTTATCAACTCTTTCATCTAGTCTAGGTATCAACACATCACGATCGCAGTATACCCAAAAAAACAAGGTATTATACTTTAAAGAACTTTCCTCTATCTCATCTAGCTTTTGATCATGGTATAATTGTGATGGCTTCTCACCTGACTTATACCAAATTTCCATTGCCCTTCGTAATTTTCGTTGATCTTGTGGATGGAATTTCGAGGCAATTACCGGATCTACAGATTTCAATTGTTCAAACAACACGTCTACGGGACCGTCTAATACTTCCAATTGTTCCTTAGTTAACTCTTTGTTTTCAATTTTCATTTCCCCCACTGTTTTATTCTTAAACAAGAGATTTTGTAAATAATAATGTGTTCCACCAATAACAATTGGAATCTTTCCTCGGGCATGAATATCATCTATGGCAGCATTAGCTTCTTTAGAAAATCTATGAATATAATAATCCTCATTCCAATCAACATGGTCCATGACATAATGAGGAATTCCGTGACGTTCATCTAATGGATGTTTATTAGTGATGGTATCTAGCTTTTTATAGACTTGCATTGAATCGGCATTGATGATTTCACCATTTATGGCTTCTGCTAAGTCAATGCTAAATTGTGATTTTCCAACCCCAGTTGTTCCAACTATGCTTATAATTGGTTTCTTTGGTATTGTCATTATTAGGTTCTTGTAATACTTGAGATATCTAAGTATTTTCATATAATATTAATTGTCTATATAAATATATATCTACAAACACCTAATTACTAAAAAAAATATTATCGATACCAATCAAATCTCATCTCATTTTTTTTCTCCATACTAATTAATTAGCCAAATCTTAATCCGGTGGTTGGATTCCATATTCCCGATTTCTTCCCTTGTGGAGACACAACATCATTTCTAGGTCCAATATTATCATCACTATCAACATAACTATCAGTCGGCATTTCATTGTTTCGATTTAGTGCATGCTCTAGATCACGACTTTCAAGTCTTCTTTGATACAAATAATCTTCACAAGCACGTAGTACTGAATTCCCCTTTGTTATAAATTCATTATAAAATCTAGAACCTTCATTTAGATTAGAAATGATCTGTAGATATTTAGAATGTACACTTTCCAAAGCTTGAAGAGCATCTCGTCTATTTGATTGAGATATATTATTGGATATTTCATATTCTTCCAAAAACCGCTTGTTCAAAGTATCCAATTGAGATTCCAATTTAATTTGCCTATTCTTCAGAGATTCAACGTATTGTAAATCATTGTCATATATCCTCATATGGTTTTCATATATAGGTTCAAAAGCAAGTTCTTTGAAATTCCCTTGGTTATCATAAAATTCATTTCTTCTTTGTTTGTAATCATCAATCAATTTCGGAAGAATATTATTATCCCGAGCTTTGATCTCTAATCCCTGACTAAATATTTTACGATCATTTTCAAGATCCGCCACCTCAGCTAAGGCACCTCTTAAATCAGAAATAATAGCTAATAGTCTCCCATCTAGTTTAACATATGTTGAATTAGGAATGTACGATTCAATGGCCTTTGGCCCGCCAGAATATGTTTCCAAGTATGGTTTGATACCCAAGAACTCACTGAGAACCCTTTCATCCCCAGATTTAGCTTGACTTAGATATTCCCTCATCGCCGCAATCTTCGAAATCAATTCTTCTGCAGCTTCTGTCGTATTAGGACGAGTCCATTCTGCATTCCCGGACAATCTGTCTCTTAGCATATCATCCTCCTGTGAATCAAGTGAGATTCTGCGCTCACATTCATCAACCAAATGGGCAGCATCTTGTGCCAACTGTCCAATTTCTCGAAGGGCACCTTCAATGAATTCCTGTCCCCCCATATTCAAGATTTCTTTCGAATGTTCAATAATTGAATCCGGGATATTTTCTGGCTGTTGAATCGTGTCTATAGATGCTGGAAGGCCTCTTTCTATCAAGAATGAATTCATCAAGTTATTTAATGACTGTAATGGAGCTTGAACTCGCTCTCTAATGAAATCATCTTGTCTTTCTCTCAATGCTTGTGCTACATGGATTATCATATATGGAATCAAGTCTTTGAAAACCTGCCTTTCCGAAATTGGACTTGTCAATCCATCTGGACATATTGGTTTCACCATATCAACTCCAGCAATTGGTTTTAAGTCATTTTCACCAGGGACAACTTTTAAATATACTAAATCATTATCTTTCTCTGCCGTTTTTAACGTGGCACTAACTATATCCGAAAGACCTTGCAAATCTTCCAATACAAATGAACTTACATATTTTTTATATTTAAATGCATTTTTAATATTCTTTGAGCTTATTCTCAAATGAGCAACTTGTTCTCCATATTGAAAATTATCTTGAGCTATCTTTGCAGTTCTAAAATGGCCAGCAGCTTTAAAATGGAACATTTTCACAGCAATATGATTAATCCATTCCAATTTAATAAACTCAGAACTATTCCCACATTTAAATGCTCGCGAGTAATACTCTGACGTTTGTACAGCTAATCTAGAAATAACCGAATCTTTAGCACCTGGATTAGCAACTGCCTTTTGCCAGATAGTTTCCTGAGCTTGTGCCAACATAAGCTGTATCAAACAATTTAGAGTCTCTTTTTCTAAATCCTGCGGAGAGATATGATCCTTAGTTTCTCGTTCAAGTAGATCAGTCATTAATTGGAAAACTCCAGCTGATAATTGGAAATACATACATGCTTGTTTCAATCCATTATCAGTATGCCTCAGTTCTTTTAATGCAAATTGGGAATATAAACTACCCAATTGGAACATAATGTTTAATTCTTCAAATTTTAACGATCGCGATTTATAAGGCCCACTAGGTCCATATGTCAATGTTCCGAACCAACCAAACTCAATACATGTTTCGGGGAACTTGCTACGAATCATTTCGAGGATGGCATAGTATTGTAATAGGATTGACTCATCTTCCTTTGTATTTGTTTCATTCTTAATGTTTGCAATTCTATCACGTAAATTTCCAACATATAATAAATCATCTTCAAATGAAGACGGAGGTTGGAAGAAATCTTTATTAATGACTTGACGAAGTTCATCATTAAGATTGAGTGGACGTGACAGTCGTAGTGGAACATATAATAAGTTTGTATTCATATTCCTGTTATATGGATTTGAACGTGGGGTGAAGTGAAAAGAAATGAAATGTCAACAGAAGAATTTTGTTTTTCTTTATCGATGCTGTTCGTGAATAAATAAAAGCGGATTCTATAAATTATATAAATTACAAACTGAAATGAAATGAGCTCACCTCCTTTGAATCCTAAGAGTACGTATTCGATCTTCAATTGGAGCTTTTGCCTTATTTAAATCGTCGACGAATTTATGAAGTCGTTCAGATTCAGCAGCAATTGCAGTCTCTTCCTCCAAAAGTCGTTTACATACAAAATTATAATCCTCATCTACCTCACGGAGTTCCTGAAAAGTTATAGCTATCAGTTGCGATTTGTCATTGCTATCTGGCTGTTTGAGTACATCTTCGAGCTCTTTCTGCTTTTCTTCTGAGGATCTATACAACTCATGTAATTTGTTCACAATCTTTTCCCCCACAGCATGAGAACAAGGAAGTCCAAAGTTACTGGAAACGGGCTTAGGAATCGAGCCAATGGAGGACATTTCTTGGTCTACTTCTTTGTTGACAGTTTCAAAGCTTTCCTCATCCAAGTCTTCAACCAATGGGGCTCGATACGCGGAGTCATAAAATCGTCTATAATCAGAGCGTATCAATTTCTGCATTTCGTCATTTATTAATATATCCAATTCTGACACCGAACCATCAGTTTCAGAGCTTCTATCGATCCTCGGTACTGGCAATCCTCTTTGAATTGCCTGAGACCTACGCAATTTGGCCTTTTCCTCATCTAATTGTTGTAATAGCTCCAAATCTTTTAGTCTCTCTCCCTGATCTTGTTGCCAACTATCTGTTACATTTAAAGCTTCATTTTCATTTAAGACTGATCCTACTGGTACCGGAACTGGATTTTGGTGATGCTTAGCTGGTTTCGGAATTGATCCCAATGAGGTCTTAAACAATTCCACTATTTTAGACTTAGCAGCTTTGGAAATTATCGGTGCGGGCCCCGGACTTTCCTGCTTGGAACTTACAACCGAAGCATCTATCAGAGGAATTGGTAAATTAAGCTTCCTCCTTTTTGTTATTTCATTTTCTTTCAATTCCCCAACAAAATTAGCTGCTTCTTCAATCTCCAACTTATGTTTATTCGTTTGTTTCTGTTCACCCTTTTTAATATCCTTTGACTTTTTGTCTCTGTTATGTTGTTCCATTTGAATACCAGATCTTGACACTTCTTTACTAAACTGGAATTTCTTTGAATCATTCTGGGATATTTCTTCAGATACATCATATAAACCTTCCGGTATAGCATGTTCATGGGGGATATCAGCATTATAGTCGAACTCTTTTCGGCTTTTCTTTTTATTCTTTGCATCCAAATTAAAGGAAATCCCCGCTGCTTTTAATTCGCGTCTCTTTTGTAATAAAGCAATTCGTTTACTTTCTTCTAACATTCTTTCTCTTGCTTTCCTTTTTGCTTTTTTACCTTGAGTATTAGCTAATCTTGCTTTTGCTTCCGCCAACATTTCTCGTTCTTCATCATTCATATCTTCTTCATCGGGTCGAGCTGGACGACTTTCAGGATTGATATTCAAATCACCCGCTTTTTCCAACGAAGGTCCAGTGGCTGGTAATGATTCTATTCCTGGTCCGGTCAACCCAAGACTTTCTTCATGATCGTTATCTTGTGTTGTTGGGGCGATGCCTGCTGCCTCATCGATTAATTTTTGATATCGTTCAACACAATGAGTGGCCGTACGTCCCACCATTGATGCAATTGTTCTCCATTGATTTGGAAGTAATTTAGCCAAGTTCAATAATTTATCATCTTGTTCTCTAGTCCAATCTGATTTATCTATATTTGGATTTATCCATTCATTCCATCTTGCTTTTGCTTGTTTTGCTGATTTTTTAGGTAATAAGGAGGCTACTCTTGCCCATTGATTTAAACCATATTTTGAGACAGCTGCCTTAAGGATTTCATCCTCAACGTTAGTCCAAACCCCTCCTTTCACATATACAGGTGCCATAATTCTTGGGTGGATAATGAAAATATATACTTTACCCCACTTAATATAACCTTATGAAATCATAAGATGATGATATCTCATCGTTCCATTGTAAGGCAAAATTGGACCAACACAAATTTAGAACATAAATACAATCACGTGCTTCTTGCTTCTTTCTCACTCTCACCCGAAAAAAGATTTTCTTTTCTTTTTACTCCTATAAATTTATTATAATTGCCCACATTCTTACAGTACTACCTCACCAGTCATTGTCTGTTTAACAACACATTTTGCGTTTGCTTAGGTTGATTTCGGTTGGGTGTTTTTTTTTTTTGTGGTTTTGAAAAATTTCCATAATTTGATAGTTTCCCTAATCAGGTTAGACGAAGTTACAATTAAATAAAAAACAATAGAAGTTTACACCTTACTTACAAATCATATACATACACATATACTTCAACCATATCGGGTTTATGATATTTAATTAACATAATAAGTCTTTCCTTTTTCCCCCCATTAAAATAGATCAAACATTTTATAGAGTTTTTTTTTTTACAACCAACCAAATTATCATCACCAGTTCACAAACAGAATCCCTTCAAGTCAAAAATAGAATATGTCAATGAAGAAACTATTTAGACATAAACATCAAAACTTAATTGAACAATGTTATCCTCCAGGAAAAGCAGTAGATAAGAAAGCTAATCCATCTGAATTAAGTTATTTATTATACTATGCATCAACTCGTCGAGTTAAATTAGAAAAAGTCATTAAATATTTAGAAGAAAGAACTGCTCATCATGCCAAACATAATAGAACTGGTAATTTACAAGTCACATTACAAATAGTTAAAGGATTAATTGAAAAGTGTTCTGATAATTTAAATGTATTTGCACAACAGGTTTGTGGTATTTTAAGAATCGCATTAGATACAAAAGATATTGCATTATGTAAAAGTGCTGTACTGACATATGCAGTATTTTGTGAAAAATTAGAAGGTCCATTATTCACTGGTGATAAAATATTTGTTGTCAAATTTACTGAGATTACAAAGAGTTTGATATCATATGGAAAATGTGGATCTGGTCCAAATCAATATGAATGGCAAATGATTTCTCTTGTTGCCATATCTCATTTATGTAAATGTCTTGGTCATAATGCAAGTGTTAGCAAACAATTTATTGTAATGTCAATTCCGATGTTAGCAGGTATGATCCATACAAATACTCCTGAACCAGTTATTTTAAGTAGATTACGTTCAAATGTTAATGTTGAATCAGAAGATCAAAGACTTTCTAGAATTGTACTGTCAAAAAATTACCATCGAAATATTAGTGAACAAATTAATGACAATTTTGAAAATGATGAATTAACTTTAGATGATATAACAGAAGCTGCATTTACTGCCATGAAGGCATTTTTTGATACAAATTCCACCAATCAAGTTTTAGAAGCTACTAAAGCAGTTATTGACTATAATATTTATAATATTGCTGATTTAGATAGAGGAGTTACATTTTTGGAATTATGCATATCTTGGGTACCTATTCAATTACGTTTTATTGGATTAACCACTATATTAATAACATTAACTGAAGTTAACAAAGGAGTAAATGAAGAAGAATATCAATTCCAATATCAATATGCCCATCACTTGTTGGGATTACTTTCTTCAAAAGTTAACATGATTGGTCTTTCTGTCACTGACATTATTCAACAATTACTTGGTTTGCAAAGTGATATCATCTTAAAACCAAACCGATTAACCAAAGAACAAGGAGATATTTTAACCGATATTTATTCAGATTGTATTTGCAATCTTACTACTCACATTTATTATTTTGATCAAGTACCTGATTCAGTTCAAGAAATTTTGGTTAAAATTGAATATACTTTGGATAGTTCATTTATTGATCCAACTGATCCAACTGATGAAGCTCCAACAGCAAACCAAGTCCATGATTTAATTATTCAATTTTTAACTAACGTTTCTAAAATATTCACTATTTTAAGATCAAAATCAAGTTCAATTAGTCGTAATCATGCTAGTTTGGAACATTGGGAACATACTGTCGAGTTTTTAGCCCCACAAGGAGAATATGAAGATAAAACAACCGTGTTGAGTAATTATCAAATTAATAATATTCAAAGAAAATTTTTACAAGTTTTTGATGACTTTTTGAATAATGAATTAGCATCTAGTGTTCAGAGTTCGGATAATATTAGTGAGGGGATGGACTCAGATAGTAAATTAGATTCAGCAACCACACCTAGTGGAAGAAGAAATTCAACAGACGCTTTTGGTAGTGGGATTCATGGAACTGCAAATGATTTATTAAGACCAAATGTTAATCGATACATTGCTGTTCAACAAAATTTCATAAGTCATTTCTTGATATATGTTGAGAAATTCTTTGATGAATATCCATCGGCAGATATTGATTTATTGGTATTGTTAACTACTGTATTAAAGGATATGATTGATATATTGGGGATGAATTTCTTGGCCAATTTTATTCCATTTTTCCATCATTGGAGTCTCGGTCCTCATGTTGATGAACCTAATGAAAGACAGAAACTTCAAGATACTCTTGGTTACACTTTGATGTATTATAGTATTAGTAGGTTGGATGAACAATATGTGAAAAATTTGGACGGGTATGCTAAGTCATCTGAACTTTATGAATTAATATTGGATGCAGTTGATTATAGAAAGAAGCGTGGGTTTTGGTTATCGAATATTGAAGGTTCTGATTCAGAATTGGAAACTGCAGTTTTGGGTAGAGCAATTAAGAGTGATAAACTCATCAGAGTTCAGAAGAAAGATATTGAAGATTTTGCATGTGGTAATAATAGTCTAATTGTTTGGTTACACCCTCAAAAACCATATATAACAGATATAGATCGAACTGGAACTGGAATTCATGTGACAGATTTCAATAATACTACCACAAATAATAATAATGGACATGTGATAATTAACAATCATTTGGAAGAAAATATGGTACCTAATCTTATAGTTACCCCCAATTCCAGACCTTCATCCGAAAATTTATCATCAAACTCAGAAAAGGGTCTTTATACTGGATTAGGGCTTGGTACAGCTGTTGATATTAATTGTATTCAATCAGAAATTGTTCAATTCAATCAAGTATTTCCACAAAAATCATTCCCATTCAATCCAAATTTACAAGAATCTATAACGAATGTCTTGGGTGTTCATGAAAGTAATGGATCAATATTTACTGCTGATTCCAAACATCCTCTTGTTGGTCCTAAGGTTGTTGATTTGAAGGATCTTATGGTTAGCACTCCTGAATCATTTAGGATGCCTCGTAGGTCGAGTGAGGCGACATCGATTGTTGCACCTGGTTCAATTCTACACAAGCATATTCAATGTAATGATGTTAGTTCCATCTTGGATGGGTTGGATAGTGATGATGATGCTGCTATTGTCGTTTAAATAGATTGATATATCAGTTCTTCTTTAGTTTATTAAATAGAGAGAGAGAAGGATAAGAGACATTGAGGGGGAGGGGAAGCCAAAAAAATATACGAAACAATAATTATTAAACTCGAGGTATCTCGTAGATTGTAGCGTATGGGTTCTTGTGATTGGCATGATATTCCCGTTGGTTAAATCAAATTGGTTGAGTGAACATTTGCGGTTTCCAAAATTTGTCCGTTTATTATTATCAATACATATATTATATTAAACACATTTTTTTGTACTGTACTCTACACTTATTTAACAAAAAGCAGGTAACCAAGAAAGAGATCCTACTTTTTGTTTATTCATCGTCATCGTCGTTATCTTCCAAAGCTTCAAAAGCATTGAAAGCTCTGGTATGTTTATCAGCAAGAACTTCTCTTGGATCCACGGCTTTAGAAGAACCTAAATTCTTATTATTTGGTCTAGCCTTAACACCAACAGCTTCTCTAAACTTGGCTTTTTCTTCAGCACCATCTTCAGCACCAAATGATTTCTTGGTTTTAGATAAAGTTGCCCAACCATCTTCATCAACATGAACAGTTTCAACACTCTTTTTTCTCAAGTTTGGCTTATGAGTACTAGTTCTAGAAGCTCTTCTTCTGTTCATATGGTGGTATGGTCTTTCATTTCCGTGTTCATCGAGATAAGTATCTCCATTACTCCATTTGATTGCTTTATGTCTTTCATGTTCAGCAGCAGCATGTTCCTTGACTTGATCGATCAACTTGTTGAAAGCATCTAAGATTTGTTGTTGAGGAACATAAGCTTCTTCCCTGATTTCCAATAATTGTTCTTCGGTATACTTAGCCATAGTTGTCAATACAAAATACTAGAGAGTGGGGGGTTAACGGAGATGTTTTCTGACAGTTATAAGAATCTTTTCAATAGAATTTTTGTCACCCGAGCGTAAATATTTTTTTTTTGCTTTTCTTTGCTTCCCACTGTTTAAAAAAAAACGTTTAAAGCAAAAAAAAAAAAAAAATAATGATCAGTTTTACACGACCTACCGATTTACTTAATGAACTACTCTTGATCTTTCAAATTAATCACTTTTATCCCGTAGTATGAGTATTTTAAAGTTTATTGTAAACACAGCTCGTTGATTGTTATATCATGAGGGATACAACCTTAGGATCTCAAGAAGACTTTACTAAGAATTCTATTGAGTTTCTACGCGTCTTTTTTTGTTAGAAATCCAGTACAAAAAATCACGTGACTTATATGCAGGCTCATCGTTTTTGTTTTTTTTTTAAAATTTCTGTTTAATTACATACCGATTTTTCAATTTATATTAGAGATGAGCCATACCAATAATCTTTCTCCAGTTTATACTACAATAGAACATATATACCAATATTACAAGAAATGCCATTAGCACTTAACTTAAATAAAGTTACTAAGAAATTATCCAAATCAACCGGATCAGTTCATATAAAGGGTAGGAAATTTAAACAAATAAATCGAGCTACATTAAGAGATAAGAAACTTACAATTAAGAAACAAAAACAATTAGAACAAAAAGAGAATGAATTATCAATAGTATATTTCTTACAAAGGATTGTAAATGATGATGATGATTTTAAAGTACAAGAAACTTTTAGTTTAGAAGAAATTAAACAATTTATTGAATTATTTTTAACAAGATTTGATGATGAATTAGAAGAATTACGAGCTAATAGAAGACCAGGTAGACCAGCTACTAATAGACAACAAATATTAGAAGAAAAAGTTAAACATGATCAACAAATTTATGCAACTGGGATTAAAGTACCTGATTTATCTGATATAGAAACAGTTAAAAGATTGAAATTATGGAATGGTACAACTGGTGGTGCTACTGTTATGAAATTTATTCATATTTCAGAAGATATGACTGAATTTCCAACCAAAGAAGTTGAAATGAAGTAGAGTTTGGTGTTATAGAAAAATGTATATTAGTAGATTTGAATAAAAGACCCCAGGGCAATTTTTTTCTTCCCATTTAACCACCCTGCCAATATTCCGATATTCGGCGATATTGTTAATTCATTAGAGTGGGGTATGACCGATGTCTCCGTTCCTTAACGTTTCTTTATAAATTGTTTTTATTTTTCTTTTTGCCAAGAGTATACGTAGAAAGTGGATGTTAGTCATGAATTGCTTTAGAGGAAATGATTTACCCTACGACCGACCACACCTCAGAATGCATGTGGTAAAATCAACTAACAAGACTAAAGAAGATAATCATATATTAGACTGTAGTGAAGTTGAACACATAACCACGTTTTTATTTTAGAATAATTACATACATTTAAGAGGGGCACAAGATAAAATAAACCAATCCAAGGTGCCGTATCTCTATATGGATTTGTATTGTTTAAGGATTTGCGTACTGCATATAAAATTATCTTTTCCATCAGTAGTGGATTCGATTTCTTCAATCATTAAATTTGTTACAACAACCAACTTTCTCTTCCTTCTCTTTTAATTTATTTATATAAATTCTTTATTTTGATTGGAGGGATTAGAATTTATAACCATTTCAGTATTTTATTCTTTTACGTCATCAGCAGTAATAGAATAATAGAAACAAACTGGAGATTACATATTATAGAGAAACACAGCTACTCATTGCATTTTTAATAGACAAAGACAAATGTCATCATGAACATCACACTGCTATTTGATTATTTTCATTATCCTATAAGTAAAACAAAACCATATACTCAATATCGAAAGTATGTCACTTGTAAATATTCAATAATCTTTAATATCATATTAATCTTATATCTTATTGCCATTGCCATTTATAAATTATTAATTCGAAGAGGTTATAATTTAACAGTTCCAATATCAATTACGACAACAACAAGAATAATTATCTTTTGGTCAATCTTACTTTCATTCTTTTCATTAGTTGAAATAAATCATGGAGATTTGATCTTTTTAGCAAAAAGATTAGGAAGATTATCTGCCAATTGTTTATCATTCACATTGTTTCTTACATTGAGACCGTCATTGTTACCAAATACATTATATTTAACTTTGTTACCGTTACATAAATGGGTATCTAGATTGATCATTGTTCAAGCTGTCATTCATACAATTATCTATTGTAGATATTATCAATTTAAACATTCACTTCATAAGATTTTTAGTGTGGCTAATTTATATGGATGGGTTGCATTAATGGGATTTATAATTATAATTATAACTTCAATCCTGAAATTTAGAAATAAATGGTTTAAAGTGTTTTATTTCAATCATTATATATGTAGTTGGATAATTGTTTTAAGTTTACAATTTCATGTTAGACCTTTAAAGTTTACACCATTTACAATCATTAATATTACTATTCTAGTATATCAGATCATTTATCGATTATTAATCACCAAGACATCAGAAATTGGTGATTTTAAAGTTATTGATGTCTCCCCTAATCTTTCATTAATTGAATTCCCTAATAATTTAATATCCAAAAAGGCAAACAAACCAGGTGCTCATATAAGATTAACTAATTATCATCCAAATTGGTTAATTAGAATCTATAAACAATATCTAATTCCAAATTATCATCCATATACATTAGTTTCATTACCACAAGATAATTATCAACGATTAATTATTAGAAAGAGTAAATTCATATTTGATAATTCTCGAAAATATTCTTTAACTGCTAGTTTTGATCCATTTTTATTATTTATAACGAATTCAAATAAGAATTTCACAATTTCAAAATTATCAATTAATACTAAAAGAATATTAATTGTCATTGGAGGTTCAGCTATTTCATTTGCATTACCTTTGTTGAGAGTTATGAATTATCATGGAATACCGGTGAAGATTATCTGGGTTATTAAAGATTATCGAGATTTAATTATTTTGAAATATTTTGATGGATTTATTCATGGTCAAGATTTTGAAATATTTATTACTGGTGATAAAGAGATTCAAAGAAGACAAAGTTATGCATCATTTTTTAGACCAAATAATCATAATGATCTTGAATTTGGAAATGAAGATGAAAATACTCCATTGATTGATCAATGGTGGGAAGAAATAAATGAAGTTCCAGGTAGTTTACATAAAGAAAATCAATTGGAAACGGTAGAAATAAACATCGATGAATATGAAGAAGAAGAAGAAGATGATGCATGTACTCGCGATTTCCAATTTCTGAATTCAAATGAAACTGATGAAGACGAAGACGATTATTATCATCATGGAGGAAGGTCACAAGAATTCGAGGTTGCTTTTGACTCACCTTCTCCAGATATGATCCCTTCATCATCTTCGGTATCTCCATTACAAAAAGATTCATTAATACCAATAGGGATCCATTCTCACCAATCAAGTACAAGTCATAATAATCATTCTGATGCATTATCTAGAAAATCAAGTGTAAATGAACCATTTCAACTTCCAACATCAACTACGGTATTTTCAAATTGGCATTTACAATTTAAGCAAACGGTTAAATTATTGAAATTACAAAATAAAATCTATAAAGGTAGACCAAAATTAGGTCATAGATATTATAATTGGTGTATTAATGGTGAAGGGTTTACTCAATGTTTAGGTCCAATATTAGATGCAAATAATAATTTTGTATGTTGTAAAGATGTTTTGGGTGCAAATAAAAAAACTGAATTACCTAAAGGAAATACTGAAGATGTTTGGGTTATATCTGCTGGACCAAGAGGATTAGTTGATAATGTGAAGGTATGGGCTAGTGAAAATGGTTTGAAATTCCATGAAGAAGCTTTCTATCTGTAGAGAAAATCTACTACTAGTTACTATTGTAGGTATATAGAGAAGGTTCGATGGTTCTATTATAAGTTTCTATTATAACCTTCTAGCATAATGTAAAATCCTTGCATGCTAATTTTTTATTTTACTATTTATAATCCTCTCGCAGATATCCTAAACCATTATTTGAATCTTTTGCATCAATGGTTTTGTGCATAGTGGAATCCCTCCCAAGGGCCCTGCAGGATTCTATGCATAAATCCGCTTTTTATTCACCACAATGATAGATAAACCATTTGGGCGGAACTTCAGTAGAAGACACAATGGTGAAACGTGATAAAATTGAAAATGCGACATTTTATATTTGCAGCCACAAACAATAAATCATCAAAAAATTCAGACACTTTTTGTTGAGAATCCTACTTCCATGCATGGTCAAAAAAAAGTGTCTGATTGTCCTGAATTAAAACAGGTGTTTATCGCACCGTTGATCATTTCAGAAATTTTCACAAAGTCAGAGGAATGAAAATATTCCCATTACTGCTTTGGTAAATGTACCAGAAATTCTAGCAAAGTATGATGCTACCAAATGCCTCATATATGGTAGCTCTACGGTTTGACAATTGCTATTACCCGTTCCTAGAATTGCCTTCTCGAATAATGTAGATTCTTGCCTATTACGTAATTGGTTATTTTACTATTTACAACCGCTTAATTTATTATTTGATAATTACAAAACGAACAATACATTACAATACAACGGCTATTTCAATGGGTGGCAATTAATTTAACATGTGGGCAACTTTTACAATCTTTGTTGCTACCAACTGCTCATCCAACAAAATTCATGTGGTGGCCCCAAAAAAAAAAAAGAAAAATGGCACGTGCATTTGCTAAAAAAAAAAGTTGTATCATTTAAATTTTGAATAATTTCTTATCTAAACCTTATGTAAATACTGTGTACATGTACCAGAGAATAACCAGGCTACAAACTAACACCATCTTTTAATCCAACCCCCCTAATTGCTTTTGAAAGGTATATCTTCTAATGTCACTAAATGATTCAATAGCAATGCAACAAACAACTTCCTCAAAGAGTTCGATGACGTCAACAGAAACACAACAAGATGATTTTGATAATTGGGATGGATATACAAGTAGTTCATCTTCTATAGGAGGATCAGTACCTACTACACCAAATCTACTTGGAACAGATTCTGGTAATAATGTTCCATTCATTGATTTATCTAAATTATTATTTGTAAATGATTTTGATTTTGGATTTAATAATGATAATAATTTAAAGAAGAGATTTGATGGTATTAAATTAAAGACAAAAGCAAAGTTAATTAAATATCAAAATTCTAAAGAATTACAAGATTTATTTAATGAAAAATTAAGTAAATTTGATAAAAGACTTCATCAAAATTTACAAAGTAGTTCAACTGAAAAGTTATTTTATGCTATATCATTATTTATAATTGCAAGTGCTGGGTTTATAATTGGTAAATATCCAAAATATTTCCCTCATTTTCATACTTTAATATTCGTGGTTTTAATGCCAATTAGATTTTATAGTTATTTTAAAATCTCATTTCAATATTATTTGGCAGATTTATGTTATTATGTTAATTTATTATTAATGTTATTTATATGGGTGTTTCCACAATCTCCAAGATTATTTGTTTCAGTCTTTTCATTGTCATTGGGGACATTATCATTTGCAGTTATAACTTGGAGAAATTCATTAGTATTGCATTCAATTGATAAAACAACTTCATCATTTATTCATATTATGCCTCCAGTAACAATGTTTGTCATGGTACATGAATTACCAGCTGATTATGTATTAGAAAGATACCCCGGGATTGCAGCAATTGATAATTGGAATTTGTTATCCTCAATAATTTATACTTCAATTTATTATACCATTTGGCAAGTATCATATCATTATTTCATATCAATTAGAAAACATGAACAAATTAAACGAGGTAAAGTTACTTCATTCCAATATTTACGTAATAAGAATAAATCAACTACTTTAGGGAAATTTGTTAATTCATTACCATATTTTTGGATGCAAACTTTAGCATTTACATTAATTCAATTTATGTATCAATTATTAACAATGGCGTTTTGTCCTATATGGTTTAAATATAAACATGCTTGTGGATGTTTTGTAACATTTATATTTATTTGGGCAAGTTATAATGGTGCAACTTATTATGTTGATATCTTTGGTAAAAGATTGGAGAAAGAAGTTGATAAATTAAAAAATGAAATTATAAGTTTACAACAAGAGAATTCAAAGTTACAGACAACAACAACAACTACTACTGGGAAACCAAATGATATTCATAGTGTTTTAAATGAACCAGTTGATATTTCAACATTACTGAATTAATAATGATTTAACGTTTTAATGATTGATTCCCCCCATCCCCCTAGAATCTTCCCTTTTGTCATAAATACCCTTAGATAGGAATATATTTTGTATTTTACTCTCTTTCCCCCCATACTTGTACTTTGATTCAACTACTAGACATAGTTGGTTAGTTCGTTGGTTGCAAAAAACCAGAAGAACGTTGATAATCCGGGTAACAGAATTTGGGAAGTAAAATTTTTTTTTTCTTCAATCCATTTTTCATTCTCTGTTAAGGAATAAAATTTTCATTGAACCAATAGAAAGGAGTTATTGAATCATCTTTCTACATTGTGAATTATGCTTAAATCAGTTGTCATTCCTTTCAGAAGAGGGTTAGCCACTTCTGCAAGATTGTTGCAAGAGAGTGCACCAAAAGCAGCAGCACCAAAATCAGCAGCAGAACCAAAAACAGCACCAAAAGCATCAACATCAGGAAAGCTAACTAAAAATGAAACTAAAGTTGATAAACATCTTCAATTATTATCTCAATATTATAATCAAGACTTATTAAAATCAATTAAAATTACTGAATCATTGGTTGAACCTAAACCATATTTACAATTAAAATTAGATCCTAAATCAAAATCTAAAATTGCCCCAATTGATAAAGGGGATATTTATCGTAAAAGTGATCCAGTTTGGGAAGAACCTATACTATATCCAAATCAAGGGGAAGGTAGAACACCATATCCTGAAATACCACAAGTTAGATCTCCAGATAGACCAGATTTAAAATTACGTTTAATGGAACCTGGAGAAGAGAAAAAGAAGACAATTATTGCTGGTGGGGTTAGAACTCCAAGAAAAATTGCTGAAGAATTATCTGATTTAACTGGATTAGATTTTAATTATTTGAATAGATTATATGTTCGTCCATTAGTTATGAAGCGTGTTTCGTTGAAGACATCAAAGGGTAATATTCCAAATTTCTTTGTTTTAACTATTGTGGGGGATAGAAATGGGACTATTGGATTAGGTATTGGGAAATCAAGAGATGGTATTCGTACTGCAGCATCAAAAGCTCATTGGAATGCTATTAAGAACCTTACCCCAATTGCAAGATATGAAAATAGAACTATTTTAGGTAGTATGGAATATAAATTTCATGCTTGTAGATTAACATTTAAATCTGCTCCAGTTGGATTTGGATTAAGAGTTAATAGAAATGTATTTGAAATTTGTCAAGCTGCTGGAATTAAAGATTTGAGTGGTAAAGTTTATCGTTCAAGAAATCCTTTAATGGTTGCTCAAGGATTTGTTGAAGCTTTAACTAGACAAAGATCAATTGAAGAATTAGCTGCAAATAGAGGTAAAAAGATTGTTGATTTAAGAAAAGTTTATTATTCTACTTGAATAAGTTGTACATAGTTACCACCATACACATAACTCTTTTACTTTCTGTATATATACACTACTACTACTTATAATATAATGTTAACCATAGTAATAGAATTGTCACATGGTAGTGCTTGATAATTGACTTGATTCACACGACCTCACCATTTCCCTCAATTTTTTTTTTGCCTTCTGTAGTCTCCACTATTAATTATTTTGTTAGTTAATTTCTTCTCTCTTCTCTCTCTTTCCCCTGTGAAATATTTAATTTACAACTTTGTAAAGATTGAAGAAACATAACAATTTTTATTTAATATCATATACACAATATCATTATAATATTATATACAAATTATAACTTCCATATATTTAGAAGGAAGAATACAACACATTCTCAAAATAGAATTTATATAAATACATTTATACACACACATATTCAGTCAAACATAAGAGAAGATGGTAGTAGATACAACTTATTATGATTTACTTTCAATTCAACCAGATGCTACTTCATTAGAAATTAAGAAAGCTTATAGAAAAGCAGCAATAAGACTACACCCAGATAAGAATCCTGATGATCCAACTGCTGCTTCTAAATTCCAAGAAATTGGTGAGGCATATCAAGTACTTTCAGATGAATCACTTCGAAATAAATATGATAAATTTGGAAAACAAGAAAGTATCCCAAGTGAAGGATTTGAAGATCCTGCTGAATTCTTTTCTATGATATTTGGTGGAGAAGCATTTAAAGATTGGATTGGAGAATTAAGTTTATTACTGGAATTATCTAAATCTGCTGAATTGGCAGGATACACTGAAACTGATGAGAAGAAACCATCTGATAATAAGGACAATAATAATGGTAAAGCAAATGGCGAAAACCACCCAGCAAATGAATATACCTCCACTCATAAGGACTCGAAATTATTATCCCATACTGCACATGATCCAAGTAATGATGTATCAATTAAACATCAAACTGAAGAACAAAAACGTAAAGAAGAATTGGAAAAGTTTGAAGAAGAATGTAGACTTAAAAAGATTGAAACTAGAAAAGAATTATTAAAGAAATTAATTGAAAAATTATCACTATATACAGAAACTGATATGAAAGATGATATAGTTGAATCATTTAAAGGTAAAATTAGATATGAAGCTGAATCTTTAAAAATGGAAAGTTTTGGTTTGGAAATTTTACATACTATTGGATCAATTTATAAAACAAAATCCAAAATTTTCTTAAAGAATCAAACATTTTTTGGTTGGGGAGGTTTATGGTGGTCAATGAAAGAAAAGGGTGGAGTTGTTAAAGATACTTTCAAAACAGTTTCTTCTGCTTTGGATGCACAACGTACTATGGAAGAATATTCTCAAATGCAATTGGATAATGAATATCATGCCAAAAAGGAAGCTGAAGAAGAACAAGCAAAGAAGAAGAAGGAGGCAGAAGGAGAAGGAGAAGGAGCCAGTAGTGCTACCAGTCCACCAGTTACATCTGAAGAAGATATAGCTAAACTTGAACATGAATTGGAACAAGTCCAGCAAGAAATAAAAGAACATCAAGAAGCAAAACAGCTTTCTCCAGAAAGCAAAGAGAAAATACCTCATAAACATACTCCTGAAGAATTAGCCGAAATGGAAAAGTATTTAATGGGAAAAGTATTGGCAGCCGCTTGGTCTGGATCTAGATATGAAATCCAAGCTACTATTCGTGGAGTTTGTGATGGACTTTTAGAAGATAAAGAAGTTCCATTACAGAAGAGAATAGCAAGAGCCAAAGCATTGAGATTGGTTGGAGAAGTATTTAGTTCTGTTACTAGAACTGAAGCTGAAGATGAAGAAGCAAGAATATTTGAACAATTGGTGGCTGAAGCTAGTCAAAAGCGAGAAAAGAAGAAGAGACGTCCTAGTAATCCACCTCCACCACCTCCGCCACGCAAATCTCATGAAACAACAAGTGCTGAAGCAAATGCATTTTAGATTATATGCTCTTTCTCGTTTTATAGTTCATTAGTTATAACTCTTTCTCACATACTAGTTCAGCAATACATTAATTCAGTAATACATTAATATACATTTCATATCTTGTAACAATGGGGTTGACACTTTTTTGACGTTTTGTGCTACTACGGGAATTTGCATCGCTTCGCATTATGCCGTTCTATTCCATCCCTGTAAATGGCACGAAAAAAAATATCCCCGTCTTACGCCGCCCGCCATCCCGTTCCATCACCCCACAGAGTATGGAAAATTTTCAACTTTCCTATAAGTACTTCTTCTTCTCTCTAGACCAATAACCTTGTCAATATCAATTTTATAGATTAAACATGAGTTCCGAATTGATTGAAAAGATCCGTCAAAGATCTCATGAATTAGATCCTTGTACTCAATCCAATTATTCCAAGTTTGATGTCAAACATACTGATTTATCATTATCGGTGTCATTTGAAACCAAGACATTAGCTGGGGTTGTTACATATACACTTATCAATAAAGATGCATCTAATGAAGTCATTCTTGACACCTCAGTCTTAGATATCAACCAAGTCAAAGTCAATGGCAACTCTGCCGAGTATAAACTAGGTGAATTGTCAATGTATGGTACCCCATTAATCATTCCTATTGATTCCAAACAACAAGAAATTCAAATCACGGTTGAATATAACACTACTGACAAATGTACCGCTATTCAATTTATCCAAGGTGATACTGGGCCCTATATCTTTTCACAATGTCAAGCTATCCATGCCAGAAGTTTATTCCCCTGTTTTGACACTCCAGGAGTTAAATCACCCTATAAATTCACCGCAAAATCACCACTGGTCTGTACGATGTCAGGAAGACCACAACCAAGTTCCCAAAAAAACATATATTATTTCGATCAACCAATTCCAATTCCATCCTATTTAGTTTCAATCACTTCCGGAAATCTTAAAAAAGCCCCTATTGGTCCTAGATCTGATGTATATAGTGAAGAACCAAATCTTGCTGCATGCAAATGGGAATTTGAAAAAGATATGGAAAATTTCATTCAAATTGCCGAACAATTAGTATTTGAATATGAATGGGAAAGATTTGATTCATTGGTCTTACCTTCGAGTTTCCCCTATGGAGGGATGGAAATCCCTAATATGACTCAATTGACTCCAACTTTGATTTGTAAAGATAGGACTCAGACAAAGGTTATGGCTCATGAATTGGCCCATTCTTGGTCGGGGAATTTGGTGACGAATTGTTCTTGGGAACATTTTTGGATGAATGAAGGTTGGACTGTTTATTTGGAAAGAAGAATCGTGGGGGCTATTGCTGCCGCAGAGGCTAAGCTGCAAGGGAAGGCTAATCCTGAAGAATATGGTGAACAGGTTAGACACTTTAATATGATTATTGGGTGGAATGGATTAATTGATTCTGTTAATACTATGGATCCGAAATTTACTTCATTAGTTTGGGATTTAGAGAATCAAGACCCTGATGATGCATTTTCAAGAATACCTTATGAAAAGGGATTCAGTTTCTTGTTTCATTTAGAATGTAAATTAGGTGGGTTGAAAGCATTTGATCCATTTATTAAGTACTATTTTAAGAAATTTAGATATACTTCATTAAATTCAGCTGAATTTGTTAAAACATTATATGAATTTTATGAACCATTGGGTAAAGCAAGTCTTTTGGATAGTATTGATTGGAATACTTGGTTATTTGGTTCTGGATTACCGGAATATCCAAACTTTGATACTACTTTAGCTGATCAAGTTTTCCAATATGTTGAAAAATGGGTTACTACAATTCAAAATAATGGTGATATATTACAACAATTTTCAGAAACTGATGTAGAATCATTTGAAGGTGAACAAGAAATGTTATTATTGGAAACTTTGACTGAAAAATTCAAAACTATGAAAGTTTCTCCAGATTTAATTAAGAAATTACCGGAAATTTATCCGAAATATAACAACAGTGGTAATGGAGAATTTATTTCTCGTTGGAATGAGCTTTTGATTAGCTTTGGGAAATACAACGCAACTGATCCCATTGTTCAAAAGTTTGCTAATTGGATTGGTTCAGTTGGACGTATGAAGTACGTTAGACCTGGTTATAAGTTGTTAATATCTGGCGTTAGTCTTGAATTTGCAATTGCAACATTTAAGAGATTTGAGAATAATTATCATCCAATTTGTAAAACGATGGTAAAGAAAGATTTAGGGTTGGATGTATAAAGAAAGGGAAGGTGTGTATATTCAAATGTAGGGGTATTTAATTAGCTGTTATAGACATCCAAATACTATGTCAATTATTTAAAAAGAGTTTAAATTAATGCCATTGAGTCTCTTAAAGTCCGAAACTTATCTCTTTCACTTGTCGCGGTGCTCGTTGAAACTCAAAAAGAAAGTTTAACTACTTTTGGAGACATAAAACGCGTTTTAATAACCTTGTGGAATTCAAGTGGTATTACGCGAGGTTGTTTTCGACTTCTATCAACAACTAAAACCTGTCTAGCTCCGACAACCAATTCCAACAAAGGATAATCGGCAATCTTTATAGATAAAACATCCTTTAAACCCCTGGTGAAATCCTTTTCTCCATGAGAATCTAAATTTGTTTTCCAATACAGACATCCTTTTCTATATCCTTTTTCATCCAGTGCTTCTAAACCCAATACTTTCAAAGAGTTTTTGTGATGAGAAATCGCTGCTTTAAATTCTGGAGTCTTATATTCATCAAATAAACCTCCAAGATGAATTTCACGTAACGAATCACGAGGTAAAGCACAGATGAATCTCCGCAGTGCTGTCATCATGAACTTTAGTTGTAGTACTTTAAGCGAAGTAAACTTCCTCGCGTGTGGAAAAAATGATTGAACGAAATCAGATCCCGTGTAATCACTGTATACCAGCATTCGAGTAATTTTCAGAAGGTCGAGACATTCCAATAACTCGTCAGACTCGGGACCCATACTGAAAATCAAATCTTTAACAGCTAGTTGAAATGGCTCTAAAGTCCAGGGAGCATGAACGATCTTCATAGTTTCCAATTGTTTGAACTTGGAAAATTCGGCTCCATTTTCTAAGCTCAGGACGTACAAATGCTTTACCCAAGGTATATACTTGTCAGGAAAGGGTTCATTCGAATCAACCACCCAATGATACTTAGATGGAGAAGTTCTTTGAGTCTTTGCTACCCATTTCTTAATTTCATCCGATGTAACGCACAAATCGCAAAATACAATTTGACAATTTGGAAATATTCTAGTAATTGCACCCAAACCTTCAACTGATATGAACTTTTCATTATCAAACATGATTTCTTTCAAAAATTCTGGTTTACGTTTTGCACTTGAAATCATATCACCAAATTTATCCAGCAGAATAATTGAATGATTCATATAAAATGGAGTATATAACTTTTTAGGAATATTTATAACGGAACGTGCCTTAGCTTTTTGATAAACATAAATTGATCTGAATAATTTAACTTTACAAGCTGTTGTGAAATGACTATGAGTCAATGATAAATGGAAAGTATCTACTTGATTAAGATGTTCTAATATAATAAATAAAATATCATCTGGAAGTAAAAGTATTCCCCCGGGCTTTTTATTATTATTCTTATCAGGAGAAACTGATAAATGTTGAAGCTGTTCAAATCCGAATTCCATGTGATTGATTATTATTATTTGTTCTCCTAAGTTTGCTTCTCTAATTGATAACTCGTCGTACTGCAATTGATAATCTGAGATTGAAAAATTCAAATGGAAGTGAAAAGAAGAAGAGTCACGCAAGAAAAAGGATTTGATAAAATTTTTAATCTTCCTTTTCTAAAAAAGGTTTGCACCCAAATTCAAACCATTGATTTGATATCATAGGGAATATTAACTAATCAATCAATCTTAAGCTTTTGGCACAAGTTTATTAGAAAAAAGTGACGCACTGAGAACACTGTACTTCCTGGGTCTTATTTGCTGCTCGATGAGTATTTACAAAATGTGAAGCTTATTCGATGATGCTTAGTTAGATGCATGATAACACTACAAATTCTAAAAGAGAATAGTAATTCATTTTAGTATATAATATAAGAGTGGTAGTAATTTTAATAGACTGATGTCTAAAATTCACTCTAAAATACACCCTACTCTAACATCTAAAACATGTCTAGTTTTTAAGAACACGTAGAATTGGTTCTTGGGAACTCGGAATGTGAGTCAATTTTTCAATAAGAGCTTGCCTTTCCAGAAACTTCTTCCACTATTAACTTAACCGAGACAGAGTCAAGAGTTCTTGAACCTATAATTGAGGTAGCATTACTAATTATGATTGTCAAAGACAGTGTTGTAGCAGCCTGAGGAGTAATAAGTATTTCTTCTTTGAACATTCAAAGGCACAATGGCCTTTTCTGGATTAGTTAGATTGAGTAAGAACCCTAAGGGAGAACCTTGAGTAATTGATGGGCTTATTGCAACATGTAAAGAAGGAAATACATGATCTTAAAATTCTTAGTTTTTTTGCAATCGGGTTGCAAATTTTTATACTCTGTTTCGTACAGAGCATCAGAGTAGGCAAAGATACTTATACTCTACAGAATCTAAAACAAATTTCATATGCGTCACTTAGCCGATGTCATCTACAAAGTATCTTCGTTGTTATTCGATGATCTAAAGTGTATGTATTTTTCAATTACCTTTCTCAAACACCTTATTGTCCACCAAGGGGCTTATTTCGTTTACTTATTTAAGACACATTAGAACAAGCTATTGAAAAGCAAACATGTCTGACCAATACTGGCAAGTTAAACAATATCATCTGTATCAATATGGCTTCTCAATTCATAAAAGATCTGAAACATAATATCATATGTCATAGGTATGGCTCGAACATTAGATCCCAAATTGCAAAAAAAAATCGACAAAATTTAGAGCTCAAACGTTAACTAACTACACCAAACTGACGCAAGGTGAACAAAAATGTCATAACGAATTGGGCGGGCCTGACACGACACGTGAATATCAGGTGACATTTTGCACGTGAGCCAAATCATGTGACCAATTTCTAAATTGGGGTTAATTCGACACTCCCATCTGGTATAGCTAAGCTAGACATATGTATGGATTATACTGTCATATATCTAGATGATATATGCATTAAACAAAGAAAGAAGCAGAGTGATTTCTCTGCTTATGAAAGAATTCATATATGAGCAATTCCTGATCCCCCAACTCAAGCAAAACCTCTGATATTAACCACAAGATATGGCCCAATGATCCATATGAAGTAGAGAATGCCATTGTCGGTGCTCTTCATTTTATTGGTATTTGAAAACCGTGTCTGATCTTTGCTTTTGTGGTTATGATGTTTACAAACACAAAAAGAAGTCCACAAAAAGGAATTTCTGTGGGCGGCTAATTTTCGACCCTCCTCCAAATTGCTTCAAATCATATGGAAAGTGATCCCCCTTGTTATACCATCACATTCTGACGTTCATCTATCAATTTAATTAACATGTGGTTGAAATATTGCTTGTTGAAATATCTATTTGTGGTTGAAAAGTTTACAAAAAGAAGTCCACAAAAAGGAATTTCTGTGGGCGGCTAATTTTCGACCCTCCTCCAAATTGCTTCAAATCATATGGAAAGTGATCCCCCTTGTTATACCATCACATTCTGACGTTCATCTATCAATTTAATTAACATGTGGTTGAAATATTGCTTGTTGAAATATCTATTTGTGGTTGAAAAGTTTACAAAAAGAAGTCCACAAAAAGGAATTTCTGTGGGCGGCTAATTTTCGACCCTCCTCCAATCTGCTTCAAATCATGTGGAAAGTAATCTCCCTTTTCTTGCAATCACATTCTGACGTTGATTTATCGATTTAATTGACATGTGGTTGAAATATTGCTTGTTGAAATATCTATTTGTGGTTGTAAAGTTTACAAAAAGAAGTCCACAAAAAGGATTTGCCCTCAGCGGCTAATTTTCGACCCTTCTCCAATTCGCTTCAAATCATGCGGAAAGTAATCTCCCTTTTCTTGCAATCACATTCTGACGTTGATCTATCGATTTAATTGACATGTGGTTGAAATATTGCTAGTTGAAATATCTGTTTGTGGTTGAAAAGTTTACAAAAAGAAGTCCACAAAAAGGAATTTCTGTGGGCGGCTAATTTTCGACCCTCCTCCAATTTGCTTCAAATACTGTGGAAAGTAATCTCCCTTATCTTGCAATCACATTCTGACGTTGATCTATCAATTTAATTAACTTGTGGTTGAAATACTGCTTGGTGAAATATCTATTTGTGGTTGAAAAGTTTACAAAAAGAAGTCCACAAAAAGGAATTTCTGTGGGCGGCTAATTTTCAACCCTCTTCCAATCTGCTTAAAATCATGTGGAAACTAATCTCCCTTATCCTATCCTCACATTCTCACGTTGATCTATCAATTTAATTAACTTGTGGTTGAAATACTGCTTGGTGAAATATCTATTTGTGGTTGAAAAGTTTACAAAAAGAAGTCCACAAAAAGGAATTTCTGTGGGCGGCTAATTTTCAACCCTCTTCCAATCTGCTTAAAATCATGTGGAAACTAATCTCCCTTATCCTATCCTCACATTCTCACGTTGATCTATCAATTTAATTAACTTGTGGTTGAAATACTGCTTGGTGAAATATCTATTTGTGGTTGAAAAGTTTACAAAAAGAAGTTTACACGCAGAAGTTCACAAGCACTAGTTTACAAATGGAAGTTTACAAATATGGTTACAGCTTGATGGAATCACTGGTTCCCCTACCTACACAACACCCCAGACCTCATGCCCACTACCTGCACCACCCATTTACCTCGTCCTTCACGGACTAGTTCCTTCCGTCGTCCATTCATTAGCTCATTCAGTCAGTCAGGCAGTCATTGTCCCTTCCTTGATTGTCTCCATCCTTCAATACCATCTTATTTCTAGCAGCTTAATCCAACAAAGAGAAGCTGCAAGGGTTGGAAAGGTTGCACCAAACCTTCCAATATTCTGAGAAAACCGTCGACAAAGAAGCAGCAATTGAAAGGTTATATTTTGAACTCAGTTAGTGACAGATGACTGGTTAGATGGAATAGTATAAGAAATAAGTGAAGAAGGATGGATGGATCGACGAAGGATGACGGAAGACAAATGAAGTAAGGAATGCGGGATACAATGATTGATTGACTGACTGAATGAATGAACTAAAACATGAATGGAATAAGAAGAAACTATCTGTGACTGGAAGAAATTAATGAATGGATAAAGGAATGAACATGCAATGAATAGATGAATATGAGGCAACAGGTAGTCGACAAAACAATATTATAGATGATACAAGAAGTGAATGAATGAGTAATGAAATAATTGACAGAAAGATGTGATAATATAGAAAGAGATAATTAATGAAAGAAGAAAAGAAAAAGAGAAAAGAAGAAAAGAAGAAAACAAAAAAATTTGAATTCTAGGGGATTTCAGGTCTATTTATACTGGAGATTTTTTTGCAACCACAAAAAATTTGCAACCAAATCTGCATGATTTTTTGCATACTATAACAATTGCATAAGCACAAACAAGCTGATACACAAAACAAAACTCAGGCGTATTTGAAAAGAGGGGTTTGTAAATTTCTATCAAACTTAGTAACCACAAAAGAATTCTAGAATCTCCTAAAATTCCTCAAGGTGAACTTTTGAAATTCATATTTTGGTTAAGTATCTTCAATTTACTGTAAATGTACTGTGGGCTGTATTCCAAGCATACTTTCTACAATTGAACACTAACTGATTGGGATTTTATTTGTGGTTCTACGTGTTTGGGATTGGAAAATTTAATTTACACCTAATTCTGCGCATCTACCAGATCTAGACAAGGGAGACTAGATTCATTGGTTTTATGCATAATTATTTGTGGTTGGCATGTGTACAAAAAGAAGTTTGCAAACAGAAGTTTACGAATGTAAGTTTACAAATATGATTAAAACTCTATAAAGTCGCCGATTTGGTGATCATGCCATCATATTTTCCACCACCTGCATCGCATGCTCCATACTACATCATTTGCGTATCCATGCCATTTACTTATTTATCTATTCCTTCTCTTTGACTAGTTCCGACCGTGGTCCATTCATTAGCGCATTCAGTCAGACAGCCATTGACTCATTCCTGAAAAGGACTTTTCTAAATTATCAATCTGTTGATTGATTTCCTTCTTGATGGACACTGGATCAATATCTTGTGGTTCACTTGGTGTTGAATCGGCAGTGCTGTGAATTGCAGATTCATGAGGAGTTAATACTTTATAAACGTTCAAATAATCGTCAGTCAAAATAGTTGATCTTAACAACTTAATCAAAGTTGTTGATTCACCCATTAGTAATTCATATATGATATTCTTGATAAGATTAATGATGATTGATCTATCTTTACTTTGAGCAATTAATAATTCTACAATTGGTTCAATTGTAATTCCTTTAAATATTGGTTCAGTATACATCAATTCCCAAGGATTTGGATCAAGCTTTTCATCATGGGTTATAATGAAATCAAATTGATTCCATAATGATTCTAATTGAGTTTGATCTTCTGTTTTATCATAGTGGATATTAGGATTGTTATGTATTTCTCCAAATCTACTTACAGAATAATAACACCCTTTGAATAAGGGTTTTGGGTGATGTAATTATTGGTGAATTGTAGGGCATTTCCTCCAAGATAATTAAAACTTGAAACATCTAGGAATTCTATCCTATCTGTTACAAGAACTCGTAGCGAATTGGGCGGAGATGTTGTCTCCTATCACGTGAAAGTGGAAGTCATGTGATAGTATTATTCGGCCGAAAGAATTACAAATCCAGAAATAGTCCAGAAACTGCCGGCAAGTGCCTGATATATGTTTCGGTATCTTATAACACGTATAGACTAGCATATATCATATTCTTTAGTGTATATCATTGTTTCAAAATGTTTGGAGCGGTGTTTTCAAAGAAAGACTACGAAATGTGTTGCAAAAAAGTGTTAATTTATTGAAATATCTAATGCAACCTATTCATAAACTGCTTACCCTTTGCTCATGTTTCAACTGGTTCCTTGCCATCGGTTGTACCACCACCATTAGACTTAGTTGATCTTGTCTTGCTTTGTTTATTATCTTTGTCATTGAAAAATTCAAGCGGAACCAAACGAAGTGGGTATGGAAGTCTATCAACAATTAAAACTTGTCTGGATCCTACGATCTTCTCCAACATAGGATAATTGATTGGATCAATGGATAATACATGTTTGAAACCCCTTAAAAAGTTGTTCTCAGTACGAAACTCGAAATATTTCTTCCAATACAGACATCCTCTTCTATATCCAAGTTCTTCCAGTGAGGAGAAGCCCAAAACCTTTAAAGAATCTCGATGTCGATCAATTGCTCTTTCGAATGCTGGAGCAGTGCATTGGTAGATATCAGCACCAAAATGAATTTCAGTCAAGCTATGTTTGGGTAAGTGATTGAGGAACGTTGTCATAGGTTCTCTTTCCATGTCAATGTGCAATACTTTAAGTGACGTGAAACCAGAAGCATTGGCAATATATCCTTGATCGAGTGCTGTTGTAGATGTTCGAATTATCAGCAATTGAGTAATTATCCGAATATCAAAATACCGTAAAAAATCCGGAGAGGGTATATGGACAATCGGACAGACAATCGTTTGCATGGGAGGAGGATTCGCAAACCCGATATGTTGCTTGATTTTAATACTTTCCAACAGTTTGAATTTTGTGCTAATGTTGGGACATAATTCCAAATCCTCCACGACCAAATGTTTCACAGAGGACGTAAATTCCTCAGGAAAGTCATCTTCCAGCTGGATACTTAACCAATGATATTTGGAAGTTGTGGTATTTTGTTGCGTTATCATCCATGCATTGGTATGATGATATGACATGTCACCAATCACAATAGCACATTTTGGATTTGACTTTTTAATGAAATCCAAACAATTTACTGAGACGAAACCTGGGTTACTGAACATTACTTCTTTCGTGAGTTCTGCTTTATAATAGATACTTGAAATCATTTTAAGAAAGCTGTTATGTCCAATTATTGTATACTTCATATAAAATGCTGTATAGAGCTTTTTAGGAATGTTTATACTTATTTTCGGATCAGTTTCTTGATAGACATAAATCGATTTGAACAATTTTGCTCTACAAACTTTCTCAAAGTTTCTATGAGTCAACGCTAGATGGAAAGTATCCATCTGATTAACATATTCAAGTACGATCAGTAATATTTCATCAGGTAATAAGAATATTCCTCTAGGTTCTTTGGTATGGGAGTTTGTCTTGTTTGATAATTTATGTATTTCTTCGCGTAATAATTTAAGTTCGTTTCTTAGTTCATCAATTTCAGTAGATTCACTAGTGACAGCAGTAGCAGTAGTACCATTACTGCTAGTCTTTCTTTTTTTGGATCTGGGTGGCATTGCTTCGAATTGGTCGATTGTCCAAAAATCAGTTTTCCAATAACCACGAAATTGATTTGCCTAATATTTTACTATTATGAGAAATATTTGGGTGAAGGAAAAAATAGTACCAAAGAATCACACCCTTTAATATGCTAGATAGAGAGAAAGAGAGAGAGGGAGGGAGGGACAACAAAGCTGGAGGAACGAGTCCCTCAACTTCCCACAATTTCCTTAATTCACGAACATCAGAGACTATCTCATTCCAAAAGACATCTGAATTTGTATAATTCATGTATAGTTAAAAGACAGACACTCTACTACCGTATTACTTCTGTCAGATATTTACCAATTTTTCTAAATTGCTTCTAGAAGCATGGGCATTGATAAAAAAGAAGTAAGTTTAATAATGAAAAAGCATTTATTTGATTAAGAAATATACATACAAAGTTATATAAAGATTCATATACGTTTGGTTTATTTAAATTCCTTTTTAAGTTTATCTAATCTCTTTTGATGATCTTGAATAAACTTAACAACTTTCCTTCTATTTTCTCTCAAGATATCATTACTAGATACATCAATTCCATCTAATTTCATTAATTCTTTTAATAACATTTCTTCAAAGTAATTATATTTATATTCAGCTTCATCTGACTTTAAACTTTTGTAATTATCTATGTATTTATCAATTTGAGGAACATATTCTGATTCAACAAAATCTAAAATAGCTTGAATACTTTTATTTGCCTTTTGAGCTTTACTAAGTTTCTTCTTTGGTTTCTTTGATTTGGTTGATTTCTTATCAGAACTTGAAGTAGTGGAAGAACCACCACTCAGGAAAATCTTACCAAAGATTAATAAAGTAGTTAAAGCTACCAACGTTAATGAAATGGTAATTGGTGATACTTTCAATTCTTTAAAATCATTTATAACATCATCTTTAGTAATAGATTTGATATAATCAATATGAGGTTGTAATTCTTCATAATTGGTTGGAATCTGATCCTTTATAAGTTCAACATAATGTTGAAATTCGTCAACTACAACAGGAATTCTATTTTTCAATCCATTCAACTGCTCATTCACTTTATCCATGATCTCTTCTGTTTTATGTTTTGTAGTATTAATGAAACGTTTCTAAATGATATGTTTTGTTGATTAAAAGTTTATGATTTTCATTTATGAAATTTTAAACGCTCAATAAAAACAATGAAAAAAAAGAAAACTTCTTTTCCAGTCGTTTGGTACTGCATAGAATACTATATGAATTTTTATCTCTATTAGGTAAATATCCAAAAGCCGCACACACGAGAGTAGTTTGTCTATAAAAATACTTCACCACTAATAATTCTAGAGGGTTTCAAATCTCCAACTTCTTTAGGTTTTGTATGTTTGTTAATTGGTGGAGGTGATTTTTTTACTTTCTTATAATCATCAATGGTAGAAACTGTCGTCGCCAAAGGATGCTTCATTGTCTCTTGCTCTTTTGCAATATCATTATCCGAGTTCTGCAACATTGTCTTGGGTAATCTCCTCTTTGGACCTTTGGCTCTTGCCTTACTTGCATGTGTCAATTTGCCACTGCCTTTAGTATCCGCTTTTTTAACCTTAACCGAATCGACATCCGTACTTGTTCTTCTAATACCCTTTGGTTGTAAACTAGGTACTGTATGTCCTCTTGACAAGATCGCCCCTAATTGTTGTTGGAATGGTAATTCCGCCGTCTCTTTAACTCTCAGTTTCTCCTCAATTTCTTCGCGTTCATTATTGTTTGAAGGTTTCAGTTTGACAGATCCTAATCTCTTTAGTTGTGAACGTAATATTTCAGAATCTTTTTCTTCATATTTTCGTAATGATCCAGAATTTGGTTTTGATGGTTTCGGAGGAGCCTTTATCACGATTTTTTCAAATCGCTTTTGAAATTCAGGTGGAGGCTGTTCGGAATAAATTTGTGCTTTTGGTTTTGGTTTTAATGGAGGTGGAGCCCCAGATTTTAATTTCTCAAATTTGGATATGAATTCAGTTTCATCTTTAGTTTTGACAATTGGGGTCCTGGTTGGTGATTGATTCCTTAAGCTGGTTAACTTCTTCTCAAATTCTTTAATTTCTGAACTTTTCGTTTCATGTTCATGCTTTTCATCCTTTACAGGGGATGCTGGAGACTCTCTGGTAGGCGATGCCGATCTTAACTTTTGTAATATTTCTCTGAATTCTTCGTTTGTCACTCTTGCCTCTGATGTAGAATCAATACTCTTTGGAGTTGGCTTCTTTGCAGGCTTTAATGGCGGGATCACTACTTTACCTTCGCCCCTCACAGCTTCTTCAGGAGCACGATTAACACGACTTTGAGGTTTGGATGGTTTGGGTAAAACTACAGGAACCACTCCTTTTCTTAAAAATTCCTGACTTTGAGGAGTTGAAGTTGTCAGCTTTGAATTGGATAATGAAGATAACCAATCACCTTTCTTTGGCAGCAAAGGCGATCCAGATAAGTTAGCAGTAGTTTTATTATCCAGTTCAAGGTCATCTGATTGTTGAGTGACCGTGGTTTTACGATTGTCTAATGTGGATGTTAACCAATCTTTCTTCTTGGGAGATGACCTAAATGGTACATCCATATTGTTTGCTTCTTCTTCATGTTTGGATGGTGAGTTGAATTTCGAATTGGACAATGAAGTCAACCAATCTGCCTTCTTGACTGGCTTGGGAGGAATTGTGATATTTTGTCTAGATGATGACGTCTGCTTTGCTTCATTGAGATTGTCATAATGATGAATTGTTGTTTTGGGATTTTCTAATGTCGAACTTAACCAATCCTTCTTCTTAGGAGGCATTACATACTTATTATTGCCTTCATTCACCTTTGGCGACGGACTAGAATTTACATTTGAATTCGATAAGGAAGTTAACCAATCTGCCTTTTTCGCAGGTCTTGGAGGAAGTGGCGCCCGTTTATCAGCTTCAACTGGTTTGCTTTCAACGGCATTCACATTCTTTATTGTCTTTTCTGGAGGAGTCTTGGTTTTGCTATTCCCCTCGAATTCAGCCACATCTTCTTTTATCAACTTTTCAATCTCTGAAAAAGATCTATATCCACCAGCTTCGGGGTTGACTCCCGCTTTGGATGGGATGAAATCTGCTTTCGCAATGGAAGGTTTTGATTTCGGTGGAAGTGGAGGAGTAGATTTTCTTGCGATAGGGTTAATTAAATCAATTGAGAAATCAAGTGATGGTTCTTGCTTTCGTCTAGGAAGAGCAGGAGGGTTTGAATCATCAGTCTCATATCTTGCAGGACGTCTAGGAAGAGGCGGCCCATCCTCCTCATCATCATTAGCTGCCATGTTAAAACTTTTCACTGGTACTGGTGGACGATTTCTCGAAAATTTCAAATCTGGTATCGTGGATGCATATTGTGAATTTGTACCCGAATATACCAGTTCATTCCCCAATCCTGATGATTTAGATGGAGAAATACTGCCCAGTTTACTGCGAAGTTCATTTATGTTACGTTCGAGATTTCTTTGACGTTGTTGATCTTCTCGTAATCTCTCTTGGGATAGTTCAGATAAACTGGATAGAAAATCATCGACTTTTTTGCTGGATGGTGATACCTCTGCCATTTGTGTATTAAATAAGCTTTGCTTGCTTAAGAAGAGATGTTTGGGAAGTAAGAAGTGTTAGAATCTGAAATTTCGATATGGATTTTTAGGATACGTCCAAATCAGGAAATCAATTCCTTTGGAAATTTCCCTGGCAAGTTTCAACAATCGTTAATCTCCACACACAAAACAAAGCAGAGTCAATTAGTGATTCAGGTTCGATTCATAGATTAGAATCACCTATTGAAACAACTGGAACCCTATCATATGTCAATTACTTTAACTTAGGGAGGAATTTGGGAATTTTCACGTGACCACGAATTTCCGTGATTACATAATCCATTTTTTCTCCCTTTAACATAAAATTTTAAGCGGAAAGTTGAATTCTTACTAATTGAAATCATATTCCCTTTTAAAAACGAACAAACATGTTGTCTAGAAGGTCGATTGGGATAGGTACCGCTTCATTTCCAAGATTAATCCAAAGACAGAACAGTCGTCTTGTTCCTTATCTTCGAAATAATGTCACCCTGTTTAAAAGAACGGTGAAGACTTCAACATTTGATTGGAAACCAGTGAAAGCAGTTCCAGGAAATTTAGCCACTATGGAACAACAAAAGAAAAGACCAATATTAAGAGGAGTCCTATTGGGATTAATGATTGCCATGCCGGTAATTTCATTCTTTTTAGGATGTTGGCAAGTTAAGAGATTGAAATGGAAAACTGATTTAATTGCAAAGTCCGAAAATTCTTTAGCCCAACCCCCAATGGAAGAATTACCTGCTATCCTTGATCCGGATGTGATTCCTGAGTTCGAATATAGGAGGTTTAAATGTAAGGGCCATTTTGATTATTCTCAAGAAATGTTCTTAGGTCCAAGAATGAGAGATGGAGCATTAGGATATCTTGTGGTTACTCCATTTATTAGAGCTTCTGGTGGGAAGCCTATATTGATTGAAAGAGGTTGGATACATAAGGATAAAGTTATTCCTGATACACGTAAATCGGGGTATTTATCTCATTTAGCTATGCCGCAGGGAGAAATTGAAATTGAAGCGTTGTTTAGAGTCATGCCTACGAAATCATCATTGCAATTCGATCATGAACCAGGAACTAGAATGTTTACGTTTCCTGAAGTGCCTGCTATGGCGGAACAAGCAGGGACATTGCCGATCTATTGTCAGATGATTTATGATTTACGCGATCATCCAGAATGGAGAAAGCATGAACCACAACCAGAAGAAAGTTCTAAGAGACTGACTTCGATACTTGGAGTCTTATTGCATCGGTCTGAGAAGTCGGAAGAACAACAAAAACAATCAAAAGAAGATGATGATGCGGCATTTATATCTAAATTAGCAGAGGAGGATGCGACTTTACAATATCAAGAAATTGAATTTATCAAGGCAGGGGTACCAATTGCTCATACACCAAAGGTAAAATTAAATAACAATCATATGCAATATTTAGTTACATGGTTTGGGGTTTCAATTGCAAGTTCAGGATTGTTAGCATATAGTATTTGGAAGAATAGACAATTCCTGAGTGCTGAAAAGATCATAGCTGCCAAACGTCAAGATATGAAGAAGACCTTTTAGAAATAATTTAACTTGTATTTAGAATTATCTCATTAATTTACATATGTATATAGTAAATAGTAGAAAATGAAACAATTGTCTAACGAATAAAACTCAATAATCCAAATAAAACAACCACCAAGGATAAATCACCCAATACTATTCCAATAAGATCATAATAAGCCAATCCTCTTGAAATATAAGGTCTTATTTGTGTGAGTTGAGGAAGAAACATTGATCCAAGTGAAATACCCTTCATAATTAAATGGTTTTCATGTTTGGTATTGAAAATCCCCGTTTTCACACTAATCATATAATAACTGGCAACTATTAATACTTCAGCCGTGAAAAACCAAGTGATAAACCCAGTCAATGGTGTTGGTGATACCAATCCTCTAACGTAAGGATGACTTGATGCATGAAATAATTGATCTGGAATTGTAAAGAAATGATAAAAGAAATTGAAACCAGTAAATAAATATCTAACAATTAAAAACCTGAATTTCCAAAGATTTTGTTGATATACATTATAGGCATAAAGTTCAGTTTGATATTTGTTTGCAGTTGGATCAGCAGCAGCACCACCGCTTGCTGCGGCAGCAGCGTTAAGAAGATCAGATTGACTATCATTTGCACCTTCTGTAAACATCTTCATAAATTGTGCCATCGGATCATTAAGATCACCCGGTGCTCCTCCTGCTCCAATTCCTCCTGACCCTCTCAGACCCGATGCAGCAGAAGCTTGTTGGAACACTTTTCTAAAGATTTCATCAATATCTTCAGGCGTTTCTTCTCCAATTGGTGGAGTTGGGGATGCAAAAGTTTGGGTTGCAATTGAGGTAATATCTTGAATATCAGGATCGTCATCATGATGAGAAGGAAGGGAAGTGGTATCTGCCGAAGCTGGACTTGAAGAAGATGGAGTCTCTTGTTCTTCTGATTCAGTTGATTCTTGTGATTTGTCTAATACGGATGTAACTTGGGTGGTTACTGATGCTCCTTGAGATAATATAGTGTTTAAACGACTAGAAGCATTTCCTTTTGCCATTTTGGCTTGTCTTCTTTCTCGTAAGAGTTTCCTCTTTTCTGCTTCTGACAATTGAGCTTCCGTTCCTGTTGATTCGGACATTGTTTGCTCTGTGGGTTGTGTAAGGGGGGTGTCTGTAGTAGATGATAAATAATTTGGTGGAGCATTGAATTACAGTCATTCAACAATCTTTTTTTTTTTCAGTGTTGTCCTGCCTGGGGCTAATAATCCTTCCTACCACCCTCAATACGGGAAACAATAAATCTTTTTATTTAACAGCTTTACAGATTCAAAGAGAGAAACAGGTAAAGTTAAGAAAGCACCATGGATGCATTTACTACCGACGAGGGGGGAGATAACAGTACGATAGCTCCATTATCACCACCAATGGATTATCAAGAACAATTAAGAAGACAAACAATTATAAATTCAATTGAAAACAAAGATTATTTACTTGTAATTGCTTCACAACAAAATAAATCAGTACAACAAGTCATTTATGAACTTAAATTGAAATTAGTTACCCAGGGATGTTAATAGAAAGTTATTAATTAAATAGAACTACATAAACCAAAGATACCCCTGTACATTCCCCATAGAAAAGATTAGGAAACATATCTATCTAAATCGAGGTCTATTTGCTAAGGAATTTGATTTCTGTAATGGTTGAACTGGTTTAGTAGGTCTTGTATAACCAGGGTTGGAAACTTTATTAGCATTAGAATTCAAAGAATTCATATATCTAGCAGGTTGGTTGAGATTAGGTTTAGATGAACTCTGTATTGAACTTGGGGTTGTTACTGTAGGTTGTTGTTGTGATGTCCTTCGTGCTGGTATTCTTGATGACTGAGCTGCTGCTGCTCCCTTTTGATTTATGGAAGATGTGGAAGTGTTCAACAATGATGAATCTGATTCACGTCCAGGAATTCTAGGTTTCTGAATACGCGATGATGATGCGGCTGTTGCTCTTGTACCAGTAGCTGTTCTTGTTGGCATTGGTCTCGTTGACCTTGTTGCAGTTGTTTTTTGAAATAAGGGGTTTGTAGGTCTGGTTGGTGGTAAAGACTTAGATTCTTGTTCTAAAGTTGATTTTAAATTTGAATTCAATTCTTGTGCATTTGCTAATCTTCTTTTTAATTCAATAATTCGTTGTTCTCTTTGTCTCTTTTCTTGTAATTGCTCCCATGCTTTTGTATTTGGAGCACCTGGGAAATCAACACACCACATAGTTAATGATAAACCATATAAAAACCCAGCAAATGATTCATTGAATTCGTTATTGATTGTATTATGAATGGAAGATAGTTTGGACATATTGCTATCTAACTCTTGAAGGACGTCAGCTAAACATGAGAATTGATTAAAGAAACCATGAGATTCAAATGGTATTTGATTTTCATCAATTGGATAATGATGTGGTGTTGTTGATCGATTTAATTGAAAACCAGAAGATCTACGCAGATGTCTTCTATTTGTCAATCTTCTTTCTTGTGCGGGTGATGATGACGACATGAGAACTAATAGCTAAGTTTGTATATATAATTGTAATGTATATAAGAGTTTATAGAAAGAAATCATTGTTTGTTTATAAATTTCATTTTTTCAATCAATCAACCAGATGAGTCGCGACAATCTAATTTTCACTACCAATAATTTGTTGCCAAGTTTTACCTTCTTTTCTTAATTCATTGGCTAATTCATCTCTAATCTTTGCAACTAATCCAGGACCCTTATAAGCAAACGCGGTATAAAGTTCAATGAAAGTTGCACCTGCTTTACCAAATTCTAAAGCATCTTTCCCAGTAGAAATACCACCACAACCAATCAATACCAAATTAGAATCTTTAGTATATTTTCTTAATGTTCTTAATGCTTTAAGTGCTAAAGGTTTTAAAGGCTTACCTGATAATCCACCAGTTTGATTAATTAATTGGGTATCTGTAGTTAATAATTGATCTATTGGTCTTTGGATTGTAGTATTAGAAATAATAATTCCATCTACTTTTGCATCTTTTGCTGAGGTTGCAATTGATTCAATCTCTGGTTCAGTTAAATCTGGAGCTACTTTAACTAATACTGGTGGTATCTTACCTAATAAGTTCTTACCAACATTATCTCTTTCTTTAACAACAGTAGTTAATAAATTGGTTAATTTCTCTTCACTTTGTAAATCTCTTAAACCTGGAGTATTTGGTGAAGAAACATTAATAATTAAAACATCAGCATATTTACTTAATCTTTCAACCCCTTTAGTATAATCAGTAACTTCATCACCAAACTTATTCTTACCTAAATTAATTCCTAACAATTTCCCTTCTTTAAAAGCATTTGAAAATGGTTCATCATTAGGAGATTTTGCTGATTTTTCAAATTTAGTTAATAATTTATTAAATCTAACTTTTAAATTAGCAATTACATTGAAATGACCAGATGAATTGAAACCATATCTATTAATAACTGCATCATCTCTAGGTAATCTAAAAAATCTAGGCTTGGGGTTACCTGGTTGTGGTTCAGGAGTAATTGACCCAATTTCAACATATGAAAACCCACTATTGAATAAAGCTTCAATAGCTTCTCCATCTTTATCCAACCCAGCAGCTAATCCAATTGGATTTCTTAATTTGGTTCCAAATACGTCAACTCCTAAAATATCACTTTGATCATTATATCCTTCATCTAATAATCTAGGAGCCAATCCATACTTCATGAAAAATATCCCTAATTTATGTCCTTGTTCCCCGTCAGTGAATGTACGGATTAATGGACATAATACGTATTCATGGAATGCCGAACGAGCATCTAATAAATAATAACCACCAGCAATTGCTCCTGCTAATCCACCAATTAAAAGAATTGGAGTTGGAACAACTTGTGATCTTAAGGGGGTGACAACTCCCTTAGGAATTCTTTGTGGTTTCAAATGTTTGAGTATAAGACGTAATGAACTCATAGTGTACAGATTGGGTCTTATCTTGTTAAAATGCTAAGGATGATAAGAAGAAGAAGAAGGGTGAAATTTTATGGGATGATTTCATAGGTTTCTAATTTTTCAGCATACTGTATATAAGCACACAACAAGATGTAGCATTGACCGTGGGGTGGTGTGTACTTTGCTCAAAAAATATCAATACGTCATTCCTACTACTGTGGGTATTACTATTACTAAAAACTAGTGACAACTACTACTACTCTTTCCATTAGTAATAACAAGTAGCTGGTTAATTGTGTCCATAATTAGTGTGCTAATAGGGTCGCGTGTGACTAAAAGCCCGGGGGTTGTAGCACTGCGGTCAGCATTATCACAACAAGAGACAATATTTCCATTCTGCCGAAAATATTGTTGATTAATAAAATAACCTTGAAATCTACTGTCACTGGAGAGACTTGATCTATAGTAATAATAAATAGAGATAATTGGGAGAAGGAAGAAGTTGTAGCAGTAAAAGTTCTAACAAATCAGTAAGTGTTAGCTCTCATAGAAATATTTTTTTTTTGCTGGTTGCGATGATCTTCTCTTTCATCTGAAAATTAAAATTAAAAAATTAAAAAAAAAATCTATCAAACAACGAATACAGTAAGAAAACATCACCTATCAACAATGGCACTTACAGGCAAAATGGGATCATATGAAAGAGAGGGGACATCCAAATATGAACGTGGAAGTTCTTCTCATTCAAGAAAAGCAAAGTACACAAAAGATAAGAAATTAAATGCAAAACTAAAACATATGGATCAACAATATAAAGAAGCACTAAGATCAGCAGCTGGTACCGATTTATTATTACAAGAAGAAGCAGGGTTCTTAGAAGCTGAAAGTCCCATGGAAAGAACTTTTAAGTTTAAGCAAGATGATATTACTGAAGCTGTAGATATAAATACTGCCAATAAGAAATTTGAATTAAATTTACCTGAATTTGGACCTTATCAAATTGATTATTCAAGAAATGGGAGAGAATTGTTATTAGGAGGTAAAAAAGGACATGTTGCATCTATTGATTGGAGAACTGGACAACTTGATTGTGAATTACATCTTAATGAAACCGTACATGCTGTGAAATATTTACATAATGATCAATATTTTGCAGTAGCACAAAAGAAATATACATTTATTTATGATAAACAAGGTACTGAATTACATAGATTGAATCAACATATAGAATCTACCTTATTGGATTTCTTACCTTATCATTTCTTATTAGCAACTGCCGGAAATACTGGGTTTTTGAAATATCATGATGTCTCAACTGGTCAATTAGTAAGTGAATTTAGAACAAAATTAGGTCCAACTCAAGCAATGAAACAAAATCCTTGGAATGCGGTTATGCATTTAGGTCATGGTAATGGTACTGTATCCCTTTGGGCCCCAAATATGGCAACTCCTTTAGTTAAACTTCAATCTGCTCGAGGTCCAATTACTGACCTTGCAATTGATCGTGAAGGGAAATATATGGTTGTAAGTGGTGCTGATAAAACTTTAAAAGTTTGGGATATACGAAAGTTTAAAGAAGTTGATCAATATTATTGTCAAACTCCGGCAACTTCTTTGGATATTTCTGATAATGGATTATTATCAGTAGGTTGGGGTCCTCATGTCACTATTTGGAAAGATATATTTAAAGGAAAACATCAATCAGATCCATATATGAATCATCTTATACCTGGATCAAGAATTGAAAGAGCAAAATTTGTTCCATTTGAAGATATATTGGGGATAGGTCATCAACAAGGTTTCAATTCTATAATTGTTCCTGGATCGGGTGAAGCTAATTATGATGCTCTTGAAATTAATCCATACGAAACCGCTAAACAAAGACAACAACAAGAAGTTAGATCATTATTGAATAAATTATCTCCAGATACTATTTCTCTTGATCCAAATATTATTGGTACTGTTGATAAACGTGCATCATCAATTAGATTAAAACCAGGACAAATTGGAGAAGTTGTTGAAGCTAATAAATCAACCAAGATGGAAATTAAACCAGAAGTAAAGGGAAAGAATTCGGCATTAAGAAAGCATTTAAGAAGAAAGAGACAGAATGTTATCGATGAACGTAAATTAAGAATAGAAAAGAATTTAAAGATGGAAAAGGAAGCTAGACAAAGAAGACAACAAGAATTGCAAGGAATTCCACAACAAAAAGATGTATTAGGTGCTGCTTTAGATAGATTTAAGTAAAATAAATAGACACAATAGGTATTTCATTTAATGATTCTGATATGGTCGAATATTCATTTCTCTAGCAATATCATAAATCACCTTTTCAAATACAGCATTTTCCCAATGAATTGCTTCAATTTCATCTTCTTGAATATAATAACCTTCTTCTTCTACACTTCTGGAGCTATCAAATTTGGATGAATCAATGACAAGCAGTTTGGAATTCGCAGTGAATGGTAATGCTTTATCAATTGGAAGAAAAGGACATTCTTCTGAATCATTTGTACGTTGTTGATCTCTAATTTTATTTATTAAATTTTGATCTTCATCAATTAAAAATTCAAGACTTGTTAAACCAAATGTACTTAATTTCGAAGTATATGTTCCAATCTTAACAAGTTGTTGACAAAACCTCTTGACTTCAAATTTATCATGGAAAAGAATCAATTTCTTAAAATCAACAATTTCTGCTAATTGTCGATTATAATCACTGCAAATATCAATTCTGGTACTAAAATGAGTATCTAAGACTTTCCTCAAGATTTCAATTTGTGCATCAAATTGATTAGATAGAACTCTTTGGAATTGACTGGTCTCACCTCCCTCGTTGAATAATTTGTCAAGTTGCATTTCATTATGATTGATATTATTAAAATCTTCTTCATATAATAAGAATCTCAATAATTGATATAATTTAATTGGTTGCAAAAATTGTTCAGGAGTACAATCGGTGGATATTACACTTTTAGGGAATTCGGAAAGCCATCGAATAATGGCATGTATTAGTTTGTAAGTATCTCTATCATCAAATGTCATTTCTTTTGAAGTCATTGGAGGGTGTAAAGTGGGAAGTGTATTCTATTTAGCCCAGTTTATTCTAATAAGCGTTTAATTAAAGGTTGCAAAAATGAAAACTCAGTTATTAAGTCAATTTGTCGCGCTAGAAAATAGAACGGAATTGAATGAGTTTAAACTAAAGTTACAGGTACTAAAATTCGAGATCATCTTTGAAATGTGGGGTTACTATAATTTGCTGGTATCATCGTATAAATATAAAATCTTGTTCACTTATTGTATTAATTCTATTCGTTAGTTCAATTTTATGGACGATATTCACTTTTCTATCTGTTGTCCAGTTTTGTATAACAAAGAGAGTTACCCGACCTTGGTATCACGTACTATTTCTTTTGTTCACTAAAGTATTCTTATTAATACTTTATCTATTTCGACCAAAACTTGCACTGATTTTTGTATGAAAAATCGATTTTATTATATAGATATTCCATTCTTAAGAAGCTTGCATAAGTCACTATTTAATAATGTTGGTTATTTTAGCTAGATTCCCATATGGAAATACCATGCTGCCCAGAGTGGTGTCGAACATCAGATCCTATTTTTCAAAAAAACCTGAGCAGTTCTAATAGTAAAAAATATAACTAACTGTGCCAAAACATCGCAAGCTGAAACAAAAAGTCTTAACGAATTGGGCGTTGGTGTCGTGGCACGTGAATATCAGGTGGCATTTTGCACGTGATCCATATCATGTGACCAATTTCTAAATTGGAGTTAATTCAACACTCCCACTTGGTATAGGTAAGTTAGATACGTCTATGGATTATACTGGTCTATATCTAGATGATATATGGATTATAAGAAGAAAGAATAAGTGCTTTCTGCTCTTTTGAAAGTATTCATATATGACCAATAGTTGACCACCCAACTGAAGCAAAGCCTCTCATATGAACCTTAAGATATGACCCGATGCTCCATATGAAGCAGAGAATCTCATTATCGGTGCTCTTCATTTTATTGGTATTTGAAAACCATGTCTGATCTTTGCTTTTGTGGTAATGATGTTTACAAACACTAGTTTAGAAACACAAAAACAGTTTACAAACAGGAATTTCTGTGGGCGGCTAATTTTCGACTCTCCTCCAATCTGCTTCAAATCATATGGAAAGTAATCTCCCTTCTCTAATCACCACATTCTGACGTTGATCTATCAGTTTGATTTTGGTTGAAATAATGCTTGTTGAAATATCTGTTTGTGGTTGAAAAGTTTACAAAAAGAAGTTTAGAAACAGAAGTTTACAAACGGAAGTTTAGAAATATGCTTACAGCTTGGTGAATTCACTGGTTCCCCTACCTACACCACATGCCCCTGCCTACACCACATGCCCCCTACCTACACCACACCCAGACCCCATGCCCACTACTTGCACCACTCATTTATCTATTCCTTCACGGACTAGTTTCTTCCGTGGTCCATTCATTAGCTCATTCAGTCAGGCAGCCATTGTTCTATTCCTTGATTGTCTCCCTTCTTCAATACCATCCTATTTCGAGCTGCTTAATCCAACAAAGAGAAGCTGCAAGGGTTGGAAAGGTTGTACCAAACCTTCCAATGTTCTGAGAAGATTGTAGCCAAAGAAGCAGCAATTGAAACGTTTTATTTTGAACTCAGTTGGTGACAGATGGCTGGTTAGATGGAATATTATAAGAAATAAGTGAAGAGGGATGGATGGATGAAGGATGACGGAAGACAAATGAAGTATGGAATGTGGGATACAATGATTGACTGACTGAATGAATAAACTATAGAATGAATGGAATAAGAAGAAACTATCTGTGACAGGAAGAAATTAATGAATGGATAAAGGAATGAACAACCAATGAATAGATGAATATGAGGCAAAAGGCAGTAGACAGAGCAACATTATAGATGACATAATTAGTAGATGAATGAGTAATGAAATAAGAAAGGTGTGATAATATGGAAAGAGAGAATTAATGAAAGAAGAAAAAGAAAAAGAGAAAAGAAGAAAAGAAGAAAACAAAAAATTTGAATTCTAGGGGATTTCTAAGTCTATTTATACTTGAGACTTTTTTGCAACCACAAAAAATTTGCAACCAAATTTGTTTATAATTTTTTATATACTGAATAGCACTATTATAATTGCACAACCACAAAAAAGTTCATATACAAAATAAAACTAAGGCGTATTTGAAAACAGGGGTTCGTAACTTTCTATCAAAGCTAATAACCACAAAAAGAATTCTTGTATTTCCTAAATTTATGAAGCCTCACCAATGGGGAACTAGATGACTATTTGATTTGATGTGTAGTTCCATTACAATGGTTTGGGTTTACTATTTCATCAATATTATTAATACATTTGTTGTGTTTGGTCTTTATTGAATGTATTCTTGAAAATAGAAGTAAGTATGTGTTAGCTTTTACATCTTTATTTCATTATAGTATTATACTTATAGAATATTCTCTATTAATGTTTATGTTTTGTTGTAAATAGTTTATAATGTAATTTGGTATGAATAAATAAACAATAAATTGGCTGCCAAAAAATTAGCTGAAATTAAGTTGTTAATTATTTTCTTTATTTTAATAAATACTTAATCTGAAATCATTTATATCTCTAAATATTCATGTAGTAGTAGTAGTAGTAGTAGTAGTAGTAGTAGTAGTAGAAGTGCTGTATAAGATTAGAATATTGGTTGGTTGTTGTAAAGACAACAATTTTAATAAGAGATTCTACATTATAATTAATTCTCCACTTGATTAAAATGCTGGTCATATAGAAACTAAGAAAAGAGAGAGGTTAATGGTCGTGGATAGCACCAATTGTCAGTTGTATAGACTTGTATTTGATTCTCAATGTATATGTTTCATATTCGTATACTTTTATCATTTACTATTGGTTTAATATATTGACGAAAATGATCTTAAATAAAAACAATAAACCAAAGAAGAGGAAGAACTTAAGAAAAAAGAATAATTGGAAACAAAAAAATAAAAAAAAGAAATTTGAAATTTAAAAAAAAGAATTTAAATTTCGCCATTGAGAAATTGAAATCCAAATTTTTTCTTTAAATTCATTAACTTCCATCTTAAAGGAAATATACATATATACAGTTTCGACTACTAAAAAGTAATAGTACTTACTTATATCATTTACCTATACTATTACTATTACTATTACTATTACTTATAGCTTCTTTACCAGGTATCGGAAGGATAATATATATATATACAGGGCAAAGGCAGACCTAATCAACATCTACTATTACATCTTATAGGTTAGGGGTAATAGTGAATAATTTACACATACCAGGAATAACAACAGGGGGGAATACATATATTACTATAAGGATTATTGGCATAGTTAATACGGATTAATTTACTTTTATTTTCATTTCATATACATTATACTTTTATACTTTTATTACAAGTTTTTACAACAACCATCTACAACAACAATAATACATAAGATGATGACAACAGGATTTAAATGGGGAATGAATAACACCCCTTTAACTAATAATACTACAACAAATGTCACAAGCACAACAGCAGAGACAAGCTCATCACTAACAAATAATACGCCCCGTTCTACCCCAGATGAATCAACAGCTTTAATCACTAAACCATCGATCAAGAAAAGAAGATATCATAATGATAATAACAACAACACTATAATAACTTCAGAAAGTGATATTCCTGGACGTAAATATTATCCACCACCTCCACCATCTAAATTTAAACGATCAAGAACTCCTAGAATTATTGGACAACCATTACCAACAAATAGATTAATTGAAGTATTAGATAAACATAGTTTACAAAGTTTATTAACAAATTTAATTCAATATCATCCAGAAATTCAAAATACAATTCATAAATTATCACCTAAACCAACTTTAATTTCATCTATTGAATTAATAAAAGAAAAATTTGATGATATCTTAAATCATTTACCTTATAAATGTGATATTGAAAGTGATTATTCTTATTTAAGAATTAAACCTCATTTACAAGAATTTTTAGAATGTTTAAGTGATTTTATATTAAGTTTCTTACCTCCAATTGAATTAAATATTATTACTTCATTAACATTTTTACATGAAATTACTAATTTATTACATAATTTACCCAATTTTTCAAATAATGAATTTCAATATACAAGATCAATGGCTTATGAACAAATTGCAAATACTTGGTTAATAGTTGTTAGTAGTCAACAACAACAAAGAGACGACAAAGAAGATTCTCCGTCTACTTCCAGTGGTACTACTGAAGATTGCAAACAAATCATAACAATCATCCATGAATATGATTTATTAGATAAATTAGCCAAACATAATGAAATTTCTAGAAATAAATTCATTAAAGTAATTGATTACTTAAAATCTGAACTTGAACAAGATGAATTGATTAATCATGCAACTTCTAATAATCCATTAAGTGATATGATTACTGTTGATTATTCAAATTATTCAATCATTGCCAGAACTTCTCATTAATTGTACATATAAATATATTTTTAGTAATTCTATATGTAAATGCTATCTAAAAGTGTGTGATGTATAAATTCTCTCTACAAACAAAGTTGTAATGCATCGATTGCTTCTTGATTATCAGGTGAAAGGATTAAACTACGTTGAATATCTCGTAATTTCCCATTCTTTAATAATGCTTCTGAAAATTGTAAACAATTAACTTTTGTATCATGTAATGTAACAACCGCTTTTGCCATTTCATTACTAACATTCTTCCAAACATTATAATCAAATGGAAACAAATAAGCATATTTAAGCCAGACTGAATTATCTCTACTTCCTCCTTGTAATCGATGATTAATCTCCGTAAGTAATTTAGGTACTTCTCTATATGTATCATTCACCAATTCATCCAAACTTAACCCTTGTAATTCTTCTTTAATTGCCCCAAGATATTCTTCTAAATTATCAACTAACGAAATTGCACCAAGAGTTAAAACAACAATTAATGAAGATCCATGTTCTTCAATATGAGCAAATAATTGATCGATTGCCGCTTGTTTGGTTTCTTCTGATCCATGAGAATATAAAATTTGTGCAATTAAAGTAACAATAACCAGGGAATCACTATATATCCCCAAAATTACCTTCAATTCTTCTAATGCTGCTTCAAATTGATTAGTAGAGAAATAACTCAATCCAATAGTAACTCGACTAGACAAAATAATCTCAGGAAGATCTTCATCATTCCCTTCAATCAATTCAAGTGCAACTTGTGAGTTTTCCAATGCCAATTCATAATCTCCAATCGCTAAATAAATTCTTCCAATTTGTGCCTTCATCAAACTAAAATTCTCCAAAACACTTTCATCCTCATTTTCTTCATATTTCTTCTCCAAAATTTCACATAATTTATTTCCATATTTAATAGCATTCGTATAATCCTTACATCTTTCCGCAATCGTTACCGCAATACTCAACCCATGTTCATCTTCAGGATAATATTTCAAATATTGAACAATCGCCGCATTACTAATACTCAACTCCTGTGCCGTCTCAACATCTCTCGGATCATCACCATTCCCATGGGCAACTCTTCGATTCACAACCGATAATCCATATAAAAATTGCGCAAGCGCTAAACGTCCTTTACTCAACGTGAAAGCATGGGTATAATAATTCGCCGCCTTGGACTCATCTCCCAACATTTCCGCCACCACGGCATGTCCTAACCAAGATTGAGCATCTTCAGGAGCAACCGATTGTGCTCTCAAAAAAGTCTCCTGGGCGAGTTTTAAATCACCATATCTCAAAAACAAAACCGCGAGATTGATCCAGATTTCTGCATCTTGGATTTCGAGGGTTGTGGCTTTGATATAACAATGTTGGGAGATTTGTGGACTGGTTGAGAAATATGCATTTCCTAACGCGATCCAATAATTGGCATTATTGGGTTCGAGTTGGATGGATTTTTTGAATAGGATAATAGAATGATCACGATAGGTTGCGGTGCTTGTTTCATCATTGTCAAGGAGTTGATAGGCTTCAAGTAATGAAAGTCCAAGATTGTAATATGCGGTTGATCGTAATAATTTATTGACTTTGCCGGGAAGGACTTTGATTCCGGCAACTGATCCGAGGATTATAAAGATGAGCAATGCCTTGACACGATTACCTTGGTCAAGCAATTCACGAGCATGTTTGAATGTGATTGATTCGTCGAGGATAACAATATCGGAAATCACTTCAATGACTTCTCCTTCATTAAGGCCAATATGTTCAAATATCTCAATTATGGTATCAAATGGAACTTTATCGAGATGTTCTTGAATTTTAGTGAATACTTTAAGTGCATCCCCCAAAGATTTCCAAACCTTTTGAGATGACGAATTCACAACCACAGCCAGTTTTATAAATTCCAAAGCTTTTAATATTGCGTTTATAGCTCTACCGAAAAACCCCGAGGTAATAAATCGTTTCCCATTCTCAATATTTGCCTCATATATCGCACTAATCAAACATTCTTCATTCGGATTTGTTTCTAATGCACTATACAAATATGTCAACCCTTCATTATATTCCTTCATTTCACAAGTCACAACACCCAACATATATTGAACGGTCCAAGGAATCTCCCCTGATTCCCTCATTGTTATTGCATGTTGGAAAACTTTTACAGCAGCATCATATCTTCCACAATTATAATATGCCTCACCTAATCCTACCCAACATTCAAAATCATCCGCTGAGATACGGATAGCGTTTTGAAACCATTCAACGGCTTTTGCATCGTCTTGGGAATTCAATGCCCCGCATCCTAATACACGATATGGCCAAGCGCGATCTTCTTGAGTTGCACGTAATAAGAGACGACGGGGTCCTTCTTCAGATACGACTCTTTTCGATAAGACTTGAGCCACTTCCCATTCATTTTTGGCTGTAGCTTGTTCAACTAAATATCTTGCCGAGATGATTTCATTAATATCGAGATCAAATGCTTTATAGAAACATTTTTGAGCTCGATCAATGTCTCCATAATAATCTTGGAAAAGTATACCTAATAAAGTATAACTTGGTGCATAAAATTCATAATCTTTAAGAGACTGGATTAAATGAGAATAGCATTGTTTGATATTTTCTTGATTGGTATCATCTTCCATAAGATATCCCTTTGATAATCTATAATGAGCAACTGCTCGAATTTCACCACTATGTAAATCACCTCCAGTTATTTTGGTTATAAATTTCTCAAGTCCTAATTTCCCCTTTTCGAATTCTCCTAATTTAACTAAACACCAATAATATTCCAACTCCGCATGTCGATTCTCAGGAGCTTCTTGTACGACTTCTTCTAATATCAGTTTTGCTTGGTTTAATTCTCCTCTTTCAACAAAAATTAACCCTTTGCCAACTTTTGCTTTAATATTTGATTTATTAGTCTCAAGAATCTTATCATATAAATGAAGTGCTCGGTTGAAATTCTTAGGAGCTTCATAATAAGTATATACAATCGCCAAAGAACAAAAGAAATCATCTTTTGTATGTTCCAAATCAATCCCAAAAGTTCGTTGGACATCTGCAACTAATCGAATCCCATCTTTACATCTTTCTGAAGCACTATGATATTCTCGCATATGAAGATAATAATTAACAATGATTCTATTGGCTAAGATTGAATCTTTGGCTTTGTTATATCCTTCCAAGAGATGTCCGAGGATTTCGTCCTGAGGGAGATAATATTGAGAAATATCAGTTTGTTCTTCTTCTTCGTCAATTAGATTTTCGAGAACTTTGGCATCCTCTTCATCATTCTCTAATGCGGGAGAATCAAGTTTGAGGATTTGCTTGGATTCGGATTTGGATTCAAGTTGTTGTTGATGGTTTAGGGATAATGATTTAATGACTCGTTCTTTGTTATAGGGTGAGATTTCACTCATTACAAATGCAAATAAAATCAATCCCAATCCTTCATTTTGATAAGCTTGTAAATATGTGATAATTTTATCTTCATCTAATTCATAAATACTTGGAGCATCATTCCAATTGAAAAATAAATTCCAACAAAATAAACTGGTAGTTTTTAAAAGAATCATGTCATCAACAGTAGTCATTATATCTTTAAACATTTCTGATTTATCGGGACAAAATTTCAATAATTCATATTTATATTTCAAATAATTCTCTTGATATTTCCTTCTAAGCTCATCATCATTACAAACATTAAGAAAACTTTCAAATAATTCAGATAAATCACTTTCTTGATGATAATTCCAAGCAATAGTATCCAATTTCGCCTTTTGATCAACTGTTAAAATTCTTCCAAATTTGACTCTTTCTTTAGCTAATATTCCTTGTACTATTTTATCCAATCTTGTATATTTAAAATCCAATAATTTCTTTAAACTCAGTTCAGGAGATTCCAAATTATATTCTCCAAGTTTGCCACCAGGAATAATCAATCGTAAATAATATTCATACAACTCATCATTACTCTTATAACTATTCATATCCAAATAATTCTTTACATCTCTTATAGTTTCACCCAAACTCAATCCTTGATCAACTTGTATCTTAAATAATTCAATAACCACCCTAAAAAACCCAACATAATCAGGCAATGTCCTAACAATCTGGAAATACCCTTTCCAAGCCAATAAGTTCCCAGGTTCAATTTGAGTTGCTATTTGGAATGCTTGAATTGCTTGAGGAAATTGTCGTAATAACTGATAGGATTTTCCTTTAAATAGATAGGCGAAAAAACACTTATCATCAATTTCTAAGGCATCATTGGCAAATTCTAGGGCAGAATCTGGATCGCCATGTTCAATTGCTGCTTTTGCAGACTTTAGAAGTTTCTTTATCTGTGACATTTGCCCTGGTAGGTGTTTTGATGGATGTTGGTGGGGGGGGGAGAATGAGAGAGAGGGATAAAGATGGATGCGATGAAAAATTGCACCGTTTTTGTTTGTTGACTATTTTGAGAGTGTTACCCGACTTTCTCACTGATAACATTGGATTACTTTTATTTTCAACATCTTTGACATATATGAATCGATCACGCAAATGTGCCATTGGAATTGCAATTTCTAGGAGTGATTGAACAAAATGGACGTTATTGTGTGGAACGCGCTTTAATAGTTACCAAGGACACCAAACATTGATGCCTAAAGTGATATACATTTATATACTTAGTATTGTACGGATACATATTTGAAAACCGTTAACAAAACTTCCAAGGGCATTGATTGGCTGAATAGAATCCTTTAGCTGCTTCAATCGTCACCCTTCATACCCATTCATTTGTTTGTGCCATGTCTAAATCAACTTCGAGCCCCCAAACTTCTGTATATTATGCAACCAATTTTATTCGTCCTAGCGATCTAAATTACATGCACCGTTTCTACATCTATTGGGTACAAATTGATATAGATTGGAACTATTATAAACTACAGAATGGGGTATTAGATAGCAAAATGCTTTTACGTAGTACGAGCGAATTGTGACGGGTGGAGTGGAGAGTTTCAATGAGGCGAATGTTATTCTCGGCATTGAAAACAGCTCAACATGCTAAATCGCCGAAAAAGGATGACTGAATGTGTCTTGTTAGACCCCTCTTTTCACAAGAAGAAGTCATGTACATGGTATGATGGTAGTCAGCCACCGTGCCCCTATGACACCTCCTTAACCCATGAGCCAATCAAAGGATTATAGTGGTCAAAAAACTTCTGCGTTTGCAATGAATGGCCAGATACTAACCAAAACTTAGACTGATATCAACTACTGATACAAATCTGAAGGCATTTGGCTTCGAAAGTGGTCCCCTTCCTAGCTTTGGGCTAGAGAACTAGATTCAAGGTTAATGCACTTACTATTGTCTAGTCTTTGATTGATATTTGAATGATTGTTGTAGTTAAACAAAGAAGGATAACAAGAAGAAAGGAAAGAAGAAAACACGAATAGTTTTGTTTTTAGTGGAAATCATATGCTTTTTTTGCTTATCGGTGGTAGTATGGTCTTGTCAACAAATCAAAGGTTCTACTACTGGCTGGAGTCAAAAAACGGGGTTGAAGAAATTCACGGGAAGCCAAATCCACTGGAAGAAATGAAGTTCCAGATATGGCACGGCGATTTTGTTGCTAATAGATATGAGGGTTATGAATAATCAGCGTAAAAGCGACATTCAACACGTCCGTTTTTTTCTTGGTATAGGATTTGGGACTTTCCTTAGGTCCGACAAATACAATTGTCTGGTATCTATCCACCTATTGCTATTGTTGAAGTAACCTCATTCCTCGTTAACTAGATGTATAGCGTTAGCGAGAGTTGTCGGCTATTATCATGTTTGCAGTTTGTCTCTTTTGCCTCTTTGTTAAAAAAGTTGCAGCATAATTCTGCAAAGAGCTAATAAATAAGGTTTTTGCAGCAATATTTTCTTATCAACACGGCCAAGCATTATCTTTTATATTCCCAAAAATAAACTTAAATTAGAAAGACACATTTGGTGCCAAGCTATCAAATCTCTATACTCTATCCCTATAAATATCTCTCAATTCTCTGTCCAATTTGGTCAGATAATAGAGAGAATAAATTCTATAATTTTCAGCAATATCAAGCAGAATGACAGACATAGAAAAAAACACTGCTTTTACAACATCGTCAGACGACGTTGCAACAGACAAAGCCAATAATGGTACCACCCAGACTGAACAACCATCATTAACTGGTTGGGCAAAATTTAAAGACGGATTCAAACGTGCCCATGTTGAAGATTATGGACTTGATCCTAATATGCCCGAAGTTGAGAAAATCGCAATTTTGACTGCTAGATCGGCTTTACATCGTAAGCTTAAGAACAGACATTTGCAAATGATTGCAATTGGTGGGGCTATTGGAACTGGTTTATTTATCGGTTCAGGGTCAGCGTTATCTACTGCAGGTCCAGCAGGTTTATTGTTGGGTTATATCTTGATTGGTACTATGATATACTGCACTGTCCAGTCCTTAGGTGAGTTGGCAGTCACATTCCCTATTGCGGGTGCTTTTATTACCTACAATTCAAGATTCATTGACCCATCTTGGGGATTTGCTATGGCTTGGAATTATGCTTTGCAATGGTTAGTGATCTTACCTTTAGAATTGGTTGCTGCGTCTTTGACAATCAAGTATTGGGATCCAAACACCAACTCAGCGGCCTATGTTTCTGGATTCTTCTTCTTCATTATTTCCATTAATTTCTTTGGTGTCAGGGGATACGGTGAAGCTGAGTTTATTTTCTCGGCAACTAAGGTTATTGCTATCTGTGGATTTATCATCTTGGGTATTGTATTGATTGTTGGTGGTGGCCCACAAGGTGGTTACATAGGTGATAGGAATTGGTACATTGAAGGAGCTCCATTCCCAAATGGTGCCAAAGGGGTCGTCACTGTATTTGTAGGTGCTGCCTTCGCCTTTATCGGTACTGAATTATGTGGATTGGCTGCTGCTGAATCTGACAATCCAAGAAGGGCATTGCCTAAAGCATGTAAACAAGTGTTTTGGAGAATCACTTTGTTCTATGTTATTTGTTTAACTTTGGTTGGCTTGTTGGTACCTTATGATAACCCAAGATTACTCGGTGCTTCATCAGTCGATGCAACTGCATCTCCATTTGTCATTGCTATTCAAAACGGAGGGATTCTGGGCTTGCCCTCAGTTATGAATGTTGTTATCATGATTTCCGTTTTATCTGTTGGGAATTCTTCTGTCTTCGGTTCTTCACGTACATTGGCTGCTCTAGCTGCTGCTAAGCAAGCTCCAGCATTCTTAGGTTATGTTGACAGAAAGGGACGTCCGTTAATGGCAATTTTAGTCCAGTTATCGATGGGATTCTTGTGTTACTTGGCTGCCACACCAAAGCAGGATGAAGTTTTTGGATGGATGTTGTCCATTTCTGGATTGTCTTCCATATTTTCGTGGGCTTCCATTAACTTCTGTTTAATTCGTTTCAGAAGGGCAATGAAAGCAAAAGGACGTGATACTTCAGAGTTAACATTTGCCTCTCAACCAGGTCTAGTTGGTGCATGGTGGGGAGTCTTATTGAACGTCGTCGTGGTTTGCTTACAATTCTGGATTGCGGTGTTCCCATTGAATTCCCAACCAAGTGCAAAAGTGTTTTTCAGTAACTTCCTAACTGTGCCAGTTGTTTTGTTATTCTACTTTGGTCATAAAATATACACGCGAAACTGGAGCTTGTATATCAGGACCAAGGATATTGATATTGATACAGGAAGAAGAGAAGCTGACTTGGAAGTAGTTAAACAGGAAGTTGCTGAAGAAAAGGAATATCTCAGATCTTTGCCTTTCTATAAGAGAGTATACAATTTCTGGTGTTAGGGAAACTTGTTATTTGAATATTTGAATATCTCTTTCTTTCTTTTTTGTCTATTACATAAATAAACGATCTATGCTAACCTTTATTTTTAATTTCTAAACAGATTATACCCTTGCTCGATGTTGCACTGCCTCATTTATAATTGTAATGCCGTGGTTTAGCAAAATGAAAAATTAAAAACAAGGACAATCCTATTTAGTAACTTCGATAGCATTAGGCTGATCAAGTAATGTACTATAATACTATAATTTATTAATATAGAAAAACAAAATGAAATTTTTTACTTTTATAAACAGCTATGGAAATAAAACAACAACTAATTACTGTTAATCCTAATTCATTACATACAAGACAAACCGGTATCTTATCAATCAATAATAATCATTTCCAACATAACTAAGCCTATCATCATCGTCGCTTTCGTGTTCTTCTTCTTCCAATTCTTCTAAATCTTCATCAAATGCAGATTCACTTTCTAAATCATAATCAGCTTCATTGAATTCTTGAAATCTATTTCTTTTAATTTCAACTTCGTCTTCAGATATATCTAAATCATCTTCATTACTACCACTTCCACCTTTTGAATTAGTAAAACTACCTCCATTTATATTACTCAATCTATCATAGTTCAGGTTATGCTGTTGTTGTTGATGTTGCTTATTCTGTATTATTTTTGTCTTTTGTGTTTCATCCTCCTCATCTTCTTCGTCATATTCATCCTCTTCATTTTCTTCCAATTCAATCTTTAATTCTTGTAAAATATCAAAACATTCAGCTAATAATGCATTTAAAGTTCCTTGTCCTTCAGGAATTTGATTATTTACAATAAATTTCCCATCTTTACGTAAATTATCTAATGAACCTAATTTAAATTGGAATGGATATAATTCACGTAAATTATTTAAACCTTTAACTCGTTTTAATTCCAATAAACATCTTTTAACTGTTTGTAATTGATTATGAATTGGGGATAAACTTTCACTAACAGGTTCACTACTTTCTAATAATTTATAAATTATAGAATAACATCTTCTTAAAAGATATAATATCAATGTTTGATATTTTTTAAATAATTTTTGAACCATTGGATCAGTTTTTGAAGTTATAGTTGATAATCTTATTCTTTCTTCATCAATAGTTTTTAATGATTTTTGATAAGTATATAAATCAGTTTCACGTAAAGTCCATCTTCTTGTGACTAATAAATTTTCTAAAGTTAATTTTAATTCTGATAATTGTTGATATAAAGTTTCAAATTTATAATTTAATTGTTTAAGATCTGGTGGTTGTTCTGAATTTGGTTTAGCAATTGCTAATTCTGATAATAATTTTATAACATGTTCTAAACTTTCATTATGACTATTAACACTATTATCTTGATGAATTAATACTAAATCTTCTAATAAATTATTACATTCATCAATTAATCCATTCATAATAGCTTGTAATGACTCTAATTGTTTTTTATCTTGATTAAATTGAGCTTGATTACTATAAAATTTCCCATCTGATTCATCTCTTACTGCTTCAATACTCTTTAATTCTTGTTTAATTTGATTAATTTTAATTAATAATTTTTCATGTTGTATAGTATTTCTTTTCCCACCACCACCTTGTTGTTGTTGTTCTTCTTTAATATCAGTTAAATAAGTTAATAACGTCTTTCTAACACCAATTAATTTATGATAAGTAGGTTCTAAATCCGGTGGAATATTTTTAAAATGATTTTGTAAAGTTTGATATAATACTTCACATTTATTAAGTTTATTTCTTAATAAATTCTCTTCAATTTGATGAGTTGATTTAAGAGTTGCTTCTTCATCATGCACATCATCATAATTAGAAGTATTCATAATAATATCTCTAATTTCATTCAATCTAATTCCAATTGGATGTAAATCTTCTTCAGTATAAACATTACTTTCTTGTAAATGAGTTAATAATTTCATAACTGCAGATAATGAACTATAAGTAGCAGGAGCAAATTTAATTAATCCACAAGTAACAAAACAAAGTGATAATAATTGACAAATATCATCAATTAATAAATCATTAATATTTGGTAAATTTAATGTCATTCCTTTTAATTCTTCATCTTTTCTTGTTAATTTTAAATCATATAAATAATTTAAAAATAAATCATAAATTTGATAAACTTGTTTTGAATCAATATATTTACTTCTATTATTCTTTAAATTTAATAATGTTTTATACATTATATTAAATTTTTCATACATTGGTTTTTCATAAGTTGGTATATTTTGTTTAGATGATGAATGTGTTCCACCACCACTACTACTAGTAGGTGCACCTGCACCTACTCCTGTTCCTATAGCATTACTTGTAGTACCAGCAGCAATTGGAGTATTTGGTCTTGAATGAGGTGAAAGCATTCCAGTAGCCATATTTTTATATATATTCTATATTGGTAGGGGGGGGTTAGTCAGGGGGGTTGTTTGTTCAAATATAAAAAGTAAATGTCAATTGAGATCAATCAAATATTTAATTGTCAATTGTAAATAAATAAATAACAAATAGGTGTTTAGTTGTAAATTGGGGGGAGTAGTAGTTATGGGGGGGAGAGAAGTGTGTGTGGGTTTATATTTAAATAAAATTTGTAAAGAAAAGAAGAAAGAAAAAGAAGGAAGGATAATTTTAATTCTGACAAATCCCTTTTTTTTTTCTTTGCTGCTGTTTTTGAATTCCGGGATTTAACGGGCAACTCCGTAATTTCAATAAAACACAAAGAATAAAGCTTATCTATTGGTGGTAGCGCATTGCATTGTTTGAATGTATTGTTCCAATGGAATGTTGTTTTATGAAGTGGCTTCTTTTTTACTTTGGAGAATGGTTAATATTCCTTTAATTAAAGTCATAAATTTGTAATTATCAAGAGACTTACCCCAGGTGGGTTCCAGTTTGATCATTTTTTTTTTTTTGTGTTCCACCAAATCTTCTTTTTTTTAAGTAATATGGGGATTGACATTGACCGGGGTGGACACATGGCGCTTCGCATCCTCGTTTATTGCGGGTCATCTGGAGCATCTGTTTTTTTGGCCATGTACCACATTTGGACTAATTACAATTTAAACCTTCCCCGGATAAAAAGTTTTCGAATACACTCGGCAAAGCCCGGAAAACCACCCCAATTTTCGTTTCTAATTTTTATAAAATTAACCTTTATACGAACTTTACAAGAAGCTACATACTATTATACAACTCTTTTTTTTTAAATTATATCATCAAAATCATCTTCATCATCATCATCATCCTCGTCTTCATCTTCATCTTGTTCAGCTGCCAATTGAGCATAATATGCTGCCAATGCATCTTGTGCCTCTCTATCTCTCAATTCAGTTGATGATGGCATTTGTCTATTAACTAACGATGATGGTTCTGGTGTAGTCATAACTGATGATTGCTCAGATACACCTTCATCTTCATCCTCTTCTTCTTCTCCCTCTTCTACAGCTCCCAAACTATCTTCTTCTTTCTTAACTCCTCCACCTTCTCCATTTTCTTCTTCTTTAATTCCTTCTTCTCTATCATTCTCATCCAATCTACCAAACTCGCTAGTTTGTCCAACGGTACTTCCAGAATGCCATGAAGGTAATGCATTTTGTTCCAATTTTTGTCTTCTTGATTCTTTTTCCATTTGTTCCCGTTCATAATTCTCATCATTGGCAGTAATAGAAACATGCAACGTAGCTTGTGATCTTGATGCTGCATTCTGTAATGCCAGAGACATATTTGATCTTGATCTTGAACTGATCCGATTTGAAACAGTATATGAAGCATTACTTGTAGATTGTGCAGGAATTGATTGAATTAATGCAGTTTCGAAATTATTATCTTGAATATTTGAATCATCAATAATTTTTAAATATTTAATTATTGGATCAACTTGTTTCATTAATTTTTCTAATTTTTCTTGTTTTAAACTTGCTTGTTGTGATGAATCATCTTCAATTAATACTCCTTGACATACATCACATACAAATTCGGTTTTATCTTCACTTAATAATGATATAGCATCGATTTGACTAACTTTTTTCCCACATCTTGGACAAACATATCCTTGGGGATTACCAAAACTTGACATTTCTTGTTTTAATTTATTAACAATAGAATGAACTTTCCATTTAATGGAATCAATAGCTTCAGTAACATGAATAAAGAAATAAGTACGGGTTACATACCTCTGTTGTCCATTATCTTCTCTTTGAATATGATTAATTAATAATCTATCTTCTATTAATCGATTACATAATGATCGTAATTCTTTACGTTTAATTCCTAATAAATGAATTAAATCATCTTCTGAAAGTACTGAATGCCGTAATACGGCATCTAATATTAAAACATATGGTGTACTATAAAACCCTCTACTGACAAATCTAATAAGACTTCTAACTGAATCGTCCATATGTGTTTGTTTTGCCCACTAAAAGTATATGATATTACTTTAAAAGTAAGTAATCCGATGAATAATCAGTTGAAGAAGAAGACGACAGAAGAAAAAGTAATGTTTAGTTAGTGATGTAATTTACCGCTCAGCCTAAGTAAATCTCATCATCATATTGTTCACGTGACTGGTCATGTGACGTCTGTGGATGGTAAGGTGAAACGCGACATTTAAGATTTGAATTATTTTTTCCATTTAGGAAATTTTCTTTGCATCTTCTAAAAATATTATTTATGCATTGACAAGTCCTTCTTAAAAAATAAAATGTCACCACCACTTTAAATTTTTTATTTTCGTGTTTTTTTTTTTACGCGTCTGTCTTTTTTAGCGAAGAAGGAAGGGAGACACCAAGGAGTTGTTACTTTCTCATTACACTTTTATACTATTTGAAATTGTGAAATGAATGATCATTTGATTTTTGAATGTAACATTACTTAATTTTTCTTCAACGTATTATATATTAAAGTTTTTCCCATATTTGAATAAAGTCGTCGTATTTCCATATTTTACAACTTTTCCGAATACTAAATCACCTATTCTACCGAGACATACTTACCAGTTATTATTCCATTATCAAATAGTCAAAGTTAATTTCAAACAAGCAAGATACCAAGAAGTAAGATACAAAATCATAAACTATGTCGGCTGCATCTGGGAAACCATTGCCAAGTTCAGTACTACAAGAATCAAATATATCAAACACGTTCATACCATCTAATGTAATGGACACACCTTCCAAATCAACATCTTCATCTTCCACGACTAACACCAAACTAATCACCACCCCACCCGAGACCCTGTTCATAAATCGCAAAAAGCAACCATTTCTATTTGAAACCCCCCAAAAACCATCCCATCTAGATCCAAATATCGTATTTATGAAATCTTCATATCTATCACCAGCATTCTCATCTCCACAACAACAACATCAGCTGCTGTTTATACTGACCAGCTCACCCATCAAAAAGACCAAAGGTCTTGCAGCAGCGGCCAACATTGAAGATAGTTCCAAAAGAGCATCATCACAACTGGTCCCACCACCACCAGCAACTACCAAGAAATCAAAATCAAAAGAAACTCCTCCTGCCCCAGTATTCGACATTAACTCAAATCAAAAACCACCATATTCATATGCCACCCTCATTGGAATCTCAATCCTTTGTCATCCAGATAAGAAATTAACATTGTCACAAATATATCATTGGATATCAGACACGTTCAAATTTTATAAACGAGAAGATATGGGTTGGCAAAATTCAATCAGACATAATCTTTCATTAAATAAAGCATTCATAAAAGGTGAAAAATCAAAAGATGGTAAAGGGCACTTTTGGTGTATTAAACCCGGATGTGAGGAACAGTTTTTGAAAAGTAGGAGTTTGAAGAAGAGTTCGTATCATGAAGTTATGGATCAGATTAAACAAGCAAGTAAATTCAAAGCTGACAAAGAGGCCCAAGCTGCCGAGGCTGCGAAAATTGAAGCTGTGGCTGCAGAGGAAGGAGCTTCCAGGCGGGAAGATGCGAAAGGTTCAGATGGTGAAGGAGATGGGGAAGAGAATGATACTCAGATAGATGATGCTCCGGTTGGGAAGTTTTCGTGTATTTTCTCTCAGGGGAGTACATTCAGAAATATGCCTGCATCATCTCCAAACTACACGCGCAAGAGGAAAATACGCCTCAAGAAAGATCGTCATAACAGTAATAGCAATCACTCAGACCGATCCGACTATGAATACGATTACACTGACGAAGAAATACAAGACGATGATGAAGATGATGATGAGAATGATATTACTCGTGTATTAGATCCTGCGCTCAAGAAACAACAAAGAAGAAATACTCCATTACAAGCACCTTGGAATTCAACTAAACTGGATTCAGCAATCACTCCAAATGCTTTCAATGCACCTCAATTCCTAATTACTGATTCACCAAATAAACCATTATTAGCTGGAAAGAACCTCACATATACCTCATCATTTAGTTGTAATTCGAATTTTGAACTATCTCCAATACGACCAGCTGCCACGGGACCACTTTTGGAACCATTGACACCTGCCAACAATAATATTTATCAACAACAACAGTATTTGCATACTCTGCAGCTGCATCATCTGCACCTGCATGTGAGAAATAGCTTGCAAGGAGGAATTCAATCGAAATCACGAACACCTAAATCCAGCAATAATATCTTGAAGACCCCATTAAGAAATATCCGTACTCCGCAGACTAATTCGATTATAAGAAAATTATGGAATTCTCCCTCATATTTAGATGATTTTTATTATAGTCCATTACTCAACAATAATCATCAGATTAATTTATTGAATACTAGTAATGCAAGTGTGAAATCAACTAGTGGGAGTTTGTCTTCTTATGATGATGATGATATGATCTTGAGGAATTTACAACATGATCATGTGGGTATACAATCGTCGCCTGTGTTGGATAGGGGAACTAATAGTACTGGGGAATCTGATGGACTGCAACAACTTGAAGATAGGAATAAGAATTTATATCAGGATTTGAAGAAGGTGAATGATGAAAAGTGAGGTGATTATCGCGGGAATGGGTTTTTTATTTATAGTGGGTTATATATCAATGGTTTTTTATTTTTCAGATTGTTTATTTAATTGTATTCTGGCTCTTTTTTATGCTTCTTCCTATAGCTTTATAGTTTGCTTTTTAATTTAATTTAATAATTTGTATCATTACAATTGTAAGTTTCCATCGGTCAATCAGTAGAAGCACACCCCTTACATCCACAAGTAATACATTCAGTCTTAACTTTTTCAGGATCATTCTCAATAAGTTTCTCCTTCGGCACACGACATATACAAGTCCCACCATAATTCTTCTCTACTATACATTGAACACAACATAATTTTTCATATCCTGGTTTTTTCCATTTTGCAATCAAATCTCGGTTTACATAACTTTGCAAAAGTAACCAATCATAAAGATCACGAGATATCTTTTGAGAATTATATAAGTCATAAACATATCTTGATATTTGATGATTTAATTGAAATACTTTCCATAATGAACTATGTTTACTTTTGGTTTTATCTTGATCTGATTGAGCTTGTTTTAATTTAGAAAGGAATTTAGTTAATGTTGGTTCTATTTTGGAATATCCTTCTGGAGGTGGACCATTCTTCTTTATCTTTTTCGTTTTAGGCATTTTCCAGTTGTTTATTTACTGTTTATATGTTTATTGGAACGAATGATGTATTATCTACAGTTTTGAATGCATTTCTATGGGTTGCCCTTTTTTTTTCCAGCCATTAATCAAGGACCTCATCATCAAGCAAGGACTCACTTCACCGACGTATTTAAGACACATCGGAATAAGCTATAGAAAACAAATTAAACCAGACCAATATTATTAAGCTAGATAATGTCAAACCTCTTAATATAGCTTCCTGCTTCACCAAAACTAAAAAAAGAATGTTTGTGTCCTATCACTGCATCGAACATCAGATCCCAAAATAGCAAAAAAAATCGACAAAATTTTCAGTAAAAGTTCTAACCAACTACGCCAAATTGACGCAAGGTGAAGAAAAAAGTGTTAACTAATTGGGTAATCGGGGCATGTCACGTGAATCTCAAGTGAAAGTCATGTGACCAAATTATTCGGCCGAAACATTTGCAAACTCCAATAGAGGCTGTAAGCAGCTAGCAAGTAACCGATATATGTATTTCAATTCTATAAAAACTATATTCACTAGTATTCATCATATTCTTAAGTGTATTTCATTGATTTAAATTTTTGCAGCACTGCTTTTTTAAAAAATTTACAAAAATGTGTTGCAAAAAAATATTGATTATTGTATCAACTAGTGGAACTTTTGCTATTGACTCTAGGGGTTTTCAAGCAGGGCATGACGATGAAAGACAGCGAAGAACGTCCCAGGTACACATTTGGATAGACAGCAGTTTTTGATGCGTTGAGAAGTTTTCCAAAAGTTTACAAATGGAAGTTTACAAATAGGGCCGTACATAACACAAGTTTACAAATGGTAGCTTACAAACAGAAGCGTTCAATATGAAATTCCAAAATGCAAATTTAACAACAGGAGTTTACCTAATGAAGCTTACATTCAGAATTTAAATGAGAGGCTCCTAAACATGCTTTTTCCCAATAGCGGGTTGCTTACAAACGGGAATTGGCAAAGTCAAGTGAGTGAGGGACTTAATGAGTTACAAGTAAGGCATGGATCAATGAAAGGAGTCCAATCCCCGCAGTAACCAAGCGACTGATTGTATTAACTGGTCGTTTCTTTTTGAGGACCATACATACTCAAATAAATCTGACTATAGCTTATCAGATAGTAGGCCCAGATATAGCATTACAAAGTTACAGTTGGAACGCTTTACATTTCAATAGATATAAAGTAGCTTATATTATTCTCAGTTAATCACCGTGGTCTTCTTTTTAAAATGAAATGTTTTGACATGAAGTACAGAAGCATGAGGTACAGCAAAAGATCAAAAATTGTGATAAAATAAATGCTGACGGATGATGACTCCATACGCCTTACGTGTGTCTTCCCCTCCTTTGTGAGCTGGCTAATAAAGGAGCCGAGGTAATAAGCAGGTACATAGAACGATTTGGTTATCTGACGACGTAATCTGCGGTCTGAGACAAAACCCCGGGGCATCCTGGTTTATGGCAGTGCAATTTTGTGCTACTAAATTTAGAACAATAGACAACAATAGCTGGCATCTAAATGCTACCAGTTAAGTTAAAAGGCGGGGCAATTCCATGATATCCAGTCAACCGGCCACTAATCGGCTCCTTTAGTAATGCCGAGCAAAGTGATTACAAATCAGGGCTAGCAATGTTTGGTGTTTTTCTGGTCTAAAGCTCATGGAACAATGAACGGGCGAATAATTTTAAGCGAGATGGTTCCAAAATCATTATTTTTGAGAGAAAGTCATTTGGATAGGCTGCGAAAGAAAAAGGAAAGGTCAACGAATGAGGCTATACTTTCAATTATTTTGATTATGGGTGAATCCGATTGTTGCGAAATAAGATCAAGTGGCTATTTCATTTAATCCCCACTGCACAAAATGATCATAAGCCACACTTCAATATATAATCTATATTTAGTTGCATGCGATGAATTTAGTTAATCTAGAGCCAGAACATCCGTTCATACTAGATACGGCCCTATCGTATTTCCATCAGCCGTTCCTAATTGCCTATCGGCCATAGGAGCAAAAAAAAGTCCAAGAATCTTGATACTTATTGTGTGGATCTAATTATCCTTTCGGCCGGACCATCTTCTATGCAGTATTCCATAAAAAAAAGCTTAAAAGTAGAAAGTGTGATACACCCACTCGTAATTGGATTTGTTGGAACAACAATTTTCGTGTCAGTTAGAAACAAATATAAATATCACTTCAGAGTTTTAGCAATTTCTTGCAAGCTTTGTAACATTCATTTTAAAGTATCATATAGAAAGAAGCCTTTAATTATTGAGATTACAACAAGATAATCAACCAACACTTTTAAAGCCAAGATCAAGCGCATCCCAACTGCAAACAATCGGGATTGAAGCAAATCTAACAATAAGAAAAATATTTCTCACCCCACCTAACTCCGCCAAAGAATCAAAAATTCTGAAATTATTTAAAAAGGCCAATACGATCCCTTTATTTTGTGATCATTACGAATTATTTATATGAAATATTGTTTCCCATTAGTATTGAAAAGACGACTACAACTATCAACAGCCATGATGAATTCGATGAGACCAACCACCGCCATTAACAGGGACATGAGTCTTAAACATGCAAACGTTCCAGATGACTATGATGCAACCAAATATCGTCGATGGGTTACATTAAATCCTCCTCCTATAGACTCAAAGAATAAAATCTCAGTCATGTCATATAATCTATTGTCTAGGCATTATACGTGGCATCAAGTGTTTGGATACTTAGAACCAGAATACCTTGATTGGACAACATATAGATTCCCACTTATAAATAAAACCATATCTCAACTTAGATGTGATATCATGTGTTTCCAAGAGATGGAATATTATGTGTATAAACATTCTTGGAGTAAGAATTTCCCTGATGCAAATTATGAAAGTTATTTTGTCAAGAAATCTTTACCAGGATATTGGGGAGGTAAATCAACCGAGTTCATTGATGGAGTTGGAGTCTTTGTAAATACCAATAGATTTGATGTACTTGACAAGAGGGAAATCAATTTTGGAGAAGATATCTTATTAAATAAAAGCTCCTACCATTTCACAGATGATTTAATCAAGAGAGTGATACCTCGAAATACAGTTGCATTATTACTTAAGTTGTATGACAAGATTGCAGACAAGATTGTGTATGTAACCAATACCCATTTATATTGGTCACCAGAGTATAATGATGTCAAGGCTTTACAGACAAAGATTCTACTCACAACATTGCATAATTATATAGACACTCCCGATCCTAACATAATATTGTTAGGGGATCTAAATTCCAACATTAGATCAGATGTATTTAAATTGTTAAGTACAAAAGGGATCAATATTACTGAATCTCAGAATTTTGCTGGCCATGATTATGGAGATAACAATTCATTGATCAATGAAAAGAAAGAAATTGAAAACCCATTTGAATTTGTAAATATCTATGATTCATTATTGAAATCTCAACGATTAAATTTCACAAGTTATACATCAAGTTTGACTGATGTTTTAGACCATATTTTCATTAGCAAACAAAATTTTAAAATCGTTAAAGTACTAAGTGAGGTTGATGAACAATATTGCTCTAGTTGTGCAATTAAAGGGTTCCCTAATCAACAATTCCCTTCTGATCATATTCCATTGGTTGCAGAAATTAGTTATAATTAATTACATTTTTGTATTTTTGCATTTTCTGATTTATGTAGTTAGTTTTTCATAGTTAAAACATTTATTAATACACATTCGTCATTATCATAGAAAGAGAAACTTTGCTCCACTCTAAATCATTAAACTTCATCCCCAGCCCATACTCCATTCATCGTATGACCTTAAATTGATTTTTTCAAGTGCCTAATAAGAAGTCGTGCAAAATATTCAAAATATGTTGAACCCAAAAAAAAAACTTCTCTTTACAACAAAGAGGCAAAGTTCAGTTGATGTTGTAAAAATCAGAGAGAGAGAGACAAGGAAGTATCTAGAAATTATATTATTATCAAATATTATCGCTTTTGAACATCATTTAATTAACAAGTTTACCCCAAAGTAGAACCAAGCTCAAGTGAATTATTTCAAAAAGAAAGTGTCGTGTGTGTGTGTCTTGTTTTTGTTTCAATTTTCAAACTCCTTTTAACAACCCAGTGGAATATCATCTAGAGTATCAAATATATGACAATAAGGGATAGATAAGACAAAAATATCATAAAAGCTTGGAAATATTATGAACGTAACGAATAAATATCAACATGCGCAAGTTCAAGGGCAACCTCAAACCAACTTGCAAGCCCAACAAATCCTTCTCCAACAACTTCACCAAGGGCAGAACCAACAACAACAACAGCAACAGCCTCCTCCTCCACAACAGCAACAACAGCAACAACCAACAGCCGGTGGATTAGGTGCTGGTTTTCAACAACCCGAATCATTTAATGAAAACTTGAATCAAAATATGTATCAAGGAAACTATGGAAGAACACAACTATCTCAACAATTACAACAGCAATTCTTCCCACAGTTCCAGCAAAACCAACAGCAGAGCCAGACGAACACTCTGCAATTGCAACAAGCATATCAACCTCAGCAGCAATTGCAACAACAATACCAGGCATCACAACAACAACAGCAAGTGCCACGTCAACCTCCTCATCTTCAACAACAATTCTACAATCAACAGCAAGCTGCAGCACTCCAAGCTCAACAGCAACAACAGCAATTAGCCCAACTTCAACAACAACAACAACAGCAGCAACAGCAACAACAACAACAAGTTCAACAACAGCAACAAGGTACTCCTCTTCAAAAAATGGCTACGCTTTCTGTCGACAATCCAAATTCTATGTTTTGGCAACATCAACAACAGTTATGCCAATTATCCAGAAGCTCAAATATTCCTCATTACTATGCAAGGCAATATGCGTCCAACTCCAGAAAGAATAAAAATCCTTATAGTGAAGTAAAATCTGTAGGGTTGATCGAAGCTACCAGAGCCATTGTAACAGCATTGGAAGAACAAGAAAAAGCAAAGAAAGGGATTGATAGACAAGGAACCAGCACACCAACTCCTAGTTCTGCGTTAATGCATAATAAAAAGCCGTCACAAGACCTTGATGATGATTCTATGGAGGAACAAAGAATGAGACTTAAAACTCAAGGGAGACAACTATGGTGTCAATTGGATTTAAGTGGTCAAGGGTTAGTAAATTTATCACCAAAGTTATTCCATTATGATTTCTTGGAATCTTTATATTTGAATAATAACAAGTTGACTAGTATTCCTACTGCCATATCCAGGTTAAGATCTTTGAGGACTTTGGATTTATCACATAATAGACTTAATGAACTTCCATCGGAGCTTGGATTGTGCTTCAATTTGAGATATCTTTATTTATTTGACAACAATATCAAGACCTTACCAAATTCCTTTGGGAATCTTATTGAACTATTATTTTTGGGAGTAGAAGGCAACCCATTAGATTTAAATATTGCTAATTTGATTGCTGAAAAGGGAACCAAGGAGTTAATTTCTACGTTAAGAGATCAAACGACAATTACCAAAACACCAAAACCAAGACCTTGGTATTCTTTGGATGATGATGGAGAAGTAGCAGATAGTACAGAATCATTCAAAAATGAAACGGAGCCTGATAGCTTTACTTTATTATCTTACAACACGTTATGTCAACATTATGCTACTCCAAAAATGTATAAATTCACTCCTTCTTGGGCATTAGAATGGGATTATAGAAAGAATGCTCTCGAAAGAGAAATCTTAGGTTATGGTACAGATATTGTTTGCATGCAAGAAGTAGAAACTCAAACATATAGTGATTTCTGGCTTCCGCTCATGACAGCAAACGGTTACAAGGGTGTATTCTTCTGTAAAACAAGAGCTAAGACAATGAGTGAAGCCGATGCCAAAAAGGTTGATGGATGTGCCACATTCTTCAAGGCCGACAAGTTCAATTTGATTCAAAAGCAAAACTTTGAATATAGTAGTGTCTGTATGGGTTCTGATAGATATAAGAAGACCAAAGATATGTTCAACAGATTTATGAATAAAGATAATACCGCATTGATTTGTTTCTTGCAACATAAACAAAGTGGAGAAAATATAACAATTGTTAATACACATTTGCATTGGGATCCAGCATTCAATGATGTTAAAACCTTGCAAGTTGGTATCTTATTAGAAGAAATGAAAGACACACTTAAGAAGTTCCTTCGCACCACTTCTATGGAAGAAATTAAGAATGCCACCTTGCTTATTTGTGGTGATTTCAATTCCGTTAAGAATAGTGCAGTTTATGAATTATTTTCAACTGGTGCTTCTGTTAACCACGAAGATATGGCTGATAGAGATTATGGTAAATTTACGGAAGAAGGGTTTAAGAATGTATTTAAATTGAAGTCTGCATATGAAACTTTAGGCGAATTGCCATTTACAAATCTTACACCTGCCTTCACTGATAATATTGATTATATTTGGTATTCTACTGCTGCCTTGCAAGTGAAGGGATTGTTAGGAAAAGTAGATGAAGATTACGCAAGCCAATGCATTGGTTTCCCAGATGCTAATTTCCCATCCGATCATATTCCAATTTTAACGAAATTTCAATTCAAGAAGAGTAGTACCAAGAAACCAGATTTCAAACCAGACTTTAAGACTGGACCTTCAAGAAAAACTTAGCCTTTTACTGTAAGGCTAACATGTCATCGTTTTTATTTGATTTGTTTCATGATTTTGTATATTATTTTGTGTTTATCTGTTTGTTTGATTTTTTACCTGTTTGATGCTTTTAAGTACCCCCAACCAACTTATTTTTTTTATAGAGGCGTGTATTTTGAGATGAAGGCACTAATGTTTTTAAGTATCATATTGTTATGTACCATTAACCCTGACTTTTAGTTATTTGCATACATCCTATTCATTTCATCCATCTTACAATTTTTATTTGCTTTGATGCTTTTTAACTATTTACTACCTTGGTTTCATTCACCCTCACATTGTAACGTTTTATAATGTATATATTTATTGTCTCGTTCAAGAATATATATCAGTTTTCAGTAACATGTCGTCTCTCTCACCAAAATCTAAAAATAGTAACCAGATCGGAATCGCTGGTTTATTTTTACATGTTAGACACTATTTCCATTTCATACTGCATAAAAGAGACTATATACTACAGCACCATCAAAATAGCCAAGAAAACAATATTCATACATAATGCAACTTAGTGAAAGTTAAGATTCCATAGTCAAGAAGCCCAACACCTAGTTCTCAACTCCGTGAGAAATCGCGGAGTGGAAGACCCAAACAGTCGAATGTAGAGAGCGTTAGGTTTAAGATTCCATAGTCAAGAAGCCCAACACCTAGTTCTCAACTCCGTGAGAAATCGCGGAGCGGAAGACCCAAACAGTCGAATGTAGAGAGCGTTAGGTGGGGGCGCAGGTGCAGAAAGAACAATAAAGGATCGATCACAAAAACCGTTTTTTTCCGAAATTTTCAGCGACTGGGCATGAAACTGCAACGTTGCATCCAAGACCCACGATTACTCATTATTTCATATTTGCCTAACCACAAGGTATAAAATGATTCACCTCACCTTCTGACACCCACATTCTTATTTCATGTTCTTTTTTAAATACTTCTTTTTCTTCTTAATAAAATGTAGACGATTAGTTATCACATACTAACTGACTATAACTATGACCAAACAATCTCTCTTAGTTCCTACTCAAGATGACTATGATGACGCTCACGCTGATACTGAAGCTGAATTAAAGTACCACGAAACTTTTAGAACATTCCTTAAGGACGAAAAGGATGAGAACGGAAACTGGGTCTACCCATGGTCTTTTGAAGTAGTTCAAGGGTTTTTCAAACAATCAGATCCTGCTACCAACGATTTGAAATTCAACTATGCCTGGGAACACATGGGCCGTTTGAAATCATGGGAAGATATAATTTCTGAATTGAAAGAACTCAACGACAACGCTAATGAGAATGAATCTTATAAATTAATCTTTTGTGCTAGACATGGCCAGGGGTATCATAATCTTATTGTTCAAAAATATGGTATTCAAGCTTGGATTGATAAGTATCACGCATTATCAACTGATGGAGAATATACTTGGGCTCCAGATCCAAATTTGACCGAGACTGGTGTCAAACAATCGGAAGAAAACAACGAACTTTGGAAACAAGAGTTGAGTTTGGGTGCTCCTATGCCTAGTAAATTCTTTGTTTCTCCTATGCAAAGATCCAGTAGAACATTTGTCAACACATGGGATGATATCAAGCCAAAAGATGTGCATCCGGTGGTCAAAGAAAAGATTAGAGAAACTCTTGGAAAGAACTTATGTGACCAAAGATCACCAAAGCGTGTTATCGACGAAAGATTTGGTAAGTATGGATTCATTACTGATGAGTTGGTTGAAGAAGATATTTACTTTACTGAGACTAGAGAAACTATGGTTGAACAATCAATTAGAGTCAACCAATTCGTGCAAGAATTATTTGAAAGTGATGTAACTAATGGTATCGTTGATAAAGAAAAGAAGCAAGCTCACACATTTATTTCAACTACTTCACACGCAGGAACAATCAGATGTTTTATCAATGTTTTCCAACATAGACATTTTACAATCTCAACTGGTGGAATGATCCCAATTGTAGTTAAGGCAACCAGGAGGCTGGACTAATATAGCTAATAGATTTAATAGAAAAGCTTTATAAATTGAAATAGAAAATAATTATTAATTTTGAACATTTAGTCTCGTCTCTGTTGCAATAGGATATGAACGAAGCATGACTTCTCTATTATACTCTATTATGTATAGGAAATAAAGTTCTGCAGTCATTTACTTCAAGGTGTTGCATTGAAGAAGAAGTGTTGTTAAAAAATAAAATTGGGGGTTGCAAAGCACAAACTATACTCAATATGCTGTACACCAGCTAACTATTGTACCTCTGTTGAATCGAGAGAGAGATACCTTGCTAGAAATCTACTTATTAACTAGCTCTGAAATTTGTCTGATTTCAGCCGGACCTGTATTACAACACCCACCAATTATCCTTACATTTTTGAACTCTAGCCATTTGAAAACCTCTTGCTTCCATCCACTATGATCTATGTCCGGGTCTTCGAATGGGAAATTTGGGTATAATATCAAGGGGAGACCATCTATCTCACTGATAATTTCATTGATTAAATCGAAATGAGTACAATTAATTCCCAATCCAATAAAATATTTGTTATCCCTTAGTTCCTTTTGCAAACAGGTGACCAACTCTTGGATTGGAGTTCCATCCACCATCTCTCCTACCTTGATACAATTAATGCTGACATAAAATTCCTTCTTGATGTTCAATCTCTTCATTATGTTAATAACAACTTTTACCTCATTGAATCTTGGCATTGTTTCAAACCCAATTACATCTACTTTTTTATTCTCAACAAAGAACTTAATCATTGGTAAGTGATGCTTCTCCAAGTCCCCATTGGAAGCATCCCCATAATCTCCAGTATATTCAGAAAAATTACAAAGATAAGTAGCATATGGCCCAACAGATCCCACTATTACTTTCTTAGACTTTCCTGATTTCCTTATTGCTTCTTGAGCCACGTCAATTGATTTGTTCCATAAATCCAAGATTTCCTTGTCATTTAGATTTGTATACTTTCTCAAGCTGGCGTACGAAATTTGATAAGTCGAAGTAGTTATTATGTCAGCACCCAGATCAAGATAGTTGGAATGCACTTGTTCAACTAATTTGGGATCTTTCAACAAGACCATCCCTGACCATAATGGGTTTCCTTTTGGTTGAATTGGAGAATCCTTGGGTAAGTGATTCTCCAATTCTGTACCTAAAGCTCCATCTAAGACCAATCTTTTCTTTTTAAGCAATTGTTTGATTTTCATTTCGTGCAATTTAACAGAAAGATACAGCTAAAATCGAAGAATTATGAAATCAATTGGCTTAAGGGTTGGGAAGAATTTCGGTACCGGGCTCGTTTTAGCGAATGCGAATTACGTAATATAACTTGAACTTCATAAATGGACATCTACCCACAACATTGTCACTGTAATAAACACACTTCCTGTTTATGAAAAGAGACTCTATTCCAACCCCAAAGTAGAAGAGCCTTTCAAGAAAATACTCTCTAAACCAATTGGCTCAAGAAAGAAAGAAAGAAAGGAAATATTAATTTTCCATAATAAATAAAATTTCAAAAACGTCCCACTGAAAAAACAAAATCCCCCATCTGCTGAAATTTTTCAAATAAACTAAAACTCCAGTTGTTTCATTCAATTAATTTATAAATATCATCTACCTTCTTTCGTGCTTAACTATGGAAACAATCAATCCAAGTAAAAGAACCAGAGAGGAGTTTGAACAAGAAGATCAATTCCAAGCACCTCCTCCAGTTGCAGGATATGATGAAAATTTTGAAGCCAAAAGACAACATATTGACCCAACCCAAGAATTAATTACAAATGTATGTAAAGATATTCGAAGATTAGGAGAAAACCCCAACATCAGTAATCAAGTTGATGATGTTTCCTATATTTCAAATCCTATTGTTGCTGAATTTGAAAAGATTGACGAATTGAGATCATCGATTTTATCAACCATATATGCTTTAATTGTGGAACAACCACATAAGATCAATGCAGTGGCTAATTTGGTTATGATATGTAATGCTAAGAACTTCGTGGTTGGAAAATATGTGGTTGAATTCTTGCATGCTAAAGTTCAAGGATTGTTGGATTCTGTGAATGAAGATGCAGATGTTGTTATTGGTGAGAAAAAGCTTGTACAAGTTGAAGATGCCGGTGCTTTCAATAATATTAAATCGATATTGAAATTCTTTAGTGCTTTATCACCTATGATTGAAAATTATGCTATTGTTAACATTTTTAAACAATTCTTACAATTGGCCATTGATTTACAAAATGAACAACCAGATGTTAGAAATGGTATTGCTCAAGAGATCTTTTATAATGTATTAATCTCAGTTCCTTATTTACTAAGTAATGATAAATCAGAAGAAGTCATTGCCAAGTTGGATGAATTAGTCGAATTGGCTAAAACCTTTAAGATTGTTGAACCTCAATCGACTGCATTATTACAACCATTTGATTCAAGAATGGGTAATATTGAATTACCATATGTTCCCAAAACATTGATTGATTTGATATTACCTTCTCTTTTGACATTACAAGAAAGCAAATGGGATATAACTTTGTTTATCGATTATAAACAATATTTGGATCCAATTATTGAAGAAGCTCTTAAGAACAATCCAATTTCAAACGAATTAGTTAAACATCCATTACCACAATTCTCATTCCCATCTCAAGAAACATTATCCAAATATTCCCCTTCAAAAACTTCAATTGATAATTTATGGAAAGAAAATTCCCGTATTTTGTTCCAAGTTTATAATCACAACACCGAATTTGAAACCGTCCCCAAGATCGACACCTATATTGGATTATTCTTCAAAGATATTTCATTTGACATCTTGACCAATCTTTCTTTCAATAAGAATGAAGCGGCAATTCAATTATCAATCCTTGATTTATTTTATAGCAAAGAACTTTTCGCCCCACCAGGATCTTCAATTGATCAATTAACCCAGATTGATCAAGACAACAAACTGGGAGAAAATATTCCTCCATTATCTACTTGGAAAATTGAAGATGTGGCTGTGGAAAGTATCTTAACTATGATTTTCCAATTACCTCATACACTTCATCCCGAGATTTATTATTATACTGTTTTGATTGCATGTTGTCGAGAATCACCAGAATCTATTGCACCAGTATTTGGAAGAGCTATTAGATTTTTCTATAATAATTTAGAAACGTTAGATTATGAACTTAAGATTAGATATTTGGATTGGATGACTACCCAAATCTCGAATTTTGAATTTAGTTGGAAATGGGATGAATGGGTGAAACATTCTCAAGAATTACTGGAATTGAAATATCATCCAAGAAAGAATTTCATTAAGAATTTGATTGCAAAAGAGATTAGATTATCTAATAAGAATAGAATTAAAGAAAGTTTTATAACTATGGGGGAGGAAGAAGAAATGATTCAATTGGATGAATTTAATCAATATTTGGATATTTCGATCGTTCCTACCAATTCCAAACAATTTATATTGGAATATGATTCAGAATTATATGGATCAAAACAAGAGATTAAAGAGACTTTACAGAAATTATATGACGAAAAGGCAACCATGCTTGCTAGTAAGCAAAATTTAACTGCTCAAGATGAAATTATTTATAATTTTGCCAATCCTGAATTACCATTCCATGAAATCTCATCAAAAGTATATGATTTTATCGTGGCTCATTGGAAATCAAATACTGAATTTCAAGAATTGTATAATGAGATCTTATCTACTCTTAAGCAGAGTAATGGAGAAGAAGCAGAAGAAGAAGAAAAGTCATCTATTAATGCTGAACAATTTTTGATCAATTTAGTGTGTCAAACATATGCATATATCGGATCCAGATCTATTTATTCCGTGGTTAGTATCATAAGTCGAGACATTAACAAATTGAAATTCCTTAGTGGTAAAACTATTAAATATGCTAATGATGAACCTAAATTTGATGAAATTGAGCTTAATGAAGAACAAAAATCTCAAAGACAATCATGGATAATTAATTCAATATTTAGGATTTGGATTCATCAACCACAAGTTGTTTTCTTAATTTTAGAATATTTAATTGAATTTGAAATTATTGATGCTAAATATTTATTAACGAAAGTTATGGAAGATAATTTAATTATTGATAATGTTTCATGTATGGAATCGATTAATAGAGTATTACAAAATACTTCAAAAGATTCACTTAAAGAATTGATTACGTTATTATTTGGATCAATTATTGAGAAATTGAATGAATTGAGTCAAGAAAACCAGGATTCACCAGTAAAGATTGATGAACTTACAGAAGATAATTCCAAAGAAGTGGATAATCAATGGTTATTCTATGAATATAAGGGATTATTAAAATCATATTTCAGAAAGTTTATTAAGAATGAAAATGTTGATTATTTGGAAGAATTAAAAGAAATCTTTAATAAAGTTAACAATATTCCAACTAGAGATGATATCTTAACTTGGTTTAATTAACATCCTCCTTTGTACACTAACTAATTGTATAATTATGTATTTAAAGTAAATAATAATCCAATGAAAACACAATTTCAAATGATCCTTATGTCATCTTACTTAATTTCAGCCCTTCTCTCTTTTTCTCCACATAAATCATCATCGGGCCTGACCAACCAAAAAAATAAAACGACCCATAAGTTAAAACCCGTGCCCATAATTTTTCACTCCTTAATTTCCCTTTCTCTTTCTCATTTCCCACTAACCAGACAATAATGACAGACACAGATCATTTAACAGACGCTTCATTAGCAATTGAAGTCAAGAACCTCACCTACAAATTCCCCGGCAATTCCAAAATCGGACTTGAAAACTTCAATTTGGAAGTTGCCTGGGGTACCACCAATCTTATTGTTGGACCTAATGGAGCTGGTAAATCAACCTTACTCAGAATCTTAGCCGGTAAGACGTTAATTTCCAAGGGGTTATTACGTATTGGAGGATTTGACCCGTTTGAATTCTCAATGGATAGGAATAAACAACATAATGCTGATATTAATCATTATATCACCTATCTTGGAACAGAATGGGCAGCAAATTCGGTAGTTAAGAGAGATATTCCGGTTAATTTATTATTATCTAGTATTGGAGGAGATGCTTATGCTGATCGTAGGAATTTATTACTTGATATTTTGGATATTGATCCTACTTGGTCAATGTTAAATATTAGTGATGGGGAAAGAAGAAGAGTACAAATTGCCATGGGATTATGTAAACCTTGGAAATTATTATTGTTGGATGAAGTCACTATTGATTTAGATGTTGTTGTTAGATCTAGATTATTGAATCATTTGAAGGATGAATGTAGAGAACGTAATTGTACTGTTATTTATGCTACTCATATCTTTGATGGATTGGGACATAAATGGTGTGATCGAATTATTCACATAGATGCAGGATTGAAATTGGATGATGTTCCTATTAATCATATTGAATTTGCTAATGATGAGGCAGGAGTTGAAGTTGAAGGTACTCATCCAGCAAGAAAAGCTAAAGTTAGTAAAATGGAATCCTTACATCCTTTAGCTTTATTCTGGTTAACTGAAGATTTACAAAGAAGAGGAACCAGAGAAGAAGAAAAAGTCAAGATGGAAAAGAGACATAATGATTGGGTTAATTCAAGAGATGGGAAATATTTCGATGCTGATGAAAAACGATTATCAGATTATTTTAAAAGTACCAGAAATGGTGTTTAGCTAAGTCTCTCTATTAAGTTGTTTATACACAAAGCAAAAAGGAATGCAAGTTTTATTGATTTTGTAATTCTCGTTCTAATTCCATAAATTTAACTAAAGATTTATAATACTTTGTTCTTTTTTGTTCTAAATTAATTTGATAATTTGCTTCTGATCGAATAATCATATTGACATTGATTACTTTGGATGAGTTATGATTAGGTACTTCGGGATGCAACTGAATCTTTTCCAACAGTAGTTGAATACTGGATTGTATATGATGACAATTCTCTTTTTCTAAATCCCATGATGGTGGTAATTCTTCTATCCTTCTTTTAGAAGTTGGGTTGTAAATTGGTTTTATTGGAGTTGTTGGTCCTCTTTTCCTTTCATTTGTTACAATTTTTTTAATTGGAGATTTTGAAGATATGACGTTTGGGGGTGTTTCTTGTAGTGGCATTTGTTATTTATTTCAATATGGAAGTATGCAAATGATATGATGTTTTGTTTGGTAATTGATTGTTGTTGTGTTTGTTTTACCCAGTTGATGTTGACGCTGAATGTATTAATGATGCAGATAAAAGATATTGGATGTTTGTTGATATATAATGTATGAAGATCGTGTAGTGAATCTTTACTAACAGAAGTACTTTAGTGAGTTACTTGTATATTTGAATTGTATCTGTTGATTATTTGTATCTGTTCAAACAGAAAGAAAAAGGTAAACAAATGTTGCCAGTTCCAAGAAACCGCATCCACAAACAAACAAAAAAACAAACCCATCCCTCGTTCTATTTTTTTTAGGTCGCGTTTCTGATCTGGTTGGTCTTGTACTACGATTTGTGAATCCTTTCTACTACTAATTACTAATTCTTCCACCGACCGAGCAACACAGATTCAGTTTGCTTAAACGAAGGATTGCCAAGATGGAGGGAAATCCCACACACACACTGACACCTCAATAGATTCTTCTTATCGCATTTCTTGTTGGAGGTTATGTTTGTGAAACCATTCCAATTTGGGTGCGAATTTACTAAATAGAATTTTTACACACGGGAATTTGTAGTCGGTCGTAAAGACATAAATATATAGCTTATATGTGGATGGCATAAAAGAAGTGACTATCTTAAACCGGGCTTCCTAATTTACTATGGAACTTCTCTTCAAACCATACTTTGAACTAAAATCATGTTCAGTTCTGGTTTGCTATTTGATACAGTTACGGGGCTCTCGGTCCAAGGGCATTGTATTCTTATTCGTTGATAAAAGAGTCTCTGGTTGTATAATAACCCTACATACGACTATACACATACATATGCACAACTCCCACGGACATCATTCTTTAATTGAGTGTGTTTAAATTGTTGTTGTACCAGTTATCCGTATGTTTGTGTGTATGTGTGGCGGTTTTTACAGGGTTCATACTTCTAAAAAACTTCGCCTCTAACATTTCCGTTTGGATGATCTTTTTTTTCTTTCTTTCCCATGGTTTGGAATTTCACATACACACATTAATTTTTACATTTAAAATTTCAAATTACGATTACTTTTGATTCCCCCATCTCCTTTATGTAATTGGATCCTCCACTACCACCTTAGTTTATATAACTTAACACACTAATCATATTTACACTCACTACGGCCTTTTTGACAATCGCACACCCACACCCACACCCACACACATACAGTTGTTTAAAATAGACTTTCTCTTTTTTAGCTAACAAAACATTTTAATTCAAAACCCTCGGAACATTAGGAATTCATTTATACGTTAGCCTCTCTCCCCCCCACCCATACAATATACTCAAATGTTGAAATTCAAAAATAAATTCAAATTTGGTTCATCCAATTCGTCATCACCATCATCATCGGAAAAGCAAGGGTCTCATTCCCCTTCCCCATCCCCTCATAGATCAGCTTCACCAGTTGTTGGAACTCCAGAGTCAAGAAAGACTTTGTCAGCATCGGAATTGTCTCAAGATATTCTGAAATTAACCATTACTGAGACTTCTGGAAATAACACATCCAAAGCCAAGACCGGAGGAGAAGCAACAACAGCAGGACATATTCACGACACTACTGGTGGTGCTCCAAGTTCTGTTCAACAACCTCCACAATCTACCGTTTCGGAATTAACCAACAACACTGACGATTCCCCATTGTCGTCTCAAAATGTCTCAATTCAAGGAGGGTATACTTCCTCATCTGCATCTTCAGCTATGACTGATAATCAAGAACAACAACCAACACCTACCACTATGAATTCAACTCCAGGATTATTGACAGTTAAGATTTATAATTCAAATAATATTCAATTACCAATTAAGATTAATAATAGTAAACAAATTTTACATGCTTTAGCTATAAATTCAAATAATGAAACTGTTGGACAACAATTATTAAAGAATTTAGCCAATTTAGAAAAACCAGATAATAATCATCATGAGTATTTACCGGGATCAATTGCTACTAATTTCTTACCTTCAATAATCACCATTCCAAATAATGAAAATTTAGTTAAATCTTTGTTGTATTTAACCATTGAATTTGATAATAATGTATTGGTAATTGAACCTCAAAAGGGAACAGTTAATCAATCTACTTGGAATCAAGTAGTTTCATTCGATGTTACCAAGAAATCATCATCCCAAGATAGTAATACTGAAATTGGATCAAATTTCTTAAATTTGAATTTATTCATTAGATTACCAAATATGTTGATTCCAGATGGTGAAAAATCTTCCAAGAAACATTTATTTACCAATTCCCAAAATATTGGATCAGGATCATCTGGATCATCTCCAGCAAATATTGGTGATTTATTAATTGGTACAATTAAATTACCATTAAATTTGAAATATCATACTAAACAAATTAGATTAATGAATCATGAATATTTAAAATTCTCAAATTATAATACAAATTTACAAGATATGATTTCTAATGAAATGGGAGAAATAATGTTAACTATTGAATTTAAACCAATATCCAAAAAACAACATCTTTCAATTGAAGATTTTGATTTATTAAAAGTTATCGGTAAAGGATCATTTGGGAAAGTTATGCAAGTAGTTAAGAAAGATACAAAACAAATATATGCTTTGAAAACATTACGTAAACAACATATTGTTTCAAGAATGGAAGTTACTCATACATTAGCTGAAAGAACAGTATTAGCTCGGATTAATAATCCATTTATTGTTCCATTAAAATTTTCATTCCAATCTCCAGAAAAGCTTTATTTAGTATTATCATTTATTAATGGAGGTGAATTATTTTGGCATTTACAACGAGAAGGGAAGTTTTCCATGGATAGATCAAGATTCTATATTGCTGAATTATTAACTGCATTAGAATCTCTTCATGACTTAAATGTCATTTATCGAGATTTAAAACCCGAGAATATTTTATTAGATTATCAAGGTCATATTGCCCTTTGTGATTTCGGATTATGTAAATTAAACATGACTAATGAAGACAAGACATCTACATTCTGTGGAACTCCGGAATATTTAGCTCCGGAATTATTATTGGGTCAAGGTTATACAAGAAGTGTTGATTGGTGGACATTAGGTACTTTATTATATGAAATGTTAACTGGTTTACCCCCATTCTATGATGATGATGTTCCGGTAATGTATCAAAAGATTCTTAAGAATGAATTAAAATTCCCAGCATTTTTACAAGGAACTGATGCTCAAGATTTATTAATTAAATTACTTCAAAAAGATCCAAAATATAGATTGAATGATGCCCAAGAAATTAAAGCTCATCCATTCTTTAAAGATATTGATTGGAATAAATTATTAAATAAAAGTTATTTACCTCCATTTAAACCAAATGTTGAAAATTTATTAGATACTTCAAATTTTGATCAAGATTTTACTAATGAAAAACCTCAAGATTCAGTTGTGGATGATTTCTTAACTGAAAGTGTTCAAAAACAATTTGGTGGTTGGACTTATAATGGTGACAACGTGTTATAGAAATTTAATTACTTCTTAAGTCCCGTACGCGCCCCCTTTACCCATTCCCCCCATCTCTCTCTGTCGTATATATAACATAATACTATATTTCCTTAATTCGTTCTATAAATCATTAACTAATAACAAACTACACAAAAACTAACACTACCTATTCGCAACCCCATGATATGTCGCCCCCGAACGGCCAGGGAACCCCCCACTACTCCCACCCGTACTTTTATGCCCCTTATCCAACGGAGCACCATGTTTATAATATTGATTAGGATAATCGCCATTCTTGATTCGTTCAGGGTCACGTCTAAGATATTCCTGATATTGAGGATTAAGATGCTCAGGTGGTGCTTGGGTGATATTTACTAAATCAGGCGTGATTTTTAAGACATTAGGATCCTGGGCTGGATTGTAATATGGTTGTTGTTGTTGTTGATATCCGTATCCCGGTTGCGCGGGGGGATATCCTGGTTGGGGAGGGGGATATCCTGGTTGTACATTATATCCTACGTTTCCGTATCCTGGCTGATTGTATTGGGACAGTTGATTGAAGTTTGGATCATCATGATAGGAACCATGTGGGGGTTGTGGAGGCTTGTTATAACTAGAATGAGGTGGCGGTGGAGGTCTATTATAACCCGGTTGAGAAGGTGGTGAAAATGAATATGGTGGGGGTGGTGCTTCAATTGGTGCACGATTATAAGATTCTGCTTGTTGTTCTTTGGATTTATCGTTTTCTCCCATTGTTAGTTTATTTGTTTGTAGTATGGTTTATAACTAGAAGTGGTAAATGATAATGATGAAATTGATTAATATGGAATTAAGGGGATTCTTTAAATTAAGTATTGTGCCTCGATTTTTTGTTCTCAAAATTTTTGAATGACGTCATGATTATAATTTTACAATGACTGCAAAAAATGGTTGCAAGAGCAAAAGATTTATTGAGGAATACTGGGACCGTTTGACGATTAAAGAGGATATAATAACCGGAAAGGATTCAACCGCCCGTTGTATGTGATGGGAATAGAGTAATTCTAAAAACAAGGCAACTTGGCTCATAAGTATTGTAGGGGTCGTGCAACCCGCAAGATTATTGGAAGAGTCGAAGGGCTAGGAAAGAAACATAAGGTCAGCATGGCTGCTCTTGCTACTACTTGGGTTATCCACAAAGCGTGTAGAATACAATTATTGGCATTTCTTCTGTTTAGAGAAGATAAGAAATCACAAGAAATCTACTGCAAAGTTAAACGTGCCAAAGTTTTAATTTCATAAAGGAGAAGATAAAGATTTGTTGATAAAATAGGTTCTCAGATAGTCTAGCGTAAATATATAGCAATAGACTTGTTAATGCTATGGACTGTCAAGAACTTGTTCATTCGGCATTTCCCAACGATGCAACTGAATTACCTGGAAAGTAGACATCAGCTCCAGGGATGGCTACTAGTGAAGATCCAGAAAAAACGTCCGACTATTGGAGGCATGGTACGGATGAAAGAATTACCACCGACCATGAAAACTCCGTCACTGAATTCAATGGAAAGGCATGCAATGGGGCACATGACTGGCATAAATAAAAGATGCAAAATTGGTTTCAAGGGCCAGGCTTATTGACTATCTTGTGCTCATCAATCGGTGAGAAGATTAATTCATTATTGGTAGATCTTGTATTAACCATTCTGGAAGAATTTGGCAACACTAACCAAATTAATCAGATATGTTTTCTTTACAACAGTTAATTATAGAATCAAAGAATAACAAAATTAGATTCCTTCAGCATAAATCTAAAAAATTCATTTTTGCCCCGACAATCAACAAGCTCAAGCTGACTTCATATTCTTTATAGAAAAGAACGTACACTTCTTTGTATCCTGACAATGTTAGGAAAATGACCAAAGAAAGCCATCTATCAACATTTTACACTCTAAATGAGCAAAACCCACCAGAAAAAAATTTTTTGCAGTGAAAAAAAGGAAGAACAAAAAATTTTCAGTTACAGAGAAAGATATTCAATCAAAAGCAAGGAGGCCAATAGATCCCTTTTCAAAATATCATGTTTAACACCTTAAAGAGCAGGGCCATCGTGTCAGGAGCTGTTGCTAAAGAATTTACCCGTGGGAGAAGGGTAACTGCCCAAGTTAATGATGCCACTCAAAAGATTGTGAATCAATTATCTGTCTTGTCAGCCAGTAAAAAACAACCAAAACTTTTAAAATTCTGTCCTGAAGATATAATAAAACATAGAACAATCATGAATGCATGGAAGTTGGTCAAACGTAGAAAACAACAAAAGCAACAGGAACAATTAGCTAAACAATATAATAGTATTTATAATGCTATGGAAGATTTAAAGAATTCAAGACCTGATTTATATGAAATTGCTAATTCAAAGGAAAAGAGATTTAGATTCCCATTAGAGATGAGAGTTCCTACTGAATATCCACCTAATGATCCTTGGGTTTATGATTATTCTCCACCTGAATATGCAAGACGTTAAGGTTCTAATGACAATTTCTTGTAAATAGATAACTAATATACACATATTTTCTACAGTCATAAATATAATAATACAGATATAGATACATAAATGTAGATGTTCAAAAAATGATTAATCATCCATGGTTCTTGCCTTTCTCTTTCTTGACGGCGTACCCGCCAGAGAACTACTAATGCTATCACTTGATCCACTCTTTTGAGCAACATTTATACCACCAGTTGGATCCACTGAATCTTCATAATCATCAAAATCATCTTTATTCCCTCCACCTCCAGTACTTGAACTTATGTTTGATATACCTTGTCGTTTCATTAATCCTTTTATATAATTAACTGAACTTAAACTAAAAATATGATCATCTTCTGTATAAGTAATTCTTCTTTTATTCCCTCCAACTCCTCCACCTCCACTTTTAGAGAAGTTTTCAAACCCTTTTACAATATTACCTATTGAACTCTCTTCAAAATAGTCTAGTTCCTTTTGATAGATTGAATCTTCTAATGAATTTAATTTTTCAGTTAATTCTTGTTTTCGTAAGATTTGTTGGGTTAATTTATTCTTTATTTCGGCATATTTTTCTATACTTGCATCAGACAGAGATTTCTCTTTACTGTTTGATGTATTACCGTTAGTGGCTGATGTAGTATCAGATGCTTTCTCATCTTTTGTGGCTGTTGTTGTGGCTGTTTTGGTGGTGGCCGTGGTGGTTACATCGGTTTTAGTTGTTGTATCTGACTTAGCTGCTGTGGTTACATTTGTAACTTTAGTTTTTGGAGATGTGGCTGCCTTACTTGGCAGACTCTTTGCTTCTTTAGATTCTTTGGTATTAGTCATTATTTAGATCTCATGACTCTAGATAGATAGATCAAGTATGATCAACTACAACCTTAAACAACAACCAAAAAAAACTCGAATGGGAAGCCAATAGTCGCAGAATCTGGCAGTGTCGCAAATAATTCATAACTGCGACATATACAAACCCGGGCCGTAGTAGAAGATGAGTGAAAATTTCCGAGGTGAGGCAATCACATGTGTTGACGAATTTCCGAGCAAATCCGGGATTCACACACAAAAATTTAGACTTTTGGTAACAAAATTCAAAATGGGAGAAAAAACTCCGAGACCGAAGGTGGTAGAAGGTTTTTTTTGAAACATTATCGTTCTTTTAAAACGGATTGTATACGATATCCGTTATGTACGTGTCACATTTGTATGAGGTTTAAAATTCCGGGGGGAGAGTTGGATACTATCCAGTGGTTTGTTATAGGCTTGTTAAAACTGGATTATAGGGGGTACACATTAGACAATTGATTGCTATAGATAAGTATAATTACAAAATGATGGCTTGAAGGATAAAATTTACTATGTCTTACGATTCTCTAAAGGTGAAAAATTAGAAACCAATTGAAAACACAATTGTGGCTGTTCTGGATCAAAAACGGTGTGTGTGGTGGTTTTACCCTTGTGGCGATTGCAACAATCTGATGATGTCTCGGCTGATGGTAACTGAAACTAAACGTGTAGTATAGTTGTAAAAAATCCTTATTATGGAAGCTCGGGACAATGTGACCCAGTAGTAACACTTATTTTATGTATCAACAAAAAAAAAAAAAAATTAAATTGCGAGTTCCCTGATGTTTTAAAAAATTAATTTTCAATTTTCACTCTCCTCCTCCTTCTCTCCCTTGTTTACAATAACTAACCCCCTTTGTACCGGAAGTCAATTGAATTGAAAAATTCATATAAAAGTTCAATTAATTCTCTATCCCTTTTTTTCGAAAATTTTTTAAATCTTTTTCCTTTTCTTCTTCTTCTTTCTTTCTTTCTTCTTTCTGTAGATCAATTCCAATTGACATCTAAATCACATAATACAATACACAATGGCTATTACTAAAGTTTTTGCTAGATACGTTTACGACTCCAGAGGTAACCCAACTGTTGAAGTTGACTTACACACTGAAAAAGGTTTATTCAGATCAATTGTTCCATCTGGTGCTTCCACCGGTATCCATGAAGCTTTGGAATTAAGAGATGGTGATAAATCTAAATGGTTAGGTAAGGGTGTTACCAAGGCTGTTGCCAATGTTAACGAAATCATCGCCCCAGCTTTAATTAAGGCTAACCTTGATGTTGTTGACCAAGCCAAGATTGATGAATTCTTATTATCTTTAGATGGTACTCCAAACAAATCTAAGTTAGGTGCCAATGCTATCTTAGGTGTTTCTTTAGCTGCTGCCAAGGCTGGTGCTGCTGAAAAGAATGTTCCATTATACCACCACTTGGCTCAACTTGCTGGTGCTTCTACTGACAAGTTTGTCTTGCCAGTTCCATTCCAAAATGTCTTGAATGGTGGTTCCCACGCTGGTGGTGCTTTAGCTTTCCAAGAATTCATGATTGTTCCAACTGGTGCCCCAACTTTCTCTGAAGGTTTAAGAATTGGTTCTGAAGTTTACCACAACTTGAAATCTCTTACCAAGAAGAGATATGGTCAATCCGCCGGTAATGTTGGTGATGAAGGTGGTGTTGCTCCAGATATCGGATCTCCAAAGGAAGCTTTAGACTTGATTGTTGATGCCATTGCTGCTGCTGGTTACACCGGTAAGGTTGGTATTGCTTTAGATGTTGCTTCATCTGAATTCTTTAAGGATGGTAAATATGACTTGGACTTCAAGAATCCAAACTCTGACCCATCTAAATGGATTTCTGGTGAAGAATTAGGTGCTTTATACCAAGAATTGATTAACACCTACCCAATTGTTTCCATTGAAGATCCATTTGCTGAAGATGATTGGGAAGCTTGGGTTAAGTTCTCCGCCTTAGTTGGGGACAAGATTCAAATTGTTGCTGATGATTTAACTGTCACTAACCCAATCAGAATTAAGACTGCCATTGAAAAGAAGGCTGCTGATGGTTTATTATTAAAGGTTAACCAAATTGGTTCTTTATCTGAATCCATCCAAGCTGCTAAGGACTCTTATGCTGCTAACTGGGGTGTTATGGTTTCCCACAGATCTGGTGAAACTGAAGATACCTTCATTGCTGATTTATCTGTTGGTTTAAGATCTGGTCAAATCAAGACTGGTGCTCCAGCTAGATCTGAAAGATTAGCCAAGTTGAACCAAATCTTAAGAATTGAAGAAGAATTAGGTGATAAAGCCATCTATGCTGGTAAGGACTTCCACATTGCTCAAACTTTGTAAGTAACTTTACTAAACAATAAAATTTTACGATATTTAGATATTTTTTAGTTTGATATGACTTTTCTTTTATTGTATAGAAGAATGTAATGGTTTTATTAGAAACATGATTTTATAAACAAGTTGTAGTTTCGTCATTTAAAAGTTTATTTACAATATTCTACTCTAATAGTATTCTACTTTAATAATCACTAGAGATTTTCTCAAGTATTTCAAAGAGTCTTTGGGCTGCTAAATTAGTCTTTTCAAAATTATTGTACAAAGGCAATGGTGCCAGTGTCACAGTTTAAACTACAAATATTTAAAGCTGTATATGCAGGCGTGAAGGGAAAGTGCTTCACTTAATCTTTACTCTCTGGTGGCTTATATGTAATAGCGCTGATATTGGGGGATATGTGATAAGTGTAGACGATATCGAAGTAGTTAATTCCCCACCAATGGCTTAATCATACCGATGATCAAACTTAAGACTTTTGATATTTGCTCTCTTATTAAATCGTTCGAAACGTAATTTGTTGATACTTCATAAAACTTATAAAGACAGAAGAAATGTAGCTTGTTAAATACCAAGCATACTTTAAATAATTTACCCCAAATTACCGTATTTGCAATACAATTCACAATATTATTTATATAAAACTTCTAACAATGGACCCTTGATTACACTTGGCTCAAATCGCTCAAATTCTAAAGTAACGACATCCATGTCGTGATGCCGCAGAACTGACTTTTATATAGGCAAACGTCGTAAGTGTACTGTGACAGCCAGTAGCATGGCCCAACAAACATGGGAGAGAGTTGGATTAACTGGAAGAATTAATTGGCAACTACTACTGGCTCCTCGCACGGGCGAAGTGAAACAATATCGACGGGCCAACCAATACATCAAAGTAATCTTTAACATGTGCAAACACCAGCGGCATCATACTAGAGAAATCGAAGCTATATCCACGGGAGGTATAAAGAGGTGGCATAGCCTTACAAAGAAAGTATAAAGAATAAATGTATAAACTAAGTAATTATATCAAATCAAATCAAAAAAAAAAAAAAGAGAACATTTAATTCGACAAGGACGAACAATTAAAAAAAGACATTTAACTACAAGAAAAAGATGACATGATGATAAGAGTGAACTATACCTAGGCGTAGGTTTCCATAGAGCGTTATCTGCCTGTTTGCTTTATTTCTGTGTATATGAAGTGTATATATAGTTTTGTATAAAAGATAAAGCTTGCACTATTTTTTGTAAAAAAAAAATTATTTTTATTACCAACAAAAAAAAATAGATTGCGAGGATAGTGAAAATTTAATTTTTTAAACATCAGGGAACTCGCTATAAAAGGAACAAGGGAGAACAAAGGGAAAGAAGGCTTTTATAGCAATCACCTGTTTATACTGGAAGTCAATTGAATTCAATTGAATTGAAACATTCATATAAAAGTTCAATTAATTCTCTATCCCTTTTTATCCAAAATTTGTTTAATCTTTTCCCTTTTCTTCCTCTTTCTTTCTTCTTTCTGTAGATCAATTCCAATTGACATCTAAATCACAATGGCTATTACTAAAGTTTTTGCTAGATACGTTTACGACTCCAGAGGCAACCCAACTGTCGAAGTTGACTTACACACTGAAAAAGGTTTATTCAGATCAATTGTTCCATCTGGTGCTTCCACCGGTATCCATGAAGCTTTGGAATTAAGAGATGGTGATAAATCTAAATGGTTAGGTAAGGGTGTTACCAAGGCTGTTGCCAATGTTAACGAAATCATCGCCCCAGCTTTAATTAAGGCTAACCTTGATGTTGTTGACCAAGCCAAGATTGATGAATTCTTATTATCTTTAGATGGTACTCCAAACAAATCTAAGTTAGGTGCCAATGCTATCTTAGGTGTTTCTTTAGCTGCTGCCAAGGCTGGTGCTGCTGAAAAGAATGTTCCATTATACCACCACTTGGCTCAACTTGCTGGTGCTTCCACTGACAAGTTTGTCTTACCAGTTCCATTCCAAAATGTCTTGAATGGTGGTTCCCACGCTGGTGGTGCTTTGGCTTTCCAAGAATTCATGATTGCCCCAATTGGTGCCCCAAGTTTCTCTGAAGGTTTAAGAATGGGTACTGAAGTTTATCACAACTTGAAGTCTCTTACCAAGAAGAGATATGGTCAATCCGCCGGTAATGTTGGTGACGAAGGTGGTGTTGCTCCAGATATCGGATCTCCAAAGGAAGCTTTAGACTTGATTGTTGATGCCATTGCTGCTGCTGGTTACACCGGTAAGGTTGGTATTGCTTTAGATGTTGCTTCATCTGAATTCTTTAAGGATGGTAAATATGACTTGGACTTCAAGAATCCAAACTCTGACCCATCTAAATGGATTTCTGGTGAAGAATTAGGTGCTATATACCTAGACTTGATCAACAATTACCCAATTGTTTCGCTTGAAGATCCATTTGCTGAAGATGATTGGGAATCTTGGGTTAAATTCTTCCCTCTAGTTGGTGGCAAGATTCCAATTGTTGCTGATGATATAACTGTCACCAACCCAATCAGAATCAAGACTGCCATTGAAAAGAAGATTGCTGATACTTTATTATTAAAGGTTAACCAAATTGGTACTTTAACTGAATCACTCCAAGCTGCTAAGGACTCCTATGCTGCTGACTGGGGTATTATGGTTTCTCACAGATCTGGTGAAACTGAAGATACCTTCATTGCTGATTTAACTGTTGGTTTAAGAACTGGTCAAATCAAGACTGGTGCTCCAGCTAGATCTGAAAGATTAGCCAAGTTGAACCAAATCTTAAGAATTGAAGAAGAATTAGGTGATAAAGCCATCTATGCTGGTAAGGACTTCCACATTGCTCAAACTTTGTAAGTAACTTTACTAAACAATAAAATTTACGATATTTCGATATTTTTTAGTTTGATATGACTTTTCTTTTATTGCATAGAAGAATGTAATGGTTTTATTAGAAACATGGTTTTATAAAGAAGTTGTCATTTTATTTTGGTCATATAAAAGTTTATTTACAATATTCTACTCTAATAATATTCTACTTTAATAATCACTAGAGATTTTCTCAAGTATTTCAAAGAGTCTTCGGGTTGCTAAATATGTCTCTTCAAAATTATTGTACAAAGGCAAAGGTGCCAATCTAATTACATCTGGTCTTCTTTCGTCGCATATGATTGCATGATCATGCAAATAAGCATGAACTCTTTCCATAACATTCTTTGCCTTGTCATCAATATGAGGTTGGAAACATATAGATAATTGACACCCTCTTTCTTCTGGATTCAAGGGAGTTAAAATCTTAAATCCAAACTTTGAAGAATCTTGATCACTTTGAGGAGTATAAAATTTAGATTCAGTTAAAAGATCTTGTAAGAATTGTGTTAATTCTAGACTCTTTTCTCTCAATTTCTCAACTCCTCCGACTTTCTTAAAAACCTCTAAAGATGATCTAACAGCCACGGTATCAATCACCGATGGGTTGGATTGCCTATATGAAAGAGCAGAATTTATAGGATCATACTCTTCCAACATCAAAAACCTGTCTTCCGGATTGTTTCCCCACCATCCTGCCAATCTAGGATTGAAATCAGTTTTAGAATTACCTTGAGTGTATCGTTCATGAACAAAAATCCCTGCCATTCCACCAGGACCAGAATTTAAATATTTATACGAACACCAAGCTGCAAAATCAACATTCCAATCATGTAATTTCAAAGGAACATTCCCAACAGCATGAGCTAAATCCCAACCAACTCTAATATCCTCACTTTTCGATTTTGCATAATTTGTAATCTCTTCCATATCGAAAAACTGTCCAGTGTAGTACTGAATACCTGGGAAACAAACAAGGGCTAATTCATCTTGGTATTTGTCAATAACTTGTTTAATATCTTCTGTTTTAAGATATGTTTCCCCCGGTTTCACTTCTACTTGAATTAAATGTGATTCATCAAATCCATGTAATTTAACTAAATTAATAAACGCATAATAATCAGAAGGAAAAGCTTGCTTTTCAAATAAGACTTTAGTTCTGGTTCCTTTTGGTTTATAGAAATGAATCAATAATGCATTCAAATTAGCAGTCAATGATCCCATAACAGCAACTTCATTATCCTTGGCACCAACCACGGGGGCCATTAAAGGTACCACTGGAATATCAATATCTACCCAAGATGTCAAACTTTTATCAGGATGATTGAAATGGGATTCAACTCCACGAGCTGCCCATGCATCCAATTCGTCGGTGATTGCTTTACGTGTACATTTTGGCATAAGACCGAGTGAATTCCCACAAAGGTAGATTGATTCGGTGTAAGGGTCGAAATCGGGGTTGGTGATTCCGAGGGATGCAAAAGTTGGCATAGCAAACTCTTGTTTGTATGTTGGATACTTTGAATCTAATTCTTTGGCTTTAGCGAGTGACATTTGTTAGTGTTGAGTAAGTATAAGTTGAAATCATAAATAAAGCTAAACGGGTTATCCTTAAAATTTGTCGGAAATTTTCACCGATATAATTTCGGCACTTAGAAATCATATCAAAAAAAATAATTAGTGTAACAACATCAAACCACTCACCTTTCTACAGGTTCAACCAATAGTAATGATCCATTCAGTATTGATATGTATGTCGTTTCTTCTTGTTTTATTTGGTTGACTCTTTAGATCAATACTAACTCTACTCAAAGTCAACAATGATGGATTGCCAAGACTAATGAAATTCTACACCAAAGTTGATCTTCCAACCCAACGGCTTCTTCTTCAACAAGTTCATCAATTAATCTCAGTCCGTACCTCACAAGAATGTTCATTTATAACACCACCTTCTTTATTAGAAGATCTAGATGATATTAAAGTGATATATCGACATTATGCAACATTATATTTCGTATTTATTGTCGATGATCAAGAATCAGAATTGGGAATATTGGATTTAATTCAAGTATTTGTTGAATGTTTAGATAAATGTTTTACTAATGTTTGTGAATTAGATTTAGTGTTTGGATGGCAAGTTTTACAAACTGTTTTAGAGGAAATTGTTCAAGGGGGAATGGTTATAGATACTAATATTAGTAGAATTGTCGCCGCGGTTGATGATGCCAATAGTCAGAAGAATGGTGGTATGGCTAGTTCGGCAAGTGGTATTAGTTCGTCAATATTACTGTCATTTTCACGAGATCGTGGGTTTTGGGGTAGGTAGTATATATACATAAGGAGTTTCTGTATCTGTAATTTATATTCGTACACATTAAAAATAATCTATTTACAATGAATGGGGAACTACCTTCACTTTCTAAAGGTAAGGACATCAAACCAAGACCGTTTACTTTGTTTCAACAACTGGGCAGCTTCTTCTTCTTCCTTATTAGCCAATTCAATTTGTTCTTTTTGAGCATTTTGAGCTATAGATTTATTTACAGCATTATAATCAACCAATTGTTGATTCATATTTCTTTGATCCTTTTCAAATGGAGATCCAATAGGACCAGTCATCCAAATTGGATCATTTGAAGCTGACGTCTTTTTCACAATTTCCATGAGTTTTTGTTGTTCTAATAATCTTGCTTCTTTATTTCTTTCATAATTGGCTCTAACTTCAGGTGAAAATGCTGCTATTAATTCTTCGTCAGTTGGTCTAATGTTGTACCATAACCAGAACCCTAAACCGGTAATACATCCCCCTGCAAAATATACTCTTGCCCAACGGTACCATAAAGGTTTAGTAGACATCTTTGATACTGAGACTCTTGGTTGTTTGCTGTTGACCTAAGAGATTGTTCATAATTTTTTTGCTTAGAAAGATCATCAATCATATTGGTTCGAAATTTTTAATTAATCACGTGCAGAGTCACATGATCAATCACGTGATATGATCCTTAGTCACGTGCGTGGAAGTCCTGAGATTTTAATCAGATTTTTTCAGAACAATAGATCATAAATGGAAAACAGTTTTGGTTGCAACTTTTTAAGGATTCGTTAATACTTTCCTTGCAAATTCTAGAATGTTGCAATTAAGTATTAGTTTCAGATAAGAGAAAAATATAGAATTTCCAAACAGTTGATGCCGTCAATCCACGCCCCCCCTGAACCAACGGCACAACTAAATACAGTATCAAACAGATATAATTTGATTTGTTGAGTAATGAAAGGTGGTTGCAAATCGCAGTTATTGTATGCATAGTGAAAGTTCCAGACTTTGTTCATATATCCGAACTGAATATCTCACGATTGAAATCTGATAAAGCAAATCTCAAATAGTTGAAAAGTAACCAATGAGTTTACAAACAATAGAAAAAGAAGTTAAATGTAGCCTTACAATTGAGGCTAAAATATTCCACGGTTAAATTTGATTCATTATTTCTTAATCTTTTTTATTTTAAACGTTAATTAATAATTATGAAACAGTCGATTAATAGTTTAATGTTGTAATCATCAGGAGAAGAAGAATAAATATGAGATGGTTCCAAGGAATAAGTTACAAAGTCAAGGAAATGTAAGGTGCTGTATCACCTGCATATATTGCCAATACAACCTATAAAATAATCTTATAAAAAATATTTTATTTTACTCAACAAAATAATTATTGGTAGCTCCAACCCCTTTTTTTTTATTTATTTAATTATGTAATCTCATCAGATTTTATTTTTTATTTTTATTTTCCCTTTAAAATTTTTCCCTCTTCCTTCCTGCTTCCGCTTTCCGTGTTAAAAATTTTTAAATTATAAATAAACGAGCTATACGACCACTTTTTTTTAACTTTTAATATTATTAGTTTGATTTCATAGTTTTTTATTTACTATTAATATAACATAGCCACTACAGCTACCACTGACTTACGCTCTTTTAGAATACATCATACGTAGTATTCCTACTGAATTACGAAAAGCCTAGTCATATATATATATATATGACCAATTAACTCAATTCAATTGTTAACTTAATTTTATTCAACATAATAAGTTTACACTATTCACACACACATATATACAAAACGCGTATCCTCCTACTTGAGACATAGTCATCAATAATATATACAACTCATAACTATCTACAAATACAATATCCCTTTTCTTTCAACAAAAAACTACATTGTAAAAGATGTCTGCCGACAATTCATCATCTCAATCAAATCCAATTGATAATAGTCAACCACAAAATTCCCAAGAACAACACACTGACAAAAAGGGAAGGTCATCTACTGGTAAAAGAAAATATCATCAAAAATCAAGAAATGGTTGTTCCACATGTAAAAAACGAAGAGTTAAATGTGATGAAACAAGACCAATTTGTAATAAATGTAAGAATTTAAATTTAGATTGTGGATATTTACATCAAGATCCAAATGATTCTGCACATATTCAAGAGAATCCAAAATCTGAAATAAAACATTCTGATGAACCTAAAGTGAAAAAGAGAAAAGTTTCACTGTCTTCCATATCTTCTGAATCATCCAATGAAGCCAATTCCATTCCTGTTGCTCAACAAGCTACACCTTCATTGACACCTAGTCCCAGTATGGCAGCACATGGAAAATCAGCTCCTCAATTTACGGCCAATGGTAGCAGTGCCACCACCGCCGCCGCTAACAATATACCACAAGGACAAGTGCCACAAATTCCTCCTGGTTTATTCCTGAATAATTCTAATAACCCACTTAATGCTTTGGCATCTGGTCTTTTAAGTGCTGGGAATTTAAATAATTTAAATATTGCTCATTTGGTTAATAATTTATCAGGCTTATCGGGTGATCTTGGAGGTGGTCTTGGCAATTTAGCTAGCTTATCTAATTTAGCTACCTTGGCACAATTACCTGTTGATTTAAGTAGTTTAGGGTCACAGATTGATCCACTGATTTTACAAAATTTGGTTGCAACTTTTGCTGGTGCTGGAGGAGCCCTTCCTCATGGAATTATGACTACTGCTGCCAACGTTAATACTCCACCAATAAATTCTGCCGCTTCGCCTCCTGCTAGTACTGTTGCTGCTGCCAATCCTGCTCGTCTTCCTTCAGCAGCTCCTATTACCCCAGCTAGTACTCAAAATATACTCAATGGTTCGTCATTGTCAAATAGTAGTGTTCCAACTCCTCCACCGATGAGCTTTAGTCCATTCACTCAAGCTGGCATTCCACAACCATCTACTGGTAGTAGTCATCTTAATAATGTCACTGCGAATGGACATAATAATCTCCAGTCCAGCAATAATCATATCAATGTTAACAATCCATATGAAAACGCCCAGACCCAAAGAGTACCCAATATTTCCGCCAATACACCAATCACCACCAATCCACTCCAACAACCTCCCTCGGATCCAAGTGAAACCCTCAACATGATGGATTTAAAATTAATGTTTCATTATACATCACAAGTCGCCAGTACAATCACGGGTGCCGGAATTTCCGAAACTAATATTTGGAATACTGATATACCCATGTTAGCATTTGAGCATCCATTTTTAATGCATTCATTACTTGCATTCAGTGCCACTCATCTTTCAAGAACCGAAAAGGGGTTAGATCAATGTGTGACCTGTCATCGAGGAGAAGCCTTGAGATTATTACGTGAGGCAGTATTGAATATTAATGCAGATAACACTGATGCATTAGTTGCTAGTGCATTGATTTTGATTATGGATTCTTTGGCAAATGCTTCATTTCCTTCTTCTACTTCACCGAAATCATTGCCGGCTTCAGCTTGGATTTTTCATGTAAAGGGTGCTGCTACGATTTTGACTGCTGTTTGGCCATTGACTGAAGCTCTGAGGTTTTATAAATTTATTCTGGTTGATTTAGGGGATTTAGGTGATATAATTAATCAAAGAGTGAATTTGGGGAAGAAGAATTTGGATGATACCGATCGTTATTATACTGATTTAGAATGTCATGATTCTGATATTGCTGATTTATATCCTGTTGAAATTGATTCACCATATTTGATAACATTGGCTTATTTGAATAAATTACATAAAGAAAGATATAAATCCGATTTTATATTAAGAATATTTGCATTCCCGGCATTATTAGATAAAATATTTTTAGGATTGTTGATGTCTGGAGATGTTAAAGCTATGAGAATTATGAGATCATATTATAAGTTGCTTAGATCATTTACCACTGAGATGAAAGATAAAGTATGGTTTTTAGAAGGTGTATCACAAGTACTTCCAGTCAATGTTGAAGAATATGCCGGAGGTGCGGGTGGTATGCATATGATGTTGGATTTCTTGGGTGGTGGTCCTGCAATTGTCGATGAAGATTTAGAGGAGGCGATTATGCAATTTGATCCAAGTGGATCATTGAGTAATAAATTAATAGATACAGATAATTTACCAAGTGAAATTACAAGTAGCTTGGAAGTTATGCAAGGTGATAATGGGTTTATGAATATTAAATAGACATGGTTAATACGTTTTGATATAGATAGTTTTATTTATGATAATTAATTTTAATAATAAGAATAATAATAGTTTTGCAGAGACAATCTTTCTTGAAGGTATAAGTTGTCATGTAGAATACGATTTCTCGGATATTGCCAGTGGGAATATAGATCATGTCACTCGTTATATTTTGAGTAGTGATAAAAATCAAAAAAAAATCAGTCAGATGATACTGATAAGAACATCCGTAAAGATTACGATTCATTTTATGATCAAGTAACAAGTAACGAAGATAAGAAATCTGCTGCAACAAAGTTTCAATTTCATAAAGAAGAAGATGAAGAGTTCTTAAATGGATTGCTAGAATGTGTTCTCAGTTAGTCTAGTGTAAATATATACCAACCTGTTGATTCGGCATTCCCTAAAGATACACTGAATAATCCGGAAACTAAACATCGGCTCCAGGGATAGCTACTAGTGGAGATCCAGAAAGAACGTCCTACTATTGGAAGCATAGTACGGATGAAAGCATTACCACCGACCCTGAAAACTCCACATCACGCAATTCAATGGAGAGGCATGCATTGGGGCATAAATAAAGTGATCGAAAATGATTATTGGAGGAAACTATTACAATTAAAACGAACTGCAATCTTTATATTCAACAAGTTAATTAAATCAATATACAGTATTTAAATAATAAAACAAATGAAATAGCAGAATCAACCAATATATATCATCTAATACCAACGGAAAAATGGGAGCTCCCCCCACCTCTTTCCTCTCTCCCTCTCTCTCTCTGCAGCACATTCGAAGCCTATATTAAACTAATGCTTCTCCCTTAATATCACATAAACACTCCATCACACAAAGTAACCATTATTAACGTGAATATTTTAGAATGAATATAAAGTTCCTTTATTTTTTTTTTTTTTGTTTTACATGCCTGCAGTCATGATGGAAGAAATGCATTTACGCACGAGCTAACAGTGTGGGACTCGACCTCTCAGTAATACCCACTAAAACTCCCTTGAAATCATCTGGAGACCCATAAAATCTATCAACGAAGTTAACCGTGCACAAAGCGGATACTTCAGATTGAATGGCAGTGTATTGTCCCAGTGATCCTCGAAATCCATCAAAGAAGTTAACCGTACACAAAGCGGATACTTCATATTGAATGGAATGTGCTGATGGTTGGCATTTGATGAGATCATCATTGATTCTTTCCATCACCAATCTCATCAAATGCCAACCATCAGCACCCCCGTCACCACCACCATCAAATTCCAACCATCATCACCCCCATCACCAATCTCATTAAATGCCAACCATCATCACCCCCTCTCCTTCCACCTCCCCCATCCTGATTTATGTACCACCAACAACATTCAAATTGTCATCCACCACCACCAACATTTAAATTTTTCACTTATATTACCGATTATACAAAATTGAAATATTCTTCATTTTCATTCTAACTTGGATTAAGTCAAACTTTCATTTCTTGGAATCACATTAAAAATTCCTCACACCAAATTAGCCATTGGTCAGATGCCTAATTCGCTATGAAAGGATTTACCCCGATCCATGAAAATCCAGTCCAAACTCTCTCCAAATTGGATGAACACCAACTCTTAATTTGAATTATTGATTATGATATGATTGATTTGAAATAATAGAAAAGTTCCCAGATGACCAACTTAGATCGAAGTCAAATTTTCATCCATTGAAATCAGATTAAAAATCCATCACACGAAAAAACCGCTGGACAAGACGGCTAATTCAGTATGAATGGATTTACCCCGATCCATGAGAATCCAGTCCAACTCTCTCCATATTGTATCATCAAGAACTCTTCCTTTTCATGATTTTTGAATGACTTGGAAATGTAGTAGCAGCATGTGGTTGGTTGTAGATAACGTAGCGGTCGGTTGTAGATAACGTAGTGGTTGTATTGGAGTATTGGAAGGTTGGGAAGAAGTTTTCAATTTTGTTTCTGTGACAGCTTTTTTTTGCCGCCAACTAGACTTCATTTTCTCTCTCTTTTCTTGTTGACATTTCTTCTTTGGACATATTGGATAGCATAATGGTCCTTTTGATTGATTGATGAAGATGAAGGTGGTGTGGATAACTCAATATACGTACTTCTGTAATTGGTGGATTTCTTGATGAACAAAAGTAAAGAAGAAAGAAACTAAGTTTTAAAATTCTAGAATGCTGCAAAAAAAAAGACAAAATCATTTTCAAAGTAAACAATTATTATTAGGGGAAAGAAAAAATATGGCAGCGCAGTGATTTCAAAAAGATATGGTAAGGTAATGATAATCAAATGAAGATATAGAAGAAGTTGAATTGATGAAGTTAATGATGATTATTATTCTAATGGTTTTTAATAAATCCATCTCCTATGTTATCCTCTTTACACTAAAACCATTAAGAAATCAAATACATAATAAAAATATACGAATCTGGACCAAAAATTTTGCACTGTATTTTGTATGAAAAATCGATTTTAAATAGTTAAATAACGAAGGTCAAATGCACCACTTTCTTACCGTTTTCTAATCTCTAAATACCATGATCTTCATATATAGCATCATTAATATACGTAGACTCATTTTGTTATCTTAGCGTATTTTGTTTGTGATTTTTGCAAAAAGTTTCCAGTAATATAAACTAAAAATACTTCACTTTTGATAACCCAACATTTGAACGCCCCGTTGACAAGAGAACAAGTCTAATTATATTAATGATGCAATATATAACTGTTACTACTTTTAAAGACCTAAAATGGGTAAAAACATGTGGTGTATTTGGCCTCTGTTATTTAACTATTTAAAATCGATTTTTAATACGAAAAACAGTACAAATATTGTTGAAATAAATAAGCATTAAAAGCCAATACTTGTAATGAACAAAAGAAATAGTGAGTGATACCAAGGTCGGGTAACGCCCTTTTGAAATACCAAACTGAACAACAAATACACAAAAGTCTCCATACGAACTAATAAATTGTCTTCTATAGTTAACGAATAAAATGAGCAAGGGTTTATATACATACAATATACTAGTAAATTATATTAATCACACATCTCAACTTATTTATAGCTGATTCTGATCTAGAATTTTAAAACTAACAACGTATTTTTGTTCCCCATATTTCTTCACTCCGTTTGTTTGTAGACCATTTCTATGTAGAACGGGTTGCTAGACTTTCTCAAAGGTAAGCCGTATTGTTTTGCTTTCATATCACGTACAACAGTGAGAATTTGGAGCGAGTGATTTTCTAGATACAAATTGTACTAGAGAAATGTTTATTGCTAATGACGGAAGTTGGTATAAGACGATAGATACCTTATTTATTTTAAGTAAAATTGACCTATTATAAATCATAACACAATGCTAAGATCGCTAAATTCAAAGTCATGAAATTCCAACACTTCTAGTTTTATACTACACGGTTAGAAATGATCTTAAAGCTTAAAACTAGTAGCTTCTTAACTTTTAGGTCTGCGTAACTAGAATTTAATATATAGGATATAGAAACTTGCCCAAATGGTTACAATATTGGCTCCAACAAGATCAACCGCAAAGTATGCTTCCATTAATGGTATCAAGTGATGTAATTACGTGAGGTTAGATACGCATAACCTGCCTTATATCCAGGGAGATATTTCAATTAGTAAGAGGATGTACATATATTTCGTTTGCTTGACATTTTTGAAAGTAATGATTAACCCGATTTTTTTTTTGCAGGTTGGGAAAATGCTGCAAAACGGTTGCAAATTCGCCACAAATAAAAAAAAAATATAAATGACAAGGAATTTCTCAATTCTCATTTATTTTGCAACTTTCTCTTTCACTTTCTCTTTCATTTAATCATTGATATAGGGATTTGACATATGTGCTCCTTTCGCTATCCACATCGTATCCAATTATATTCCATCCCTTCATTTCAATTCTAGTCCTTCACTTCATTCCAATTATATTACTGTTTTGTCTTTAGTTTTTTCAGTTAATTTTCAAAAAAAGCATCATTTTTTATCAAGAAATATTTTCTAAATATGGTCTATTGTTTCTTGCATAAAACATATTTTCAAATTTTGTGAAAAAATACTTGTTTTTTGGTGAATAAAAGAAGACACCAACAAAAAAAAAAACATATTCCTCCTTCCCTTCGTAAATCCTTCATTCACAAATCCTTCCCTTCATCAATATTACTTTTATCTATCATCAGTTCATTCCATCATTCTTTCCATACGTGCTTCTTCTCACCTGTTATCTTTCGCTAACCGACTCATTCTTCTTTTACTTCTTGTTTTAGTTTCCTTTTAATAACTTTGATTAATTTTTTTTCGAAGAAAAAATAAAGAAATTGAAAAAAAAAAAAAATAGAATAAGAAAGTTATTTATTTGTTTGGTTCTTCTATCTTTTTCACTAATTTGAGTCGGTCATGTTAATGGGGTCATTATTGTTGGGTTCATATCAAAGACAAAATAATAGCCTACTTGATGAATGTTAGGCTGGAAGCCGAAGTCATATTTGCCTCTCGTTCCAGTCCGTTCCATTTGCAGGTACAAGGGATGGAGTTGCCTTTTATGTGTCTTATTAGCCTCAATCAACGCAAGTTGAAATGAATCATACCAGCTAATATATAGCAAAGATGGTTTCAAATAATTCAAAATAGGACAAGGAAGCCAAATACAAACATATGAAAAAGAATCGAATAGCTTCATCAAAACCACTACCCACTCCCACCAAAACCTCACATTCCGAACGATCATCCAAGAAACAAATGCATTCAAATAAGCCAACACTAGAGAATTCCAAAGGCGAATGGCATCCTAATGTTAATGATGCATTGGTTAACCTCACTTGATCAAAAGATCAAAATCTAGAAATAGAATTTACAAGATATAGTAGAATCCAATGAGAAGAAGAGGAAGAGACCCACTACGATCAATAAGATGGAATATATCTCGGATCAAAAGAGAATCAATATCAATAAATACAGAGGCAGAAGACAGATAAGTTCAATTTGGAAGGATTTATATCAAATTTTGAGAATTACCCCAAACAGAGTAGAAAACTATTGAGTCATAAAATGTCTGACAGTTTGTTAGAAGAATGTGGATTGCGGAGTTATTCTGAAATAACTAAACATGAAAATGATTATAATGATATACATTATAAAAAACATGAGAATCGGAATATCGAACAAAATTCCTCAACCGAACTTGACGAGTTTGTGATTGGAGAGAGTAGCTTTAATGACCGCAGAAAGCTGATCGAGTCCAAACGGGCACATGTAAGATATTTGACAGAAGTAGAGAAGAAACAGGATGAAATTAGGAACCTATTGGCACAACAGCAGAAATTCTATAATGAAATCAAAACTAAGTTTGACTCAGATAAAATAAGTGATCATAATGAGGAAATTAATTGAGAGTAATAATTTCATCGCAGTTGATGAATCTCAGATGGATGCATTGATTGTAAAGTTAACTCTGACGGATATTACCAATAGGAGTATAGATGATAATTTTGATGATCTTTTGGGTATTGATAAGAATGAAGAGAATCAGTCAGATGATACTGCTTACAACGCTGCTAAGGATTTCGGTTCATTCTTTAATGAAGTGACAAGTAAAGAAGAGAAGAAACCTACTGCAGAGTCAGACAAACCAAAATTTCGTCTTCATAAACAAGAAGATGAAAATTTCTGAAATGGATTGTTAAAGTAAGTTCTCACTTAGAGTAATCAATATACTTTTGTAAAGCGCGTGTCAATAACCTGTTGGTTCTGGGTGTCTATCGCTAAAGCTATCGCTGAATTGCCTGGAAATTCAACTTTATATCCAGAATGTCTACTAGTGTAGATCTAGAAAGAACATCTGACGGAGGCATAGTACAGATGAAAGAATGAAATTCCATTGTCGTGGGAAGCATTCATTTTTCTGGTTCTTCATACACCTAGAAGGTTTCTATTCGACATAAGTGATCTTTTTTTTTAAAATATAAACCATCTATTAGTTTCAGAGAGTAAAGAAAGATAAAAAGATTTTGCAACCATAAAATTTTTTCAAATGTGTGTCTCCAGTTCGCCTCAGATTCAAATTTGTCTCTTCTTTCGTGGTCCCACTTCACTGAACTGCCACATGCGAAAAGCCATTCAGTACGAGAAAAGGCACGAGAAAAAAAAAATAAAATGGTTGATTCCAAAAGCTTCCCCTATTTCTCAAATTATTGAGCATTATATATTCAGAGTGGTTATATTTAAACATGGCCATTCGTCAAATAGATCGATTTGATTTGGCAGAACAAGATCCTTTGCATGTAATGTTCCTAATGTCAGTCACTTTTTCTCGTTAAGTAGAGATGTATAACTAATAATTGTATGTCGCGTGACGAGTAAATGGTGGGGGGGGTTGCAATTTTTAGATTGTATTGCATTTTCGGAAATGCTATCAGGGGAATATCCGTATGATTTTTAACTGAACCAGGGCAGTCATTTTTGTTGTTGAATAAACTCTCACCTGACAATATTCAACACAACTATTTGGCTATGGTTATATGATTCATCTATCCTGTCATTTCCATTCTACTTAGCTATTCAAATCAAATAATTAAATGGAAAATATTTTTACTTAAAGTAGAAAATTGTTAAAATTTAACTCTCTAATTAATTTTCGATTGTCTTTGTTTTTTGCCATGGGGAGATTCAATAAAGAAGAATAAGTTTAAATTAAATTTGTTAGAGATAAAAAAAAATTTAAGGAGAAACAGTGGTAGAGAGATTTACAATTAAAAAAAAACCATCAAAATTTAAAACAAAAACATTTTTTTTTTTGGCTAAATCAAAGAGTGAGTGCGAGAGAGAGAAAGAGAGAAAGAAAAAAAAGAAGTTTAAACCGTTGAAGTTTTTTTTTGTGAATTTCAATACTTTCTGATATAATCAAATAATCAACTTGTTTTAGTCATTATCATTCTTTTGTGTGTGAATCAATCCATTTAGAATCATCATAAGAACAAAACAATCTTTTTCAAATTCAAACTTCAACTCAAACTTTAGACAATCTTTTTCATTGAAATAATTTTACTGTCTTTTTTTTAATTTAATTTTTGGTTGATTTTTTTTTAATTCAGTTTATTATTACATACCCACATTTGAATAACAACAACGAATCAATTTTTCTACTTCTGACAAAAAATTTGATTTGATTTTTTATTTTTAACCAATTTTTGATAAACATCCCATAATAATAATAATAACATAGATTTCCTACAGTATGCAAACCATAAAGTGTGTTGTTGTCGGTGATGGTGCCGTTGGTAAAACTTGTCTTTTAATTTCATATACAACAAGTAAATTCCCTGCAGATTATGTTCCAACAGTTTTTGATAATTATGCAGTTACAGTCATGATTGGTGATGAACCATTCACATTAGGTTTATTCGATACAGCAGGTCAAGAAGATTATGATAGATTAAGACCGTTATCTTATCCTTCAACTGATGTTTTCCTTGTTTGTTTTTCAGTCATTTCCCCCGCGTCATTCGAAAATGTTAAAGAAAAATGGTTTCCTGAAGTTCATCATCATTGTCCTGGGGTACCTTGTTTAATTGTTGGTACTCAAACTGATTTAAGAAATGATGAAGTTATTTTACAAAGATTACATAGACAAAAATTATCTCCAATTACTCCAGAAATGGGTGAAAAATTAGCTAAAGAATTAAGAGCAGTTAAATATGTTGAATGTTCTGCTTTAACTCAAAGAGGTTTAAAAACTGTTTTCGATGAGGCAATCGTTGCAGCTTTAGAGCCTCCAGTTATTAAGAAATCAAAGAAATGTACCATTTTGTAAAGAAAGCTAGAGCAAAGAGAGAGAGAGAAACAACGACAAGAAAATTGGCGATTTTGAATATCCATCCACCCCCAATTAAAACTTATCAAACATATCTATACACAAGCATTTGAGAGAACTTCCGATGAAATCTTATACAATAAATCGATAACAAGTATTGAATAATTTTCTAGTTCCCATAATAATCAATTTATCGATAAAGAGGTTTCTTATTTATTTTTTTACACAATATCTCAATACAAAAGGCTTGTGAGTTAATTCTCTATCTATCTCATACAACAATTACTATTTTATTGCCTTCTTTTTACGTTACTTTGGGTTCTTTTTATTCTTATTATTATTATGATGAACTTTTTCTATTACATAAATACGTTTTATTCAATTTAGAGATGTAAACTAATTTTAACAAGCTATTGATTTCTTGTGGAATCGTAGATTTTCTTTAGGCGGATGAGAATTTTTCAACTTCTCGATAGTTGTAAAGATGGATATCACGGACCTTGACTCTACAACGATCTATTGAGATCTTGTCCCAATGAGGAAACTGACTCACTATGCAGTAATGTTACCGAGCCTGTGGTTGATTGATACTCACAACCCTATCTCGTCTATCTTATTCTCTATTGCTATATTGCTTTGCTATCTCTCTGGCAGTATGATCTCTTCCGTCTGAGAAAGGGTGTTTTCCTTTACCTGGCAGATCCATTGTTCTTATGCGTTAATCGAAAGTGCTACTTTCATACCTACATGCTATTTTTTTCAGCAAAAGCTTTTCTTGTCTTTTGTTTACCTTATCTTACTACACAAAGTTTGTTGTCCCTATTAACATATTTCCATAGTTTCTAGGATTATAATAATGAATTTCATGTCTATATATTCTTTGCTAGACTTGGTTCTTGTGTATTCAGTTCATGAGCTTGGTTCGGGCCATCGGAATTTCGTTTGGGTGTTCATCATATACTAACTCGTGTTTTGAAAAAGCTTCACCGGCTATAGAATATCTTCAGTGTAAAGATAGATGATTACCCACCAATCGCTCATTTCTCTACGCATAGAATCCATAATGATGTCTAATCTTTGGTTGAATAGACGTGTTTTGATTCTTAGTCGTGTAAAACTGCGAAAACCTTTGAATTTTTTTTTTTCGCCATTTGCAACAACAGCTTCCAAATTTTTTTTTCAGTCTTTACATCTTCCAAAAAATTGATTTCCACATCTTATATCATCATCATTGGGAATCCAATTCAACGAAATAGTTAAAATGTTTTCTGCAGCTCGTTCAGATACTCTATTCCTCGGAGCACAAAAGATAAGTGGTGATGACGTCCGTAACCAGACCGTCCTTGCTGCTCAAACCGTGGCCAATGTTGTCAAATCATCTTTAGGACCAGTTGGATTAGATAAAATGTTAGTCGATGATATTGGAGATGTCACAGTCACAAATGATGGTGCAACTATTTTATCCCTTTTGGATGTCCAACACCCTGCCGGTAAGATTCTTGTTGAATTGGCCCAACAACAAGATCGTGAAGTTGGGGATGGGACTACTTCAGTGGTGATTATTGCTGCTGAATTATTAAAAAGAGCCAATGAATTAGTTAAGAATAAGATTCATCCTACTACTATTATAACTGGATATAGATTGGCTCTTAGGGAGGCCATTAGATATATTAACCAAGTCTTATCACAAAGTGTTGATCTGTTGGGTAAAGAAACCATGATCAATATTGCTAAAACTTCAATGAGTTCAAAAATTATTGGTGGTGATTCTGAATTTTTCAGTAAAATAGTTGTTGATGCTATGTTAGCAGTCAAGACTACTAATTCAAAGGGAGAAGTTAAATATCCTGTCAAGGCAGTTAATATCTTAAAAGCTCATGGTAAATCGTCGTTAGAATCTATGTTGGTTGATGGTTATGCATTGAATTGTACTGTTGCCTCCCAAGCTATGGTCAAATCGGTTAAGAATGCTAAGATTGCTTGTTTGGATATTAATTTACAAAAAGCTAGAATGGCAATGGGTGTTCAAATAAATATTGATGATCCTGATCAATTAGAAGAAATTAGAAAAAGAGAATATGGAATTATAATTGAAAAAATCCAAAAAATCTTACAAGCTGGTGCTAATGTGATTTTAACAACTAAAGGTATTGATGATTTATGTTTAAAAGAATTTGTTGAAAATAATTGTATGGCAGTTAGACGTTGTAAAAAGGAAGATTTAAGAAGAATTGCTAGAGCAACTGGTGCCACATTAATTTCTTCATTATCTAATTTAGAAGGTGAAGAAACTTTTGAAACTTCGTATTTGGGTTATGCTGATGAAGTTGTACAAACTAGAATCAGTGATGATGAATGTATTTTAATTAAAGGAACTAAACAACATTCATCTAGTTCTATAATATTACGTGGTCCTAATGATTATTCCTTGGATGAAATGGAAAGATCAATTCATGATTCTCTTTCAGTTGTTAAACGTACTTTAGAGAGTGGAAATGTTGTTCCTGGTGGAGGTGCAGTTGAAACTGCATTAAATATCTATTTAGAAAATTTCGCCACTACTGTTGGATCTCGTGAACAATTAGCAATTGCAGAATTTGCTAATGCATTATTAGTAATTCCAAAAACTTTAGCTATGAATGCTGCCAAAGATGCTTCTGATTTAGTTTCAAAATTAAGAACTTATCATGCTGCTTCACAATTAGCAAAAGCTGATGATGAAAAACGTAAGAAATATAAGAATTATGGATTGGATTTAATTCAAGGAAAAGTTGTTAATATGGCTACAAATGGTGTTTTGGAACCTACTGTATCTAAAATCAAATCTTTGAAATCGGCATTAGAAGCTTGTGTTTCTATTTTAAGAATTGATACTATTATTGAAGTCAATCCTGAACCTCCAAAGGAAGATCCTCATGACCATTAGAGATGTTTTTAGATATTAGTGTGTATAGTAATAAAATGATAATAGATTCTCTTGGTAAGGTATCTTGCATAATTCTTCCTTTCGCGTTTGTGATCACAAAGACTATTGAATTGTGATATGAAACAATATCCAACTCAATTAGCAGATGTTTCTAAATATAGAATCATTAAGTGAGAAAATTGTTGCAAAATTACAACATACATTCTCTTCTGCCGCGCGACGGTTGCAATGAGTTAGTTAAAGCACAATCAAATTATTATTCTTATTATTATTATAAAAAGTGTGTCTATTAAAATCTAAATCTAACTATATGTAAAATAAAAGTCCCCTGAAACCAAAACCCTGTAAACTCTAAAACAAAAACCGAAAATTGTTTAAAGTGAAAATAAAAAAGTAATCATCAAATAATCAATCAAAGAAGAATTGAAATAAAAAATAAAAGTAAAAAGTCGTTAATAAAAAATGTTAAACAAGTAGTCTTGATAAGTTTCTTGATGAAGGGAGGCTCTTTTTCAGTATTGGGTCATTTAATGTATTAATAGATCTATTGGCCAATGGCTTTCGTATTTCATGACCAGAAGCAGTAGCAGCACTACTCTCATGCGTAGAAACACCGTCGTCAATAGACATGGTTGATATTGAATGAGATAATGATAAATTGGAAGCAACAGAATAACTGGATTGAACAGATCTTGAAGATTTGATTGAATAATTGGATTTGGATTGTGAAATACGATAATAATTCAGCTTTTGAATTGATTCTAATTCTTGTTTTCTGATTAATTGGTTCTTAATTGAAACTAAGAATGGTTGTAAAGCAATTATCAATTCTTGTTCTTTAATATTAACACTCCAATTTAATAAAGCAAGCAATTCCTTCTCAGCCAAGTTTACTTCTTGTAGAGATAATAAACCATCAGTATATTTAGTCCAATGTTTATTTAATGGAGAACTATCATTTAATGATTTAGCAGCAATGATTAAAGCAGATAAAAATATACGATGTCTAGTAGTTTCCATACCTACAGCATTAGCAGGCAATAAGTTTCTTAACTTATTTAAATATACTAAAGTAGCCATAAGTGTTGGTGTTTGAACATTTGAATAACGAATCAAATTCTTAATGAAATCAGTTAATGATATAGTAGGTACAATTGGTGAAACATATTGATTATTTATAAGATACTTTTCTGATGGTTTAATTTGTGGTTTAACTTGAATTATTGAATTAGTGGTAGCAACTAAGAAGTTGACCATATCTTGATTGACAGGTTGTCTAGTGAATATACTTAATGCTTCTCTGTCTGACATTATATTTGTGTGATATTGACGTTTAGAGTGAGAATTGGGGGTGGAAAGGTTGTTGGATAGTTAAAAGTAAAAAGTGGTTTGGGTAACTAAGAAGAAAGGTAACTTTATAGTCAAAATAAGAGAATTCATTCCATTATATATCTGTATATATATATAGTTACTTTTAGAATATTGAAATATCAAGAAGTTTTACTTGCTTGTTTGTTTGTTTTGGTTATTTGTGTTTTGGTTTTGTCGAAGGGATGAAAAATTGAAAGAAAACAATGAAACACATCGCATGAGAATTATATTTTGTACGCGATACGCGTCAAATAAATTTCATTCCCTTTCTCACAGGGGGGATTTTGTGAACCATATTTGTTTCACAAAACTCCTTTTGGATGCATTAAGATCTAGATTCGAGATGAGGATGTAAACAACATGATACATATGTAGTGCACTTCCTGGTTTGTTTCTCGAGAGTATTACTATCATTGTACATAATCATAGCATATTCGATCGAGGCCCCTGTTCTGCTTCGATCTAAAGTTTTGACGCGTGAAAAAAAAAAAGATTCCCACCAAGCTAAGAAATTTAACCCGTTTAAGTTAAATGAGACGCCAAAACTAAAAAAACAATAAAGTTTGACAAAAGACTCATTATAATTCCGAGTTGAGATAATAATTGCCATTTTTTCCGGGGTAACCCAATGTAAATATGAGTAGAATGTTTACCCAGGGGTTCAAAGTAATTGGCAACAGCAATCTTAAGTTTTAGATCTTTACAGTGATTTTTTTCCATTTTGGGAAGCATTATTAGTATTGTCAACGGTTGGCCCTTTGACTAAATTGATAATATAGTCACGCTATTAATGAGACTGGGGCAATACCTAGTTCGCTTGGCTTTTGTCTAAAATACCTATTGGAAGGGTTGTTTCCCTTGTTGGACTGGTGCACTAGTGTGAGCTGAACCATTATCAAATTGAATAACGCGTTTTCTTCTTGTCCTATATTTACTAAAATGTCTAAAAGTATTGTTCTTGAATGGATAAAATTTGAGAATACCGTTTTCAAACTAAAGCTTTCGCTTAATGGTACGAATCAAGAATTTTCAATTAAACTGTATCGGGTTATATCTGTATCTTGTCTTATTTTGTAGCTTGTTGCGACATTTTTTGCAGCCTTCAGTCAAAAAAAGTGTAATTAAAACATAACAAGTTCATTTGCCGCAACTACAATAGTGCGGTTTATTATTTATGCAAGTTACTGAGTTGAGGTATACATTATATGTGTATGATATGCGTATGGTTATGCATGTAACAAATATCGGATCGGCTGTAGTTTTGTGTGCTATTGTGTAAAACCGGTTATAGTTATTTTTAATTATTGATGATGGAGCTTAACGTTCTTGCAACAAAGCGGCTGTATAGTTTCGAATCTGTACTATTTTAATAAACAATGATAATTTACTCATTCGTGAGTCTAGTCACTTATAATGATAAATGTAATATAATATTAAATATAAAATATAAATAGTTGATTAGTTCCTACTTCTAAAAGAATATCTAAAGAGCAAAGAAGTATGGAATATAATGTTATTTATGTATCATTCTTGAATAGATTTCTTCATAGAATATTATGCAAATCTTTTGTAAATTGGAATTCAGTTCACGTGATAAAATCATAATCGTTTATTGTTGGAAAAAAAAACTATATCAAAACTACGGATATTTGGTCATTTCAGAGGCGCATCCGCCATCCGTCAACTTTTGGATATTTTAGACAACAAGAAAGCTCTCAAAACTAAGGATACTTGGTCTTTTCAGACGCGTATCGGCCATCCGTCAACTTTTGTTCACCAGAATGGCATTTTTTTACATGTTTTACCAATCTCAATGTAGTTTTTTCGGGGACAGTTGACCCTTACTTGTTTCAGACAGGGGAGCAACTATCCAAATCATTCAAACAAATGATAGCTCGTCTAAGTGATATATCTAGAATGGTTAACAATTGCTTGTATTCGTTGCTATCACTACTTTTCTATATATACATCAATAATGTGTGTTGTCCGTTTTTCTTCCCTCAGTTTGTTTGTTGTCTCCTTCTATTTAGAGAGCGATACCCGCCTTCGTTGCCGACAAACCATTGATTTACTTTTATTTCAACATCTTTGATATACATGAGTTGAAATCATAAAGTAGTATTGAAAGTGGCATTGGAATTGTACTTTGTAGGAGTGATTGAATAAAATGGGGGGGGGGCTTGTGCGGAACGCGCATTTTGATAGTTACCAAGGACACCAAACATTCATGGCTAGAGTTGCCATTTGTATGGCCATTTTTATAAGGAAAGATGGGTTAGCTGCATGGAATCCTTCATCGACGTTTGGTCGTCACTCTCGATACTCATTCAGCCCACCATTTTTTCCATATATAAGTCAACTTGCACAGCTCACACTTTTGCTTATCACACCACCAATTTTAGTTGTATCGCCGATCTAATTACATGAACACGTGACCACATCCATGAGCTACAATCTAATACTGATTTGAGCTTCATAAGCTAAACCATGGCGCGTTAAAGAGTAAAAATCTTATATGTAGGGTTGGCGAATTGTGACGGGTGGAGTGGAGATTTTCAATTTTGTAAGAGGCAAAAGTTGTTACAATTGATTCTCGGCATTGAAAAGAGCTCAACATGCCAAATTGCTGAAAAGGATGACTGAGTCTTGTTAGACCCCTCTTTCCACAAAATAAAGTCATGTACATGGTATGATGGTAGTCAACCACCTTGCACCTATGACACTCCCTTAACCCCCAAGCCAAATCAGAGAAATATCACGTGTCATCAGACATCGGTATTTGCAATGATCGACCAGGTATTAACCAACACTTAGAGGGCTTTGGCTTTGAAAGTGGCCCTTTGGCTTTGAAAGTGGCCACCCTTCCAAGCTTCCTGCTAGCTCTCTGCCTTTTGTTAGCATGATCACCAAGTACCCGTTCTACCTCAGAAGAATGAATGGTCATATAGTTGATTGTGGACTAGTTGTGTCATCAGAACATCTTCAACAAATCAGGACATCATCGACAAATCAGAACATCTTCAACAAATCAGAACACCTTCAACAAATCAGAATATCTTCAACAAAATTCCAACAATCTCCTATAGAACTTGAGTGTAAATATATGTACTCCATTGTCTTGTCTTTGATTGATATGTGAATGATTGCAGAAACTTTGGGCCACCCATTGAAGTCCCCCAAATGACCAATATAGATTAAATCAAGCCATCTTCCCTAAAATCAGATAAAAGCAATCCGTCACACAAACTAACCGCTGACCAGACGACTAATTCGGCATGAAAGGATTAAACTGATCCAGAGAATCAAGCCCAACTCTCTCCAATTTGTATCATCCCCAGATGACCAATCTAGATTAAATCAAACATTCATCCCTAAAATCAGACAATGAAAATCCATCACATGAATTACCCGCTAGCTAGTCGGGTATTTCAGTATAAAAGAATTTAACTAATCCAGCCAATCGGGCCCAACTCTCTCCAAATTGAATCATCCCTGATTCCACATCTCAATGATGTTTTCCAAAGTGATCTGTTATCTTCTGTAGTTGATTCTATGAATATGATGAATGATGAATATACTTGAAAGTAAAGAAGAGAAGAAAAGGATTGAATTTACATTCTTATTTTGCAACACAAATTTTCTTAGTATTTTCTGGAACAACTGCGGGATCATATAAAAAACTTGAGTCTCTTTTGTTAAGTTCTAAGAGACAAGAGACTGTAAGAATTAATTACAACAATCAAAGGTACATTTCAACCGATTTCAGTGTTCAGAAAGAGTTTTTTACTGCAAATTTCATAACTCTGGAGTAAAGTTGCGTCAAAGTGAAGGGCTAGAACTCAGCGTATGATTAATAGGACTTCGTTTTAGTAACAATGGAGCTTTCGTAATTCCGTTGAAAAGTTTTCTTATATAAGGTGATCGACGAAATGAGAAAAGCTCTATTGACAACAAGACAAGGTCCTAACTCTTCCCAATCTCAAACAGTAATAGCAAGTAATTGTACAATCAAATTGACCTATATATTAAACAATTAAACAATAAACATATCTATTAAGCTTGCATTTACTTAATAAGCATTATCAGGATAGAAGAAGAATGCCAATGCAGCTATCAAGTAAGTACTTACTAGCATCGTACCTTCCAACCAATTGCTCTCACCATCCAAGATGACCAAGTTAGTGATAAAGACACTAACAAATAAAACTGCAGTTTCAAAAGTTGAGAAATATAATGACATATTAACATCAAAAGCCCAACCAATTAAAACCATGAATGGAGTAACAAAAATGGCAATTTGTAAAGAGGATCCTACAGCAACACCAATTGCAAGATCCATTTTATCTTTCATAGCAACAATAACTGCAGTTACATGTTCGGCTGCATTACCTACAATAGGAATGACAATTAAACCGATGAATGTATGAGATAATCCCGTTTTTTCGACAATTTCATCAATTGAACCAACAAGAATATCAGCACAGATAGAAACGAAAACGGTTGAGAATAATAAAACAACAATTGCGGCAGTTATTGTTAAATGTGATTCATGAATATGATTATCTTTAATACTTATATGAGGAGACCTAATTGGACTTAAGTTGTTTTCTTCCGCTGCTCTGATTTCGTCATCTTCTACGTCGCTGTTGGTTTCTTCAAATAATGCCTTGTGAGTCTTTAATGAGAAAAGTAAATAAAATAAATAGACCACTAATAAAATTATTGACACACCTCTTGATAATGATAAAATCAATTTATCAGAACTACCCGGAGTCGGAGCAAACCCAGTATGTTTATCAGGATATGGTAAGGAAGCATGGAATGCAGCAGGAAGCAATAATGAGGCAGTGGCTAAAGCCATTAAACTTGACATGGTTTGAGCAACAGTTTGATTAAATGTTTGTTGAACTCTGGTAATACCACCGGCAATAAAACAACATCCTAAAACCAATAATAAGTTACTCAAAATACTACCCAACATAGATGCTTGGACGATACGGACTTGATTATCCTTCAAGGCAATGATTGAAACAATTAATTCAACTGCATTACCAAAAGTAGCATTTAATAATCCACCAACTGTTTGGCCAACGAAATCACTAATTTCTTCAGTTGCATAAGCTAAAATCAGCGCTAATGGGATAATTGCTAAAAAGTTGATCCAAAATCTTGCATTGGCACTCCATCCTAATTGACCAGCTATAATACCAAGTGGAACAAATATTAATAAATAATTGACAATTGATGATTTCAAAGTTAATCTGGTTGGTTCATAAATAGCATAATAATATTGTTTCCATTTTGATTCATTGGAAGTCGTAGGACTATCTAAAGTACGTCCACTTCCAAGCAAAGGAAGACTGTCACTCATTTGATCTTGATGTCGTTGTTGTTCTTACTGTTGTTAATTGAAGTTAAAGAAAACAATTCTTGGTTGTGTGGAAAATGAAAGAGAAAAAAACCCTTAACGAAAGAAAAATTGATGATAAAGTACAAATGTAAGGGGAGCAGTAAAGTAATTATCAACTGAAAATAAAAATATCAAAAAATATTATTATGCACAGTCACCCAATTCTAATGATCTTCCCCACCACCCAATGATCTACAGTCCAAGAATAACAACTATGGATGGAAGACAACTGGCTAGGTATAATACGCTAGGTTAAGCGTTTACGTGTTATTTGATCTTTCCACTAGTTTGCAATAAGATTTTATCAAAATGGATTTTGAGACAGATGTGTCTAAAGAAATGTAGAGTTGGCAACTTTTTCTGTGCCGCGTATTCAAGACTTTTATTGTTCTAGACTTTTGTTTAGAAGAATTTCTGCTAGCAAGTGATCCTCAAACATAATTCATTCATGAAGCTCTGTTGGTAGATTTCTTGATAATAGTCATATATCTTATAAAAGCCACTGGGCTTTAGTAGTATTTTTAGGTTATTTAGTTTGTGAGTCTGAGATCTTTACAAATCTTAAAAAGCCTCTGTCTTAAAAAAAAGCGATGTCTGGGCTGTTAATAAAAATCCAAAGATAATCAAAGTGGCTTATATTTCTCAAAAAAATTAATTCGTCAGGTTTTGTGCCTGATAAATAACTTGAACATTACAATTTCGTACACTATTACAGAACGACGTATACACGTTATAATATTCTATATTTATATATTTTTATATTTATATTAAGGGCTTGAAATCTCTAAGAATTTTTAAACTAATTCATTCCATAAGTAAGGTGTGAAAATAACAATTGCAGTGAATAAAACTTCAAAAGCTTCAAATAAAGCCAATGGGAATCCCAATGGACCACGATTAATAAAATTGAGATAGATTGAGTAAAAAGCAACACTAAAGAAATGATTGAATAATAACATTGGGAATGGTAACATACCACTTAATAATCCAATTGGTCCACTAACACATGATCCACCACGTTGGAAATATCTAAAACATCCTAATTGTAAAATCTTAAGAGAATGTTTATCAGCTGCAAATAATGAATATAAAGCAATTGATAAAGTATTAATAACTGCATCTAAATTCTTTCTCTTTCTATGGAATTTATTCAATCTTTTTGAAATTAATTGATGATCTCCTAAATCTTCAACAAATCTTGGATGTAATAATTTAGCTAATAATACACTGTCATTCAATCCCACAGTCATACCACCCCCAGTTAATGGATGTCTCATATTCAATGAATCTCCCAATAAGATAAACCCTTGATGATCAGCTTTACCTTGTTTCATAGCGGAAAGATATTGATTTGGCATTATTCTGAACTTCTTACTTTCAAGAGCTTCTTTAAACGATGGTAAAGTTTCTTTAGGTACCACTGGTAAGACATATTTTGCTAAATAATCATAAACTTCATTCTTGGCAGCAGAAGGTGCCTTCAATGATCTATAGGCACATAACATTCTAGTCTCTCCTGGAGAAATTTGATACATTAAAACTGGTGCATGATCACCTAATAAGACATGTCCCTTATTATTAGCTGGTAATTTGGCATTCTTCAAATGTAATCCAACAAAATAAGATCCAATTGTAGGAACATTAGCAGGACTTAGTTCTTTTCTAAATTTAGAATAGATACCATCACAACATATGGTTAATTTTGCACTATATTCAAAAGTTTCATCTCCTTGTTTTGCCTTAACCCCAGTTACAATACTTTGATCTTCAGGATCACGAAGAATCTTAGTAACAGTAGCTTCAACCCAGTCAATATTTGGTTCGTCTCTACATATCTTTCTTAAATTCATAAGAAAGTCACCATGATGGAAACCAACACCTCTAACATGTTCATCTTCATCCCAAACACGGGTATCAATCGTAGAATCAGGAAGTAACTTATCATTCTTTTCATCAACAACATCCCAAATAGGTACTACTGGATTAGTGGTATTTGCAGTTTCTTTCAAAGGATATTCAATTACTACTTCTTCATCATAATATTTGATAAAATAACCAGTACAATCAATTGCTTCAATATTATTTATAGCTTGAACCATACCTAATTCTTTAAGTGCCTTAACGCCACCTGGTTGCATTAATTCACCAACGATTCTATCTGGCTTTGACCAATCTCTTTCTAGAATCAATACTTTTCTACCTTGTCTGGCTAATGCGGTAGCAATAGTTGGACCAACTACACCTGCTCCGACTACTATAACGTCGTATTGTTTCATGATTTCTTTATAGGTGAATATGTATGTACTGTGGGGGATAATCTATTCGAATTCTATAAAATTTCTTTGTCTTTAAGAAATATGGGTATTTACAGTCAATATTTATAATTTGAAAAATCCAGAAAGAAAAATGACACCACCTGTTGATATTACCGTATATTTTTTTTTTCTTTTCCCTGTGAAATTTTTCTTTGTCTTAATTTCTTTTTTTAGTGCTAAACGACCAGCAACGGTTTTTTCACGTTACAGTATCAGAAAAAAAAAATAGATCGTTCTAAACGACGTACTACATCGTACTACTACCACGCCTGCACTAAAATTTAGCGTTTTTTTTTCTATCAAATGAATTAACGCGTTTTAATCAGCTGGTTATGAACGTCGTATAATTTATGTATTTCAGTATCACTTCACCTAACTTGTCGTATAACATTCCAAATATACTTCAACACGTTCTAAAAGTTTGCCATGAAACATAGAAATCATTCTGGTCGTCTCATCGTGATTCAGTTTACATGTGATTACTTCCGATTGCTGCAAAATAGAATACTCATAATTAGGTTGACGCATCTAATTTATGCAAACAATATTATACATTCTTTTCTATAAACCTATAGATATTACTGTCTTCTATCTATTCCTCGTCACTCTCCTCTTCACTTTCTTCTTCATCTGCCTCTTGTAACCAAGTAACAAACTTAGATGTTAACTGTCTAACTTCAGTTTCACCACTTGTCTTATTCCACCACTCCAAAATATTTTCTTCTTCAAGAATATCTAAATCATAGAGTGTTTTAACTGCAAGGAATAGAACAATCTTACCATGTGGTTTACCAGCTGTAGTAATCTTATCCTCGAAAATTTCCAACAAGTCAACTTGTTCTTCAGGTGAAAATACTTGTCTCTTAAACATTGGTCCCCAATGAGTGAAAATCTTAGTGGCAGCTTCTTGAGGACTTAAAGTATCAGTAGATACAAAATCTTCAATCTTATTTAATAATGCTTCTGAAGTAACAGTTCTAACTTCATGATATGTAACATTCATAGACATTCTCAAAGTATTCAATTCTAATAATGCAGTATCAATATCATGGTTATTTTCAATTGCACGACTAACAGTAGCCACCCCTTCTTTTGAAAAATCTTCCTCTTCTTCTCCAGAAATGAATCCACCTTCAGACATCATAGAATTAGATGAGAATCTTCTATTTCTTGAATGAGTACGTCTCTTGGTTCTCTTGTTTGTTATCGAGGCAATAGACTCATCTGAAACATTAAGTGATTTCATTTGATAAATTATACCAGAATATTGTTCGCTACTAATTGCACTAACTGATTCGTCATCATATTCCTCATCTTCATTCTCAGAGGTATACAAGAACCCTTTCCCTTCTTCACCAACCAAATCAATATCCTTCACTTGCAATTGTGGAACTCCAGCACCATAATGATCTTCTTCGCCTTCACTTTCGTCACTAAATTCATCAAAATCTCCACCATATTTTGTAATTGGGGTTTCAACAATCTTCACATTATTTCCAATATGTTTATCGTCAGCAATAACAACATTGAACCCAATAACAGAACCTGCACTCAAAGTAACATTTGCGCCAATTTCAGCATTTGCCGCTACGATTGTATGATTAAGTACAGAATTGTCTTTAATAACTGCCTCGTCCCAAATATAGGAATTTTCAATTGTGACATTATTTCCAATCTTGCAATTTCTTCCTATAACGGATTTCTTAATACAAGTTCCTTCACCAACGGTAGTATTTGAACCTATTGAAGTTGAAGTACCGATCTTACATGACTGTGCCAATATTACTTTATCTTCTTTATAAATATTATTAAACTCATAAGAATATGAATTGTCTTCAACAAGATTCGAATCTGGTACTAATGGATAACACCATCTTGCTAAAATGTCTTGAGAAACAGCGTCATAAGTTCCCCAACTTTCAACTCTGGCAGCATATTCAGATCTATCTTCAGAAATGTACGCATAGATTGTTTTCTTGACTAAATCAGAAGTCAATACCCCTCTAAGGAAATCACTTCTTAAATATTGATAATCGAAATTTTCTTGAAAGATCTGAGGAACATGAGGAGAACAGATATCAACCCTACAATCAATCAAATCATTTCTAATGACAAACTCATCTTCAATATCTTCTAATAACTCTGGATCAATATTGACACTGGTTTTTTTCCCATCAACTGGTGGTATACTTTGATAATATAAACATCTATCGGTTTTCTTATCCAAAATAAATGTAGATGGTTTTATATATGATCTGGTTCTATGTAATGGAGATGCTTGATTTAACACCATGGTAACTATATGATCTTTATCTTGTGCCTTTTTGGATTTATGAAATGCCAACACTTTATTAAAATCAACATTAGTAACAACATCACCTGAAACTAAAAGAAAATCCCCAGAAATCAAACCACGATTATCCAAATCTCTCATCGCATCACCTACAGATCTTGATTCTAATGACATGATAGTAGCTATTTGAAATGGAGAATTCTTATCATTATTACTCCATTTAGAATTCTCAATATAGGCTTGTACTTGTTCAGCATGAGCAGAACACATAAGATAAACCTCATTAACACCAGCTTTTGCTAAGAATTCTAAAGTATATTCAATTAATGGCACATTTGCTAAAGGCAATAAACATCTGGGTTTTACTCCTGTTAATGGCATGAATCTGGTTTCAAATGAATCAGTTAACACAATGGCTTGAAAACGATCATCTTTCACAACTTCTTTTGATTTCTTGATTTTGGAAGCCGATTGAGTGGGCTTGCCTTTGTTTGCTTTAGGTGGCATTCTATTTATTTGAAGCTTTATAGAGATGAGTTTGATTGTTTAAAAGAGTAGTATTTTTCCAGTTTAATTAAATGTGTAATAGTAAACGTTTGAAAAAATTTTAGTGGCATCAACAGTCACGTGATTTTCTTTAAAAGCTCCATTCTTCGGTATAATTCTACATCTTTGAATAGTTTGGACGAAGTGATTATAGAAAGAATATAGATGATAAATATTGATAAGGGATTTGTAAGGTTTTAGTTCATAATTGTGGGTATTATTCCGCGGGCCAGCTCCCTTCATCTTGTGTTGATATTTTAATTATTTACTTGCCTCCATGTTTCTTCAATTTTGTCCTAGAGGGGACATTTATTCTAATAACATCTTCATTCAAGAAGTGAAAGCTTCTAGATAAATATGATTGATATAAGGCATTTGAAGTAAGTGACTTATAGCTAGTTTTAGATAAGAACAATTACAAAGTATAGAACTGACAGAATATTAAAACAAAAATAGATTCATAACATTATCTAAAGAACTATAAAATAAACGAAACAAAAACTGCACTAGTTCTCCTTAACGCGGAAAAACCATGCATTCTACCCTATTCCCTCTTGGAAAGGACCTTCATCAGTAAGCTCACTCTTTTAAGCTAATGGTTCAAACCAACCATATCTAGTCCAACGGAACCCGAATGGTCTAGCATCAGCATCAGCAGATCTTTTGGAAAGATACTCGTCAGCTTGTTCACCTCTCTTAGCTAAAGGTTCAAACCAACCATATCTAGTCCAACGGAATCCAAATGGTCTAGCTTCAGCATCAGCAGACCTTTTGGCAAGAGAATCTTCATCGTCTTCACCTCTCTTAGCCAATGGTTCAAACCAACCATATCTGGTCCAACGGAAACCGAATGGTCTAGCGTCAGCGTCTCTCTTGGCAAGATCATTGTTTGCCAATTGCAAAGCGGTTCCATTAACGACAAGGATAGCATTTTGGTCACCATGTTTGGCAAGCATTGGGTATTCATTGTCATAGAGTGGAACTACCATGCCAATGGCTTCTTGTGGGATATAAACTTCTTCTTGTTCTTGTTCTTGTTCAGAACAGACAACTGTGGAAGCAAGTGCAGCTGCAAGAATAGCTAAAGAAAATTTCATTTTAATTGAATATTTGGGTTGTTTTGGGGTGGTGATGTGGGAAAAGAAAAGTAAGAAGGACTTCCATCTCTAGTGGATATTTCTCTCCTTTAATAGTTGTCTAGAAAGGTAGTGGTGAGGATATGTCTGTCATGCTTTTTTTTGGATTTGTTTGGATGTGGTCCCTTTTGCATCCAAAAAAGGTAGTGGTGAGGATATGTCTCTCATGTTTTTTTTGGATTTGTTTGATTCTGGTCCCTTTTGCAGCCAAAAAAGGTATTTTTGAGTTATTTTTTAACACGCAAATATTTTTTATACCAAGACATCATACCAAACTTGAAATTAAATATGCAGCTATGTAACTCTCATCTAGATATATTTCAAACATAAGAGCATGTTTGCTTGGCAATCTAGAAAGCACGTTATTTTGTCCTGACTTGTTTCAAAATTTGGATCAACCTCCTAACGGCCCACTAAAGGCCCACATAGAAAAAGTGTGTTCCAAACGAGAAAATGCCTCGATAACACTTTTAGCAACGTGTGATGTTTCAGCAGCCAGATTCATTTAGGTCACAAGCATTGACTCTATGTCCCCTTTTCATTCTACATTTGACACAATTTTATTTAGTCGCAATGGTTGAATGATTTAAAAAATGTGTTTACTTGAATACATGTAGCTATTCATACGAAACCTATTTTGGAAAGGATTAATTGAAGTCAAACAGCTTCTAGAGTCCACCGAAAAAGCAATGAGAAGTCACTTATTTCATAATGGAACTAGCGTTACATTTTGTGCTGCGACTTGGTTTAACAACCTTCCCATTTGCAGCCAAATCAGGAAATAAATTGAAAATTGGAGTTGTCCCTGAATAGATACAATATAACACTTTCATTTATCAAGTTCGGCGACATCATATGTCAGAATGTCATAAATTGCTCCTATTGGCTGTTGACCCAAAGAGCCTACCAACAATTGTCTGGGCAGAGCGGACAGTACAGGAGAGTTGTAAAGTTGCATTTAAGTGTCTGCACGGAGATGACTAAGTTTGGATGTCCCTCTATCACATTCATCAATATTTCGAAACGTGTTGTATGAGGCTTGCCTTAAAATAAGAATTGAAAATGGCACCTTGCAAAGCATGGGTATTAATTTCCATACTTCACTTAATTGGAATGGATTGATCAAATATAACGAAATTTTATTAACAGTCTATCTACAAGAATTGAAGCTATGAAGTTTAATCCTGCTTGGCAGTAACGGTAGTAGCAGCGGCAGCGGCAGCGGCGGCAGCCTTCTCGGCTTCTTTTTTCAATCTGAATTCTTCGAGGGCTCTCTTGTCTGCTTCTTCTTGTTGCAAAAGAACTTTTTTCCATTCAGGCATTGGGGCAGGTTGGGATTTCTTGATTTCTGCATCTCTCATTGATAACACAATGGTACCAAGTAACAAGATAATTGTAATACCTTGTGCGTACATTCTAGCTTGAACAGCCTTTTGCGCAGTGGTCATGATTTTGTCTTTGTTAACCAATACCCATGATCCATACAAGGAAGCAGCCCAAGCACTGATAATGATAGGATATTTATTACTGTTTAATGAGGTGAAGATTTTATCACTCATAGACATGTTGTTCCATTGACGGAATTCTTCTAAAAGTTTGGCTTCTTGATATTCAGATTGGTGCATCATTTTATCAAATTCCCAAGATCCTTGATCAGCAAAGAATGCAGCTACACCTATAGTTGGCATGATCATAATGGCAGACTTAACAGAAGCATTCATTTTTTTGAATCTGAGTGGATGTCTGTGCTTCAAATACGAGAAAAGACCGAATGCCACTACACCACCATATGCAATACCTTTGGCACCTTCGGCCAAAACGTGAGATATATGTGCCTGTTTCTCTTCTTTTGTTAAAATTTTCATATTTGAAAGCTTTGCTATGGATGATCTATAACTGAAAAAGAACGAGGAAAAGAAGAAAGTTGAAAAGTTTAATTAGTAATCTTATTTTACTTTCAACGTTGATGATGTGGTTCCAGAAAATTTATTGAAATTCAACGGCTCATTTTTTTCATTGTTGCGGGATTTGAATATTTTTCAATTCCGAATATTACCCGAAGATGTATTCTTCATTGGTGTTTTCATTACCACTACGTGGGAACTTAGTATAGCAAGGAATCTATATTGAGAGACTTGGTATATAACTTGATTATATCAAAAGTTCAAATAGACGTGGTAAGGTACCTTGGTAGTATACGTGGTAAGTCACCCTGGCTAAGGCGTACCTATGAATTATTTTCAGGAACAAACGAGTTCTACGAGTTCTTCATTAGCTCAAAGGAATTGAAAATATGGTTTTCAATCAAAATTATAGAAGATAAAAATCAACTACTTTTTAAGATGTATTTATATAAATTGTCTTGTTGAATTCAAACCCCTATGAACATCGATCTCATAAACTCAGACAATAATTGGGAAATCTAAATTTGCGCATATTCTTCAAATCTGTACGTCATCAGATCATATTTTTTTTCCCACTCCAGAATCTAAACATCATTTAAATATGCGATTAACGGGTTTCTAAAATTTCGTATTAGGTCTCTTTATTATTATACATAATGAATCACGCACACACAGCAGCACATAATACTATGCACGAATCTTTAGGTCATACAATGGAGCATTCCATGCCAGGAATGGATGATGACATGTGCTCAATGAATGTATGTATCTTGATTTTGAAAGGATAAGTAGATGCTGGTATCGATATTAACACCTTAATAATAGATGATCTTCACTTGGGATTGGAAAAACACATGTGTTGTCTTCCGTTGGTGGCATATCAAAACATATTTTGGCTTCGTATTGTCTATGTTTGCGGTTGTCTTGTTGGGAATGGGATACGAATATGTCAGAGCATTCTTCGCAAATTGGGAAAGAGAACATGCATCAACGGTTGTTCAACCAGGTCAAGATAGAAGATTTAAGTTAAGACGTGGAATCTTATACGGTTTCCAAGTCTGGTACTCGTTTATGCTTATGCTAGTCTTCATGACCTACAATGGTTGGTTGATGATAGCAGTTGCTGTAGGTGCAGCAATTGGTAATTATATTTGGGGATCTTCTAGTCAGCAGGAGTCAGTCAGGATTATGGCTTGCCATTGAAAGTCAATGTTACGAGAAACGATTGTTAGTTTTAGGAAATTCATAACTTCTAAATAATGGAGTGTAGTTTTGTAGAAATAGATCAATTATGTGATACATTAACTCTTGATTGTTTAATAACATAGACTTTTCTCCCAAGATAGTGCTGGACCTCTGCCATCTTTCTTTTTATACTTTTCGCAGCTCTGATAAACATTTGTAAATTGATTCTCAAATCGTAGCAAATGCGTTTGATATCGGCCATTTCTTGTCGTGTTCAATACTCTTAAAATCAATTTGACAGTAGCAATCCCCTCTCCTTCTTAGGGGATTCGAGCCACGTTCAATCACAACCTTTAAAGCAATTAGTTATTAAAAGATTAAAGAAGAGTATAATTAATGTTTAAAGTGGTTTTCCCTACCAGGATATAAGCACACGCAAAATGGAAATAAATCTGATGGTTTGAAGTTGGTGCCGGAGAAATGTTTACAACCGATATCCCATCAATCGAAACGGTTTAAGAAGCTCCATGGGGACCTTCCTTGTCGGCCAGGTCGAATTTTCCCCCAAATAATCTATCAGAAGAACTGTCAATTGTGTTCGTTGAATCATCTACAAAAAAAAACAAACAATTGTTGCAAAAAATTTACGAATAATCCCCAAAAAAGTAAAAAATTATAAATCATCACAAGTAATTGGAATCTCTAGAGATAAAGACAAAAAAAGGGACTAGAAATATTCCTCACTTCCAAATCAAATACCAGACACACCTTGGTACGATTTATAAAAGAATTGGAAGAGATATGGGTGTTTATCTTTTGCTTGAGCTCAAAAATCACCAAAGTCGGAAGTCGGTCGGAAATAAAACTATACGAGCACATTTCTCCCCCAAAATATGAAGAAAGGATAAAATGACTTAATATATACTAACTTTTTGTAATTCTTCAGTTATTGGAAAAATTTAAAAGTGATTCTAAATAAATATAGATGATCAAATTGAAAGATCAATTAAGTCGGAATTGCCGTAAATTGTAAGAAAATATGGTATTATAACAAAGTGCATTCCCCCAAAATCCCACAAGGTGCTCCAGTGGCGCAGAGGTTAGCGCTTCGTGCTTATAGCCGTGTTACGACGATATGGTTATGCCATAAGTCACGGTCGTGTGAGGAACGCGACGGTCGTGGGTTCAAACCCCTCCTGGAGCATTTTGTTTTTTTTGCATGTTTCCACTATGCAAGATAAATATTTGAAGGATCAATTGTGTTATTCTATACAATCGCTCTCGGTCAAAGAAGTACCAGCTTTCAATCTTTAAAATAATGTGTATTTTTTGGTGTGGTTTCCATGTCTATCCAATCGTTATGCAACTTTTTTTTTCAGATTTTTCAGTCGGGCGAGCCAAAGCTCGCACGGTGCCAGGTCCCTTAGCAATTTGTCTTTTAATAAGCTTGTTTAATTCTCATAAAGGCGGTGAATTTTCAAAGTAGGAATTCAATGTACGTGTATGCTATCCAACAGTGCTGTTAGACAACCAATGCTACAAGTATCTGACCGTCCAACTACTAGCCACAAGCTGTTGCATTTATTATAAAGATCCTCCCACAACTCAAATATTTTAACACTCAATACAACAACTAGATCCCAATACATCTGGATATTTGGGTATTCCATTACGAGAACGTTCAGTAAGTTACAATCCTTGGAAACGAGGAATTAATGAATTACGTTATTTAACAGAATGTTTTGCAACATTTGGTTTAAATGGACATGCTATTATCCAATTAAATAATTCCCATGTTTTTATCTAAATTGTACTTTAGAGATTTTACATTCTCCTTTGGCTTATTCCGACTCAACATCCATTTATGAAAGTATAAGAAAGAAATCCCTCGTGTCAACGTGCCCTATTATACGGAACATTACTCGGTCTAATGACCGTCGGCGTCTGTCTTCTAAGGAAAGCATGCCATGGATAAAAAAATTGCAATAGCAAATGAGCAACCTGATTATAATATTCGGACCCTGAAGTCGGGCTCCAGAGTCATCCACCATGAATAGTTTGAATATTTCTTACCAGCACAAGAATTCGAATGAAGTTGAACGTTTGGGTATTCCATTACGAGAATGTTCAGTACATTACAATGCTTGCGGACGGAAAATTAATGAATTACGTTATTTAATAGAATGTTTTCCAATATTTGATTTAAATGGACATGCGATTATCCACTTAAGTCATTCCCATGTTGTTTTCTAAATTGTACTTTAGAGATTTACATTCTCCTTTGGCGAATTCCGACTCAACGTCAATTTATGAAAGAGTAGGAAAGAAACTTATCCCTCGTGTCAAACTTAAGAAGCTACAAACACCCAGAGCCTCGGGTAGTTTTGGTTTATTAAATATTCTGGACCAACTATTAGGTAGAAGAGCCAAAGAAATATTTGGACTATTCATGGCGGATGATACTAAAGCCATTGGCGACTTTCGTTTCAGATTACAAGAAATTTGTCAAACTTAAGCGTCCGGATACTACAATTCGAATGCTATTTCTCAATATCAGATTTTCTATCCGTGGCATGCCTTCCTTAGAAGAAGGGACAGTCGACCAAGTCATGTTCCGTATACTTGGGCACGTTGGCAAAGCAAAATGGTTAATGAATTTTCAAAACCTGAAAGTAAACGCTTGGTTATTATCACATCAACCGTAAACAATCCACCTCCCGTTGGATATCGTGCTTTGAATTTCGGACTGATTGAAAAATGCTTCACAAATCCACAGTCACAATATATTTCCAATTTGTCAGATCTCAAGAATGAACCATTATCCTCATTTTTTTTTCCATCAAACTTCTAAGAAACGTCGAGGGAAGGATCTGGATATTCCTAATTTATGGTTAAGAAATTGTTCAAGAAGTCCAGATGAATGGTTCAAATTTTGGAAAAATTCAATGATCAGAATAAGCATCCATTAGGATGTTTGTTATTCTATCATACTTTTGCAATAAGAAATTGTCAATGACCGTTATACACCGGCTCGGTGTTGTACAGAGGGACGTGTGCCTTTTGTGCTCGACCAGGTGGTATACGTTGTTACATCACATCTTTCATTGTCCTGAATCATTGCGTCGTGAGCGGCTGGATGGACTTCTGACGCCGTATATCTAATTTTATGGTATCAGAAGTGAGATATCCATTGATACATTTTATTTCACGACCGAACACACCTTTCCCCATCGTGAGATCAAATGTATCAATGTACATCTAAAGGTTGTCATTCAGAAAGTGGAACGACTATGCTGCTGACATTGGGTAGTGTTGAATCCTTTGTGCTTCACTTTCTTTTCACCCTTTACTATCCATAGATGTAGTTTAAAGCAGTTTAAATCTAAGTCCAAAATTTTAGTTTATAATATGTTCAAATATAGAACCGTTGGTTTTTTTAGGGAGTATACCTAATTTAGGAGTTCTCATGCGAGACGGAGTCTTTTAGGCATTAGCCTAGAAAAGGTTTTTTGAACCAATTAAAGTCTTAATTAGGTGCCACTCCGAACTTGGTCCAGGAGGCGTATATGTTTTTCTTATATAGAATTTCTTAGTTTTTATATAGGTTTAATATATGTGATTTTAAGAAAGAAAAAAGGTAGTATACGAGGTGAACTTCCACTTAGGTGACCTTCCACTTAGCAAATATGTTATTCTTTTATAATCAATTGTAACGAAAATCCTACACTCTAGTTAACTTTCGTTTATTTGGTTGCGAAATGACAAAATCTTGGAACCGCATCGCACTTCGCCAAAAAAAAAAATTTCAATTTTCATCTCATCTCTTTTGGTGATAAAGATCATCGTTATTAAATAGACAATCATGGCTGATAAGGTTAGATACTATCTTGAACAGTCCGTTCCAGAATTAGAAGACCTCAAGAAGAAAGGTCTTTTCGACAAGAATGAAATCACCATGATAATGAGAAGACGTACTGATTTTGAGCATCGTATTCAAGGTCGTGGAAGTAAACCAAGAGATTTCCTCAAATATGCCGAATTCGAATCAAATCTTGAAAAATTACGTAAGAAAAGATACAATAGATTGAATAAAGTTGGATTAGTTGATACTAAACCTAGTATCAGTGATTGGGCTGGAGTTCGTCGTATTATGTTTATTTTTGATCGTGCAACTAGAAGATATCCTGGAGAAACGGAATTATGGTCACATTATTTGAAGTTTGCTAAAAGCAATGGTGCAATTAAGGTGATCTATAAGGTATACTCTCGTTTATTGCAATTACAACCGAGAAATATTGATGCTTGGTTATCTGCTGCCAAGTATGAATTTGAAGTGAATGCAAATGCTAAAGGTGCCAGACTTTTATTTCAACGTGGTCTTAGATTAAATCCCGAATCATTAGAATTATGGTTAAGTTATGCTCAATTTGAGTTGACTTATATTTCCAAGTTATTGGCAAGAAGAAAAGTTTTGGGATTGCTTACTGAAAAGCAACAAAGAGATGAGCAAGAAAGTGAACAAGCTAAATTGGCTAAAGCAATTACTGAATCTGCTTTAGGTGACGGAGATGCTGAATTCAATAATGACAAGATTGAGTTACCAAGTACTGAGGAAATGAAAGATCAATTACATCATTTACCAGAAGCTGATATGAATATGTTAGGTAACCCAGAAACCAACCCTGCATTGAAAGGTGATGTCGCATTAACAATCTTTGATCTTTGTATTCCAAGTATTCTTAAGACTATTCCTAAGTATTCCACTGTTATCAAACCAGAAGACAAGGTCTTTGAGATTGTGGAAAGGTTTTTATCTATTATTGATAAGTTTGAAGATTTGAATAGAGATTACATGTACATGCATATATTAAACTATCTTCAAAGAGAATATTCAAGTGATTTAAGAACCTTACTAATTGATATCATCTTACCAATTAGAAATGTCACTGTTGTAAGTGAAAAGTTGGCAGAAGCATTACAATTATCAGTTAATAAATTTATGGCCTACAAGTTAAAATTAAAAGATTTATCAGATAAGGATACATTAACAAATATGTTTGTGAATCAACTTAACAACCAATTCTTGATCCATGAAAGTCATGAGCATCATTCTGAAAAGGTGGATGCTTTATTAAAGGCAATTATTAAAAAATGTCGTACTACCTAAGATATATAACATGTAACTATATAGCTTAATGTAAATTAGTCTCTTTTAGCAACAGCTTCATTATCCAAATGCAAATACTTGTTCTTTGTAAATTTGACACTGAGCCAATTGTAACTACCAACAATGACCACGACACCACTAACAATACATGCAAGTGCCACATAAAAGTAAAGCATAGTGTAACTTATAGGAATATAATTCATCGGTATTTTATAGAATCCATCAGTATATGGTAAACCATTCTCTTTAAATTCTGCAGCCTTTGAATTTGCAACAGATAAATGATCAAACCATCTAACAGCAAAATTCAAAGTTAATTCATCCCCAATTACAATTCTTGAAGTATTAGTACCTGATCCATAGGATATGGCACTAATAAACGTGTACTGATCTGGATCATTGTTGGATGGTTTGGTAATGAGGACATTCATGGAGTAGTCTATATCTAAATGAGCTTCATGAACCTCACCTCTGAACGCAAATGTAAATGGAATGAATGCACCTCCTTTTTCTATGGATAATGGTTCAGATGAAAGTGGAAGTCTACAACTGAAAGGGGCATCTTCATGAACGTATAATTGAAACAAATGATATAATTCATCAGTGAATTGAATAGTACAATTCACATCTTCATTAACTCCATATTTGAAACTTAATGGTTTTGATGTTTCTTTACATTTTGGGAATGGACCATATAATATACGTTCCTTTTCATCAAACTTGTGTTCACCATTATCAATATTTCTTTGAATACAATCAAACTGAAATTCTTGACCTTTTTGAAATGGTGTTATGTCAGTAGGAATCTCTTCTTTACTATTTAATGGATACCATTGTATAGCTTGTGTAAGGGAAGTTATAGATATCCCTAATACTATAGACGATAATAACTTCATTTTGGGAATTTGCTAGGAAAAGAGTAACACAAACTTAGAACGATCTGTGGTAAATCTGGGCCACCATATTTTTTTGGGTGGAAGGTGAACAGGTGAGATCAAACCAGAACAAAGAATAATAAGAATTGTTGCAACATCGCAGGGCACAACCGAACTACAGTACAAAGTGAGAGTCTCTCAATTACTCTAAAAGTTAAGACATTAAATAAATGCGTTTTATATTTATTTCCTATTTGTTAAGAGGGAATGGATGGAAGGTTGGTTGGTTGGTTTGTCGAAGAAAAAACTAAACTATACAAAACTTTATGAAAAATATTAACATTAAAATACACTTGGTTCCCAAAATATTATTATTATATGTAGTGATTTTTAAAAAATCATTAACAAAGTTTCAAATTTAGTTTCTCTTAGCAAAACGTCTTGGACCTCTTTGATCAGAGATAGAGACGGTTTGTAATGGGATCTTGAAACCTAAGGTCTTGACTAAGTCAGCGGTTTCAGAGTCAACTTCTAATTGACCGTTGGTGTGGGATAAGTCTAAAGCGGAAACTTCTGGAACGTATTGATCCTTTCTTTCTCTTTCTTCTTCTTGTAACTTGAAGGAAATACCTCTAACTGGACCCTTTTGAATTCTCTTCATCAAGTGGGTGGTGTAACCAGCAATCTTGTTTCTTAATCTCTTGGATTGGATAACAGCGATTTCAGAAGTTAATCTCTTGTTGGTTTCGAAATCTAAAGTTAACTTTGGGTAGAATCTTTCAATCAAGACTTTGGAAGCTCTCTTAACGGTTTTAGTTCTAACACGACCCTAGATTAATAAATGTTAGTATTATGTCATTCTTCATAATTATATTCTAATTGAATCCCTGATTTATATCTGATTTATATTTGAATGTGATCATGATGGTTCTCTGTATAACGTTTCATTTGAAGGTATATTTCGAAGTAGTAGATATCGACTTTGACTTGTATCTTGCATTTCGATTGTGATTAAAACATGTCTAATTAGCTTAGGTAGATATAGTTGGCTTTCATTTGATATTCCTGTAATTAGTTGAATATAGAATATTTTCAGTATATGTCTTTTCTATTCCCTGCTTAAAAGTCTTTCATTAATCAATCTCTTTCGTAGTTTGAAGGTCCAACAATTCAATAACATTGCTCGGTAGTTGTAATAGTGATGGTTGTATTAAATGATTCATCAGATGGGGATTCAATGTGTAAGGGTATATCTATGGTACATACCATCTTTGCTGATTAGTTATATGTATACGGTGAAAGTAGGAAAAGTAATTAGGTAAATTTTCAATATGAATTTTTTTTTCTCTAAGTCAGTTTCCTCTCACTAACAATTTCTTACCCACCCATACATTAAACTTTCAGTATGAAAATTTTTTGGTTTGGTTTCTTTGATTTTTCTCACACAAAACAAAATTGACAGTACCATTGATTATGTAATCACGTTAATTAAGATTATATAATCAATGTTTAGGGATGGTGCGTGTAGATGTCGAAAAAAAGATTGTATTTTCTGAATTTGAAATGATTCATTGTATACAGGAAAATATCACGTGATTATGTGACTGCTTTTTTCGGTCATGTGACGACTGGTCATGTGATCCATGTTTTGAGTTCATTTCCACGACCCCTCTGTTTATTTTTAAATTGTTCAAAAACATGACAATTCAAATAACCGAAAAATGTATGGGTAAATCACTTATCTCCATTAAGATTTACGTTTAAAAGAGCATATCAACTGTCATTAGATCCATTTTAATTGGCTTAGTTGATTCATACTACTGTACATTATTACCATATTTCACTTCATTTTGATTGATTGATTAATAGATTTGATTGATTACATCATTTTTGGATTCTTGCATTATTAAATTCCATTTTATAGTTTATTATTATTAATTATTATTTTTTTTTTTTGAGTTTCCGTTTTGATTGCAAAAAAGTTATATTTATTATCATAGAACATGGATAAAGGAAAACTATATCATTGTGATGTCTGCAGTACAGATTGTACAAATCGAATACGTATCCAATGTGCAATTTGTACAGATTATGACTTGTGTGTTCCCTGCTTTGCTGCCGGTTTAACCACTGGTGATCATAAACCTTGGCATGATTATCAAATAATTGAACAAAATACCTATCCTATCTTTGAAAGGGATTGGGGAGCCGATGAGGAATTGTTATTGATTCAAGGATGTGAAACATTTGGATTAGGTAATTGGGCTGATATTGCTGATCATATAGGTAATCGATCTAAAGATGAAGTAAAGAAACATTATTATGAAATTTATTTAGAAAGTAAGGATTATCCATTACCTGATATGAATAAAGATTTTTGGGATGTTACTCCTATTCAATTTTTAGAGGAAAGAAAGAAGAGACTAGAATATAGAAAGAATATGCCATTACCGCCACCCAAGGGTAAGCCCGTGGCATCAGTTCCATTATGTCATGAAATTCAAGGTTATATGCCTGGTAGATTAGAGTTTGATCATGAAGCTGAAAATGATGCAGAAGTCCCAATCAAAGATATGATTTTTGATCCAGAAGATCTGGCTAGTGATATAGAATTAAAATTAACCATTTTGGATATTTATAATTCAAGATTAACCACACGTGCGGAACGTAAACGTGTGATGATACTAAATTCATTATTGGATTATCGAAAGAATATAAGTGCAGATAAAAGAAAATCAAAGGAAGAGAAAGATTTATTAAAAAAGATAAATGCTTACATCCGTATCTTGTCACCAGAAGATTTCGAAACATTAACAAGGGATTTCTTAACGGAATTAAAATGTCGTCTTAGAATTCAACAATTACAAACCTGGAGGAAGAATGGTATAACCACTATTGAGGATGGTAATAAATTTGAAAAAGACAAATTAATCAGAACTGCCCATTATCAACGTATGGGAAATGGAGCTTTATCAGGAAGACATTCACAAACACCTGGACTTATGAATGGAACTAATGGACACCGCAAGCCGTATTCTAGTGCGAATTCACCTCAACCAGAATTTAAACCAAAGAGTCTTGGTGCTAGGGCTCCTTTGGATATTAGTCGTGCGGCTGACTTTGATTTGTTATCTAATCAAGAAAAACAATTATGCGCCACGTTAAGAATGTTGCCTAAACCCTATTTGGCAATAAAGAATCAATTAATGAAAGAAGCGGTTAAAAATAACGGTGTATTAAAGAAAAAGGATGCTAGACAAGCATTAAAGATTGATGTGAATAAAGCATCTAAAATATATGAATTTTTTGTGCAAATGGGATGGTGCTCGCAAGGGTAGACAGCAATATTACCACTATATAATATATACATATATATATAGCATGTGTTGATGATGATATACAAAAATGAACGATACGTATCTTTTTAAAGTTCGGTAGTTAAACTTACCATTTCTTCCATCATTTTTCTTATCTTCTGGATTTTCTCTAATAATTTTGTTTCATGAATTCCTAAATCAGCTGCATAAGAATTAACCAAAGAATTTAATACTTGAAACCGAATAAAGAATTTGTATCTATTCAACATTAATTGCTTCATAAGATGTGTTTTCTCATTCATAATTGAAGTAGCAGTTTCGCACCAATTTTGGAACGATAAATCTAGTGGGATATTATTCATCTTGGAAATTTCTACTAATTCAGAACTAGTATCTTCGGTCCCTGGAACGACTGCTGATAATGGACTATTGTTCAATCCAAATGGAGATCGATACAGGGTGTCTAAATTTGAGTCTTCGCCGACAGTTTGAGACCGTTTTAGCTGACGCAGCCCTTGTTCCTTCGGTTGTTCCTCAAGGATAGCGGGTTCAACAACAACGATGGAAGAGTCATAGTCTTGTACTTCTTGATTAGAAGTCAACATTTCCAGAGTCTGGTTCGTTTCTTGTGGAGTCTCATGCTTGACTTGATTGTGTTTCTTATGTTTCTTTGGAGGAGGTTGCGGTGGTGGTGTAGGTTGTTGGATTTCAGGTGGAGTGTTTTTATTTGAAACCCAAGAGGATCCATTTCCTGACTTTGTATACGATTGATTAGGAGTTTGAATGGAAGATTCGTTTTCATTGGAGACGGGGATTGGAACAAGATATTTACTAACATCAGAAACATGGATCTTAGCAGCAGCATTTGAACTTTTCTTGGCCCTACTTTTCTTAATGCCAGAGTGAGGTTGTGTTCTCTTTCTTGTGGGAGATGGGATCAGGACTATATATAGATCACTATCTGATGAATTGATAGGTCTCTGTTTAGACATTGTGTGGTTCTAGAAAATTTGAAAAATTTGGTGGATGGTTGCAAAACTTTTCAATTTTTTTTCTATCACTAATCTTTCTTTAGAATTTTTCATTAGAGACAAACCCAAAGAAAGAATAAACAACCAACAAATTAAAAGGTCTATTACACACAAGTATCAAGTGATAATCTACAATAAGCAAACTGTAGAAGTGGTTTTACTAAAGCCATATCAAACATCAATTGTTCAAGTTTGTTTCTTTCAAAGCTCTTGCTTACCTCCAACAGATTGCTTGTTAGGAAATCATTAAAATTGTTGACACTTCACCTTTCGAGGCAAACTCATTTTTTGACATATAGAAGAAGCTATTGGTTACCAATTGACTGTGCTTGCCTATTGTTCATGACGGAGATAATTAAATTCCAATTATAATTGAAAAACGATTTTTCCAGTTTTAATAAAATTCGGATTATGTAATCACCCGTTCTGCACATGAACAAAAAAATGAATGGAATTGCGTTATTAAAAAATAAAACATCTGATTTTTTTTTAGTTTTGCCCACAAAAGTTAACAATTGCAACAATTTAAAATTACTGTAGTACAAAAGCAATCATGTCGGTATAAGGAAAAAGAGGAGAAAATCCGGAAATCCATATGACTTTGACTCTTTATCAAACATGGGGACATTCCTTACAGTATAGTGAGTCATCATGCTGTCAATAATAATCTGAATTTGGACCCTGCGCAGGAACGTTCAGGTTTTAATGGTTATTACAAGTAAAAGAAAAAGAGCCATGGCGAAAGGATGTTTATACTTTGTTGATTTTCCTTAATGTTATAAGAAAAAAAAAAAATTCCATAAACATTTACAGCCATTTTGATCCCGATGAGCCAATTGCGAAATTTCAAGTGGACGTGGAGCTCCTATCCTTTCTTTTGAATTGTACTTGTCAGAAGTACGAGCTTTCTAGAACACTGCATCCGGGTTCATAAAACAAACCATTCCAGATTCAGTAGCAGTGCCAAAATCCCGTTTAAACTCTAAATGTCGCTCAATCACCCCACCCACAGAAGTGGGAAATAGAGTAAATGAATGTTTTGAGAATACAAAGATGTAACGGACAAGGAATGCTTTCTGTATGGTCTGGGCCCAAGGCTATTCGTATCCTGTTCCTAAAGTAGTACAAAATTCTTGGTCGTCTGATATGGAGATAGGTAAAACGTGCAAATAGAACCCCGAAGAAAATCTCTCCTCCCTCTCTCTCTCTCTCTCTCTCTTATTTTTCAAACTTGGCATTATAACATTATCAGGCAATTTTCCACAAACATTTAGAAAATCTTAAAACGCACAACCCGAATACACAAAAAAAAAAAAAACTTTAAATTTGAATTTAAAAATTGGGAAGCGTTAAAAATAAAAAATAAAAAATAAAATAAAAATCATTCAAATTCAATTCAAACTAAAAAACTTTTAATTTGGTTTCACTTTCTTTCTTCTTTCTTTAGCATTCAGTTTGTATATATAACAAAGTTTTAACTAAATGTCAACTTCTGAACAGAAACCACTGGAGTATTTGACCTTTCTTTCGAAACCTTCGGGTAGACATGAAGGCAAACAGCACATAATTATTGTTGGTGCAGGTATTATTGGTGTTTGTACGGCATATTATATAGTCAAACATCCCAAATTTGATCCTGAAAAACATCATATAACTATAGTTGAAAGTAAAAGAGTAGCAGGTGGGGCTAGTGGGAAAGCTGGGGGGTTATTGGCGTTATGGGCATTCCCAGAACAAATTGTTTCGTTGTCATTTGATTTACATCAACAATTATCAAATCAATATAATGGGGCAGAAGAATGGGGCTATAGAAGATTGACTACTGTTTCGTTAGAAGGTGATATTTCTCATTTGAAAGATGATATAGAGGAAGAAGAAGAAGGAGATGAGGATGGAAATGGAACTTTCGTTGAATTCACATATAAACAATCCGTACAACATGATAATGACTCTTCTTCTTCCACTAATGAGAAACCACCAAAGAAAACAGCACGTCGTTCATCCTCCGTATCAGGATCAGAAACAGTAAAGAATAAATTGCCAGAAAATTTGAACTGGATAAATTCGGCATTAATTGATAATTGTTCTACATTAGGTGGAACGGATACAACAGCACAAGTACATCCTTATAAATTTACAAATTTTATGCTTAAAGAAGCAGTTAAAGATTCAAAGGGAGCTCTTGAGTTAATACTTGGAAAAGTCAGTGAAATAACTTATTCATTAGAAACTGGTTCCGCGACTGGGATTAAATATCAACCAACATCAGTTAAAAGTGATGAAACTAATAAAACAATAGCATTAGAAGGTGATCAGATTGTATTATCCGTAGGTCCATGGACATCCAGAATCTTGCCAGATTGTCCAATTTCTGGATTACGTGCACATTCAATCACAATTGCTCCATTCAAAGATCAACCAGTGAGTCCATATGCAATTTTCACTGAATTTAAGACAGGTCCATATAATTATATTTCTCCAGAGATATATGCTCGACAAGACGAAGTATATGTATGTGGGGAGGGTGATTCTGCTGTAGATGTTCCAGAGACTACTGATGATGTGGAAGTTGTTAAATCAAAATGTGATGAATTATTTAAACAAGTTGGAAAAGTGTCACCAAATTTGAGAAAGGGTAAAATACTAAAGCGACAAGCATGTTACTTACCCGTATTGGATGTTCCATCTTCTAGTGGACCCTTGATTGGAGAAACAAATGTGTGCAATTTATACCTTGCTTCTGGACATTCGTGTTGGGGGATCAACAATGCTCCAGGAACAGGTAAGATTATGAGTGAGTTATTATTGGATGGTGATGTAACATCGGCGGATATTTCCAGTTTAGATCCTTCCTTATATTTTGATGCGAGTGTATTGGTGGATGAAGAGTATGAAGAAGAAATAGAAGTGGGACTTGATACTAACTTCGAAGAGAAGAGGGAACTTGATCCAAAGGTGGTTTCAGCTCAATCATAAAGAAGATGAAAGGAAATTTATATATAGTTTTAAATTTGTATAATTATGTTAGTTTCTGTCTATTTATAGAAAAATTTTAATGGAGATAAATGTTAATAAGTCTTCATCTTGTCAGTAGGTAGTATGACCCTTTTCTTATTGAGCTTTCTCTCCATAATTCGCTTCTTTAAATTATTTAAAAATGACAAAGTCTTCATCATAAATAAACTTACAATCATAACAAAGATTGTGGTTATCAACTTTTCATTCTTTGTCCAAAGTTCATAATCAAATAAATGAATCTCATCCTTTTTCTTATTTTGAATATATCTATCATTTGAATGTCTTGCATTATTCCAATCAGGTTCAACGGAATGAAATCTGTCATTCTTTTCAAATTCCCCAGAATTCTTGGGATCACTAAAAATATCATAGAAAATCTCAAACCTGTCTGGTGATTGCTCCATATGTATAGCTGGAACAGGATGAGTAATACCAGGTTCTGTAGAAGTTAAGATTATCGTATAGTGTGGAGATGGCACTTTTCGCATAATCTTTCTCAATAACTCGTCATGTTTCTGAATTTCATGACCCCTACCTTCTGTTGGCAAGTCCCCAAGATCAACCCTGATGACTCTCTTTCTAGTATCAAAATAATCAACTACTTCATCTTCACTTTCATGAAAGACATTAATAACTTCTGCTTCACAAGTCTTGATAATATAATTCTCAATATAATCAAGATCAAGCGTTCCTTCAATCCGAGGAATTCCAATCCCAGTTGATGCCATATAGGTATATTTCCTCAAGAAATACCAATTATCCTTTTCAAAACTAGTCAAATCTTGATATGTTAAGCCAGGTTGGTTAATAATTAAATATACATCTGACGAACATTGCGTTATCTCTCTTTTGATTAAATTTGTTACTGATGTAATATTATGAGGTTCTATATTTGATGACTTGATCTCTTGTCGTAAATTAGGTACCAATTTATGTGATAGAAGAAGAAGAGGGGCTAAACGTGCCGAGATGAACGGCAATATGAATGCAAGTAAAGTTACAATTGACGTCTTCTTCATTATTTGAAGTGATGATGATAAAGAAAGTAAAAGAATTGAGGCGAGTGGGCTTATGGGATTTTAGTACGGGAATTTGAAATTTTTTTGATGCCACTCGAATGAAGGCCGTATGGATTTTGTGTATAAAGGTGGGCTCTTCCCCCACCATTTTTTTTCGGTCGTTCCATCTCCCTCTCCCTAACTCTCTCCTTATCCCACTACAAGCATCCCCCCTTCATTCCAATGGCTTCTAAAGATATAACAAGAGCTTTGAAATATGCTCAAGAATTTGTTGACTTTGTCAATTTATCACCAACTCCTTATCATGCAGTATCTACTGTCAAATCTCATTTGAAAGCAGCTGGATTTTCAGAACTTCATGAACGTACCAATTGGCAAACTTCATCTACTAAACTCGAACGTGGAGGTAAATATTATGTCACTCGTAATGGATCTTCATTGATTGCTTTTACAATTGGACAGAAATTTGAAAATGGAAATGGTATCTCAGTGGTTGGTGCCCATACTGATTCTCCTTGTCTTCGTATCAAACCAATTTCCAATAAAACTTCAGAAGGATTTATTCAAGTAGGTGTAGAACAATATGGAGGATTGATTGCTCATTCTTGGTTTGATCGTGATTTGTCTATTGCTGGGAGAGTTTATGTCAATGAAAATGGAAATTTTGTTCCTAAACTTGTGAAAATTGATAAACCATTATTAAGAATTCCTACTTTGGCAATTCATTTAGATAGAGAAGTGAATACTAAATTTGAATTTAATAAGGAAACAAAATTGGTTCCTATTGCTGGTCAAGTAGCATTAGATAAAAATGAGCAAGCCAAAGAAGAGGAGGAAAAGAAGAAGGAATCAACAAGTTGTGCCGATGATCCAGATTTACAATTGTCTCCAGAACAATTCGAATCTATTCAAAATGTTATATCAAGACATAACCAATCCTTGATTGAATTAATCGCAAAAGAGCTCGGCGTAGAGACTACGCAAATTGAAGATTTTGAATTGGTATTATTTGATCATCAAAAATCTACAATTGGAGGTCTTAATGATGAATTCATCTTCTCACCAAGATTAGATAATTTAGTTTCCTGTTTCTGTGGAACTAGAGGTCTCATTGAATCAAGTGAAGACTTGTCACAACAAAGAGGTATTCAATTAATCTCATTATTTGATCATGAAGAAATTGGTAGTCGTTCCGCACAAGGTGCAGATTCTACATTCTTGCCTGATATTATTAAACGTTTGGCCAAATTTGATTTCAATGGAAATGGGAACGTCGATTACTTTTATGAAACCATGGCCAAATCATTCCTTTTATCTTCCGATATGGCACACGGTGTTCATCCAAACTATGGCGACAAGTACGAAGCCCAAAATAGACCAGAATTAAATAAAGGACCAGTGATTAAAATTAATGCTAATCAAAGATACGCTACCAATTCTCCTGGGATTGTTTTATTAAAGAAAGTTGCTGATCGTGCACAAGTTCCTTTACAATTGTTTGTGGTTAGAAATGATTCTCCTTGTGGATCTACTATTGGTCCTATTCTTTCTGCTAAATTAGGTATTAGAACTTTGGATTTAGGTAATCCGCAATTATCTATGCATTCTATTAGAGAAACTGGAGGTACTTTTGATATTGAAAAATTGTCTGATTTATTCAAATCATTCTTTGAAAATTATGCCGAGTTAGAAGAAAAGATTCTTTGTGATAAATTATAAGTATACTAAACTAATAAACATATATTTATACATTATACGTACAATACTCTAAACCTAATAAAGAGGTGGAAAGACATTCCTTGAAGAAAACCCAATAATATTCCCATGTGGATCATAATTACAAACAATATACCAAACATCCTGTAGATTTTCACACACTTTATAAGCGCATCCAACGGATGTGGTGCTATTCCAAACAATAGCAGTGAAATGATCATATACATTCTCAGTACCGTATTCATATTCCTCACCTTCAATATACCAAGTGTTCATAGCATCTAGTGGTGAATATCCAATTGCAAGATTCTCTCCATACATCCCCCCTGAGTGCTTTAACTTTCCAGTGCAAGCGTATTGTTCAGCATATGAAGCAGCAAAGTTGAAGACTTCATTTGACCAGCGGAGTGGTGCTACCCCATGGCGAGCTCGTTTCTTATTATGATCGGCTAACATTATATCAGAGAAGGTTTGATTCAAGATATAAGGACCGGTGTAGGAATAAATCTCTTGAGCTAACGGATCAGAGGGGTCTATTTCTGGTACATATTCCGGTACGGGCGTGGGTTGGGTGTTCAAACCGGTGATATAACTTGTTTCAAGAGTTGTTGGTGGGATGACCGCGACAACTACTTGTTCAACTATAGTTTTCGCATTTTGGACGTCGGTTGAGCTAATGTTGGGGTCTTCTGTTACGACTTCCTGTACGACAACAGTAGTTTCCTTTTCCGTGGGTTCTTGTGCTGGAGTATCTTGTTCATTTTGAGTTTCAACGTCAGTTTCAGATACTTGAGTTTCTTTAGGAGGATCCAATTGCTCCGAATCACTTGGTGCAACGGTTACCACAACTTGTTCAATAACTGTTTTAGCTTTCTTCTCCAGTTGCACTTCGGATGAAGAGGTAGTTGGTTCCTCTTGACTTGGTGTATGGGTGACTACAACCTGTTGAATCACTGTAGTTGGTCCTTTCTTATTTGAAGTCAGGGTGGTTGGCCCTTCTCCCTCTGGTTGTACTGTTTCTACAACGTATTGCACTATAGTTTTTGCTTTTTTGGTACTACTTTCAGATGGCGGGTCGATGGTGGATGATGAGGTTGGGGTAACAGTGACTACTGTTTCCACATAAACTGTCTTTGAAAGAACAACACTTGTCAAATAGAATAATAAGATTAATTTCAATTTCATCTTTGGTATTTCTGACCCTGTTGAAGAAAGAAAAAGTTGGGATGGGGGTATAAATAATTATTTGAAAGATAGTCTTCACTATAAATTTATACCGAGAATCAAAATTTATTTGCTGCAAATTTTTTTTTTTTCGCAATCAAAACTTTTTTGGTACAAATCTGAAACCATAATTTGTTAAAATATTGCAACCAACATGTTTCAACTTGGGGCGTGACATTATTATGGAATGTAACAAAGGAAGGATATGGGAACTTATAATGTAACGTTAATTAGGTACTTTAAGTGTATGCAAAGTTTACAGCGATACGGATTTCCGGGTCAGCTCCGAGCTTGCCGGCGAGCGACTCCTCTCTGAATCGATAGCCATTGCCAAGGGTAAGGCAAGTACTTCTCGCTATTTTACAATTTACTTTAACTTTCGAATAAAACATCTCAACATTAACCCAAATAATACTAACTGAAGAAGAAATAAATAAATATATCAATAAATATAACTAAAATCATTACAAGAAATTGTCAACGAAATTGTATTTGAATTTCTGCCATCTTGTCAAACTTTGAGCATATTCTTTCTCTTTTATTTCTTCCTCTGTCTGGATATATCTATCAGTAATGAAATCCATATCTTCACCTTTAACAAACTTATCTTTTCCTCTCTTCATAAAGATCCACCAAAAGATATAGGTGATTGGGAAGACAATCAATTCAAGATAACTTTGGAAGAAATCAGCAGTAACGAATGGAGATAAAGTAGACCAACCTTGAACTAGAATGATAAATCCTCCAAAAATGACAACAAACCATGGACCGTATGGATAAGTCCAGTTCTTGAACAAAATTTGTTTAGTCTTACCTTGTTTTGCCATTCCACGTCTGAATCTAATAGAAGTAACACCAATAAGCCACCAGGAAATAAGATTGGAAAGTCCAACAATGGATTGTAACCATGACCATAATTCACCGGCACCGACAAAAGCCAGTCCAAAACAAAGACCGGATAAAAACCAAGTGACAATTACAGCAACGTAGGGGACTTTAAATCTATTGACTTTGGTGAATATTTTTGGGAAATAACCTTGAGTACCTAAATTGAATGCTAATCTAGAACCAGCAAACAAGGCATGGTTACCTGCAGAAATGACAGAAGTCATAATAACTGCATTCATAAAACTACCAGCACCTTTAGCACCGACTCTTTGGAAAACAATGGTGAATGGAGAAGTAGCAACGGTCTTGGTCATTAAGTTAGGGTAATCATAAGGAACATTCATACCAATGAAAAATGCAGTAAAAACGTAAAAGATCATGATTCTCCAGAAAGTAGCCTTGATAGTTTTAGGAATAACCTTGACTGGATTGCGAGTTTCACCTGCAGTTAAAGAAACAGATTCTAAACCTCCCATAGCATAAGCGGCAGAAACAAAAAGAGAGCAGAAACCACGGAATCCATCCACGATTGGTGCATCACCGTGGCTCCAGTATTTAAACCCAATGTATTCGTGTGATTCATTCTTACCAACGTTACAAATAATGGACACAATAAAGAACATAACAATAGTGACAACTTTAAGTAAGGCCATCCAATATTCAGTCTCACCATATGCTCTAACGTGAATAACATTCAAGGATAACAAAAAGACCCAAAATATAAGTGAGATAATCCACCAGTGGAAATCAGTCCAATATTGAAAGATCAATTGCAAGGCGACTAAATCACCAGCAACGGAACAACAATCATTGAACCAATAGTTGACCAAAATGGCAAATCCTAGAGATTCGTTTCCGAATCTTTTGGCATATACTGTAAAGGAACCTGAGATTGGGAATTGCACCGACATTTCTCCAAGTGAAAGCATCATAAAGAAGACAACTAAACCGATAATCATATAATTTAATAATAAGGATAATGGTCCACCAGTGGCCAACATTTTACCGGTACCCAAATAAAGACCAGTACCAATGACACCAGCAATGGTGATCATATTAACATGTCTAGCAGATAATGCTCTGTTAAGTTCTTCTGTATGGACTATTTCTTGTGGATTAAGTTCAAGTGATGAATAGGATTCCAAATCTTGAATTTCATGATCAAGTGCGGTCTTGTTAGTCTCACCCGCAAGGTAAGCTTTGCTGTTAATAGATTCCAGCAGCATTTGTAAAGTATAATGATATTTAGCAAAAACTAGTTATTTCAAAAGAATAAAAGGGAAATATCAAATTAAATAAATTTTGAAAAATTTTGGAAGTTCTTTAGATCATATTATATATAATACAACAAAGAGAATAAATCTAAAAAAAAGAAATTGCCACCGATAACGCAAATTGTGTGAAAAGATGCCATAATTTAATGACCTTATTAGACCATTCATGCGCATCGCATCAGGAGGAGGCTGATAAATCAATAGGTTGCAAATACTCGAATGCCGTGCGTTTACTATGAAAGTAGCACCGTAAATGGGAATGCCAAAATTGCGAAATGTCACGTGCGCGGATTTAAGACAAAAGAAATAAATTGAATTTATTTTTTTATCGCATCGAATAAGAAAAGGGACCTGACAGAAAAAATAAAATTCTATTTTTTGAGCAACAGTTTTTATTCATTTATCCGTTGACACAAAAATATAATCAGGTTCAGAAGATGTAAAAATATATAGACAGGTAGCTAAAAAGAAATGCGCAAACCCGGAATCGAACCGGGGGCCCAACGATGGCAACGTTGGATTTTACCACTAAACCATTTGCGCTTTAAGATATCGATTTTGGAAATTTGACAGGTCTCTGTTTATATTTTTCCGAAAAAAAAAAATAATTTCTAAGAAAAAATATACGAGATCATATTTTTTCATCATAATTTTCTATGGAAGAATCAAATCCGGAAAATTGTCCCGCGCCAGAATTTTTTGATTCATAAATCCATCCCGAACCTTTAAATCTTTGAAAAGAAATGCAAAATTTTATCCCCTTAAGCTTCTTATTTGAATGCAACCTTCTGATTATTGTTCAAAGAGGGGAGATTTTTGCAATCTTTGAGAAAATGAATGACTAAGGTATCTGAACCCATTTTTGCAATTGGACGAGCCAATCAAGAATCATTGGTAGCTCTGAGGCAACCCTCTTGATTTCAGGAGAAGGTGAATTATCCCACAGATCTGTACCTCAAGGAAGTTTTGAGATAGAATGAAGACGTCTTGATTTAGTGTTCCGCTAACATCGTTGTATTCCAATCAAATAAAGTTTGGAAGAAAAATGTGTGATTCCGGGATTGGCAAGCCGTATCCATTGTTTTGTATAGTCTTATCTAAATCAATTGGGTAAATTCAAATAAATTGTCATCGCTTAGTCCTACTTAAATCTGGAGGTGTCAAATCGTTCCAATAAATTTTCATGTATCACTTGATGTACCCCGCCGCTTTGCATACCTGTGGTTGCATTTTTTTTTTTCATCCAAAACTGTGGCATCAAACTCTTTGAACGCCTGCCCCGGCCAATTTTTATTTCAAACAATACCATTTTCTTCTTCTACAGTCAACTCATTTATCCCAACAAAGAAATGTGGTAAACTTTGGAATAATACATTTGACGACCGCCTGAAACAATTTACACAATCAACTCAATACGATTCGTTAACACATTTAACGGCAAGGCTTAATAATAAATTTCCCGGAAGTGTTCTACCGTTGGAATTAAAATCAGAAATCTCCAATTATGGTAATGCGATCCAACTTCAAAAGTTCGCCATATTTAAAGTAAGTTTGGAAGAAGGATCCTCCGAGACACTCGATTATGTTATTTCGAGTATCTTCTGGTCAGAAAAAGACTAAAATCTTATTGTCTATCTTCAAGAGACTATCTGGAATGGGATACTTCAGAACAACACCAGTCTCTGGCTTCTTTTTTCGTTGTAAGCATACCTTGAAGGTGTCATGTTCTAAGTTCAACAAATAATTAGGAAAGCTAGCTAACCTCATGAACAATGATTCATGCTTGGTTGTGAATGAAAAGCTTGTCAAAAGTTGACCTTTCAAAATTAAAGAATGATGGTAAATTTATAAGATCTTGCGAAAAAGTCGAGGTGTAGTAACTGTCATATTCCCTGTTATCTCTCATTGGCACCATTTACGTACAGGTCATCTCGGATTTTGTAAATTAAGCAAGGGTTTGTAAGCAAATCTGTACGAGGAGGGATTGGGTTCCTATTACCTAAAACAGATTGTTTGGACTACTAGGAAATATATGCATGACAATAAAATGTAAAAGGAACAGTGTTCCAATAAGTCCGCTGTCAACACTGTATTACATTGCAAATCTAAGGAGGTTTACGAACTTGCTTGAGGAAGTATATGAGTGTTAGATCATTAATCCCCTAAAACCGCTTTTGAAAAACTCCTCTTTTCTGGAATTAATTAAACGGAATAAGAACTTTCGAAGGACTTCAAATCTCCCATTCTTACACTTTGCTTGATTTGGTCTTTGGGTTATATGGTTAATGACTTCTTGGTTGTTAGATTTTTTTTAACAACTCGAAAATTTTTCAAACATTTTTTCCAAAATTGCAACCAAAAAGAATGCAATTTTTTTTTTTTACATATACAATCTGTTTATTGAGTTCATATACATACTAACATACAGAAATATAACAAACAGAAAAACAATATACATTAAAGGCAAAAAGCATCATTGCCTAAAACCTTATTTCAGCAGCATCCTATAGATTAAGTGTGTAGGAGTAGTTGTTAAGACTCTTCGATGTGTACGATACCCATTTGCGAATGAATTGGACCGTGAGCTCAACGTTCCGGCCCCCTCCACGTCGAAATTTTTGAAACTTATAAAGGAGGGCGAGGTATCGATTTAGCTGCATTAATTGAAATGGTTGAAGGGAGGAATTGCAAATAAAGAGGCGTAGCCTCCTTGGTAGTGAGCGTGGACGGCAGAGTTGCCAAAGAATCTTAGTGACCCGACACTTTGTGTAGACATGATGGGTGTAATAGCGAAAACAACAACCACCCCTAAAATAAGATTCACAAGTCAAAAAGTAACAACAATGATATAATTCTTCTTACAGACCTCTGTACAATAAATATCACTTGAAAAACTATAGAAAATGTGGCAGGTTACGAATTCTCAAAAATTCAAATCACGTGAAAATCATGCGAAAGTCACGAGAAAATCACGTGAAATGAGTTAAGATCAAAAACCGGAGAGAAAAATTCAAAAAATTTGACAGTGTGGCCGAGTGGTTAAGGCGTCTGACTCGAATTTTCTCGTGCCATCAGTTGGGATTTTCCCGCGCAGGTTCGAATCCTGCTGCTGTCGAGATTTGTTATTTTTTGGATTTCTAGATGATTTTTTATATTTTTGATTTTGACATGAGGCTAGACATTGTAGTTGCAACATGTACTTCGTGTGGTGCATTTCAATTCTTTCAGCAGATGCCTGAAAATTCAAGGAAAAAGTGAGACAATCGCGATTGTATGCGAAACGCGAATTACTTCGAGGAACGCAGAAGGAATCTTGGAAGTAATGAGTCTACCTTCACTATAATCGTATAAGTCGTTTACAAAGTTAGGGAGCGTCTTTATTATTGTAGTCTGTCAATCACAAACCTTCATTTGAAATCATTTCATGCGGTCGCAAAATGTTGTGTATTATTTCCTAATTTGCAACCATTTTTTCCGTCATTTTTACAATTTCAAAGTATGGATTTGGAAATTGTAAGTATTCACATATCACCTATCCATGTCATTGTAAACAATGAAAGCATATAAAGCACAATCATGAAGGTGTTTGATTTAGTATATGCCTGTATTTTTACAATACATGGCGTTTTGCTGACCAATGTTTTGGCTGATCCAGCCATTGCTCCTACAATCACGCCAGTTTTAGGGCCGGAAGAGTGGCCAGAAGACAAGATACCAGCTGGAAGGGGTGCAGTTGCTGACAGCTTTCTTTATTCTATAGAGACTACTATCGTAGCTACAAACGCACGAGATGGTGACCAGTTATATAGTCTTGAACAACAAGGGAGCTCCAGATTCAACGGTTCACTCATTGCATCCATGATCAAAGGTTCCATTGAATTAGCAAATGAACGTGCTGCTAAGCACAAGGATCCAAAGGACAGGGACCACCGAGAAAGGGACCCATATGCGCCCTTCAACACTAGCTGCCCCGAGCATCCTTTGGTTCGGAATAGTGATGGGTTGAGCGAACATGAAAAGAAGTACATATCCGAAAGACGCAAAAAGACAAACGCAAATCTTTTAGAATTTCTCAAGAGAGCAAACCTTGATGACTTTGATCCTGAAGAGTTCATAAACCAGAATGTAGATTCTCATAGCATTACAATAGGACTAGCATTTAGTGGTGGTGGGTTTAGAGCAATGTTAAGTGGTGCGGGACAAATGATGGGTTTGGACGGAAGATATGAACCTGCCAATACTCAAGGCTTGGGTGGTTTACTCCAAAGCACAAGCTACATTTCTGGATTATCTGGGGGGAGTTGGTTGATTGGTCTGTTGGTTTTGGGCAACTGGATAGCAGTATCCGATATACTAGACGGGAAAATACCCATTTGGAACTTGCGAAATTCAATTCTTACTACTGAAGGAATAAATACAATACTTAATACAGCTCATTATCATAGGATAAAGACGTCCATAGAAGCAAAGGCGAAAGCTGGCTTCGTTACAACTATAACCGACATTTGGGGACGAGCTATTGCTCACCAACTTATACAAGGAGATAGCAGGGGTGTTACTTGGTCAAGCATCAGGGAACTAGAAACGTTCAAAAACCATGAAATTCCATTTCCTATTGTTTTAGCCAATGGAAGACATCCAGAAAGTTATACAATTAATGAAAATTCAACAATTTTCGAGATTACTCCATATGAGCTAGGAACTTGGGATCCGTCCCTTCATGCATTTACTGACATTGAGTACCTAGGGTCTTTATTCGGAGAAGGACAACAAGAAACTAGCAGGAAGTGTAGGAAAAACTTTGATAATGCCGGTTTTATAATGGGAACTTCATCTTCACTATTCAATCAGATGATTCTTTATGTTGATGATTACGATATTCCTTCAATAGCGAAACCCGCCGTTAAAGGAGTTCTCTCAATATTGAGTAATAAATCAGCGGATATTGCTGTATATGACCCAAATCCATTTTATGATTGGGAAGGAGCAGGCGAAATTACTATGGCTAAGCATGAAAGCCTATACTTAGTTGATGGGGGAGAAGATGGACAGAACGTTCCAATTTACCCTTTGATCCAACCTTCTAGAAAAGTTGATGTTATATTCACATTTGATAATTCAGCAGATACAAAACAATCATGGCCTAATGGATTTTCTCTAGTCGCAACATATCTTCGACAATTTTCCAAACAGGGGAAAGGAAAACCATTTCCTTTTGTTCCACATACTAGCACTTTTGAAAATGACAATCTAACCGAGAAACCAATATTCTTTGGATGTTATGCAGAGGAGCTATCCCCATTGGTATATTGGCATGACAGGCCAGTACTCAAAGAGACAGATATCCCATTAGTGATTGCAATATTTAACAGAGCGGTGTCCTACGAGTCTAATTTATCTACCATCAAGCTACAATACGCAGACCAAGAGAAGGAAGGAGTAATTATGAATGGGTTTGATATAGTCACTAGAAACAAACTTTCTGAAGATGAAGAATGGACTGCTTGTGTGGGGTGTGCAATCATAAGGAGACAACAAGAACGGTTAGGACATGAACAATCTAATCAATGTAAGGAATGTTTCGACAGGTATTGTTGGAAAGGAGGGATGAAGGATGCTGCAAATGCTCCTGAGGTTCATTTGGAAGAAATGTCTTCCCGTGCTGAAGAACCTTCCGAATCAGGAAATGCATCTGAAGAAAAATCCCAACCTACTAAAGAGAGTTTTGGAACTAGATTTCAACTCAGCTTATTCCATGTTGCAATCTTGATCTGTATTTCGCTATACTTCACAAAAATGATTTAATTATAGGTAATTAATTAATTTCTAAAATGTACAACTACTTAGAATATCCTTACAAATTGTATATAGAGAATGATTGTATCAAACAAAGTAATTTTCATAGAACCGTTATGCATTGAATCGAATGTAAGTATTATTTACGGGGAAACTGAATTGGATATCAAACTCATTTTATAAAATTTTCCGTTTGCAAATTTGCAGCCAGAAAAATTGTTCGTTTCATGCACAAAGTCGCACGATCCTGCATGAGAGTTTTCTCAGCCTCAAGAGAATATTTATTTAATATCAAGAGAATATTTAATCCAAATATATTTGCAGTCATTTATCTCTTGATATATGGTTATCAAATATGATAATCATTCTTGCTGGCTATAGTTTGTCTTGGTATGCTTTCTCCGTGAGGAGAACTACCTTGCTGGTTGTCTTAACTATGGTAATTGGATTCTCCTCTCCGGAAGACTTCATCCGGTAGAATACTCTTGTCTATGGTGAACATATGTCCTTGAGGAGAACTGTTATTCAGAGTGGAGAACTGTCCGTTCAGAGATAAGATATCCATGCCAGAGATAAGATATCCATGGATAAGTGGACTAACGGAAGGTGAATAAGTCACCGATTGGATGGATAAAAGATATCCAATTGATAGATAAGTCTTGTCATCGGATATCCTATTTTCCTAACTATGTATTAACTACGAGAAAACTATTTCCGTTAGGATTTATTATTGCTAGAGATTGTGGGGAACGAATATGAAAAGTTATAATCTAAGTGTTCAGAATCTACAGATTCTGAGTGCTGGAGAATAATATAAATAGTAGGTAAAATTCACTGCTATCAGGAATGTAAGGGAGGAGGGAAGGAATTTTACAAGTAGGATTTGTATAAAATATACATCATTTAAGATTTCACAAACAAAATAAATTTTACAATTTATAAGATTAGAAGTCAAATATGTCGTTAAAAGATCAAACTAAAGAACAAACTGAAGCTACTGCCGGTTTAGGTGAGTTGTCAATCGACGACATGGAAGTCGATGTCACGTCACCTATTGTCGTTACTGATGACAGTGATGGCGAAGACGATGATGGTATTTCTGATGGTTTTAAGTCCATTAAGGCTGAATCGATTAACGGGAGCAAGAATGTTCGTGCTGGTGTATCCGTTAGTCAAGGGTTAGATTGGGACTCTGTTCCCTTCTCTAACAGAAAGAGACTTGGTCCTCCTGGTCCACCACCTAGCTATCCAAGCAAGGATGAGTTAAAGGCTGCTGCTAGTGCTACACCTCAAGTGGACTTCACTAACTTTCAGTTAAGGTCCACATGGAAGAAAGAGATCAGGCAAAATATTTCCCTGACCTTTCAAAACTTTCAATTCAAGAAAGATAATCTTGCGTGTCAATCGGAAGCGGTTGATATTGGTGTTAAGATCTATGTTGGGATTAAAGATTAGTTCTTGGACCCTGAAAACTTTGTTTTCACCGAGAAAACCCAAATCCATAACATGGACATTATTAACGAAGGTAAGTCACTTTTGGAATTACAAGTCAATTGTCAATTCTTGAAACTCGTCGACGAACTTTTAACCGCAAGATTACTTGCTTTCGGTTCCCTTGCAACAAAGGTAACTAACAGAACCGGTATGGTGAGAATGAAAGACATTCTCAACTATATTGATAGAAGTACTGAACTCTCTTGTGAGACTATTGTTAAAGAGAGGATCGAAGAGTATATCAAATACTTAAGAAGGTTCGCAAACGAGTTTAGCTTTGGGTTGTGTGAGGCTGAGAACAACCAATGGTCTGCTACGAAAGCCATGGACAGTTTCCTCCTTAAATTAGACTTCAGAATCATTATAACTTATGATTACTTGAAGGAAGGTGCCAGCAGAGTTGCACTTTGCAGTATTCTTGGAAAGCAGTATGCTAAATGGTTGCTGATCCAAATACTTACCTGATTATGACCCCTGGTATGGTTGGGAAATTACTTTCGGCTGACAAAAATGTGTCTAGAACACCTACTGGCTCGATGTTCCGTGAAGACAATGTCAGAACAGAACTTAATCAAGTGACTACTGGTAGTCACAGCCGCCAAGGTACTGATCAAAAAGGGTTTCAACCAAGAAGAAACTTCAAATCATCGAAGCAACCAAATGATGGTAGTCGTGTTATGAAAAAGAGAAGAAACAGATTAAGAGGTAAGAAGAATAAAGCTGCTGTTGCTTCTAACCCTAACAACACTCCTGTTAGTAAGTTAGCGACTTCCCCAGACCATTAATGGTGGGGAGGTCATTGTTTAGATAGCAATGGCGTTGCCACATTATCCTTATATCGTCGTGTTCTTTTCTTTATGCTGATTAAGCTGAACATTACAATCAAAGAATTGGAAGATAAATGGTTAAGTTTGATTCTGGTGCATCAGTAAGCGTCGTTGGTTGTTCTCAGCCTCACACTACCCAAAGCTAAACTCGCTTGCGAACCTTCTTAAGTATTTGATATACTCTTCGATCCTCTCTTTAACAATAGTCTCACAAGAGAGTTCAGTACTTCTATCAATATAGTTGAGAATGTCTTTCATTCTCACCATACCGGTTCTGTTAGTTACCTTTGTTGCAAGGGAACCGAAAGCAAGTAATCTTGCGGTTAAAAGTTCGTCGACGAGTTTCAAGAATTGACAATTGACTTGTAATTCCAAAAGTGACTTACCTTCGTTAGTAATGTCCATGTTATGGAAAAATATTTCAAAGTCACGTGAGCATAATTTTTTTTTCACACGAAATTTTTTTTTCTTAGATGCAGACTAGCTCTTCTCAAAAATATAGAGATGAGCTTCAACAACCAAATTTCCTATACTCTTCACAGCCAACAACAAGAAGACACCGGAATTAAGACATAATGGTTAAATCATACGATCGATATGATCAAGAAAAATGTTTTGGAGTCATCACCTCCCAATCCAACATTCTCTGGCTCCCCCCATCCCCCACCCAATCCTCAACTTCGGCCGGACGTGCCATTACTTCAGCCCTTGAAGAAATCTTAATCTGGGATATCAAAACTGGAGAAATCATGTCTAGATTAAGAGATGGTTTGACACCGGGTGCATCGAATGCATCGACATCGATCCCTCCATCGCCAGTTTCATATTTGGCATATCATGATGTGAATAATATTGTGGCGGCGGGATATAATGATGGTTCGATCAAGGTTTGGGATTTAAGTTCCGGAAGTGTGATTATTACTTTCCAGGGACATAAATCGACAATTGCGGTTTTGAAATTTGATAGAAGTGGGACGAGATTGGTTTCGGGTGCCAATGATTCTTCGATAATTTTGTGGGATTTGGTAGGTGAAACGGGATTGTTTAAATTAAAAGGACATAAAGGGCCAATTAGTGGGTTGGAATTTTTGTCGGAGAAATATAGTGAAGAGAATGTTGATGAGATTGAAGATTATTTATTGAGTTGTTCTCGAGATGGGTTGATTAAATTATGGGAATTGAAATCTCAACAATGTATAGAAACTCATTTGGCTCATTCGAATGAATGTTGGTCGATGGGGATTAATGAGACTAAGGATTTGGTCATTACTAGTGGGAATAAGGATCAGGTTAAGGTATGGTCATTGGATATTCTGCTTGAAGATGGATCTAAGATTAGTGAACGTGGTGAATTTGCAAAAGTGAGTAAGAATAGAAGTAATGAGATTTTATTCAAGAATGTTAAAGTTAGTTCTACCCATCTTCAATTATTCTCGATTCAGAATGCAGATAGAACAATTGAGATATTTAGAGTTAGATCAGATGATGAAATCAAAAGAGGAATTGCAAAACGTACAAAAAGATTAAAAGATAAAGGATTAGATGAAGATGAAATCTTACAGTCCTTACAAGAATCAGAAGTCAGTATGTTAATAACTTCATTCACTACATTACGTACCATTGCAAAAATCAAATCATGTACTTGGACAACCAACGCCAAAAAACTCGATCTCTTAATCTCATTAACTAACAACAGTGCCGAATTTCATAATATCCCATTACCAGAACAACCAAAGAAAGCCCAAGCCACCGATTTATATTCCGTCAAACAACATTCACTTGATTTATTAGGTCATAGATTCGATATTCGTGCCATGGATATATCACCTGAAGACAATCGATTATTGGCTACTGCCTCAAACGGAGAATTAAAAGTCTGGAATCTTAAATCCTTCAATGTGATTAGAAGTTTTACTTTAGAAGGAGGATATGCATTATGTTGTAAATTTTTACCAGGGGGGACATTGATTGTAGTTGGGTTTAAGAATGGGGATTTGGAATTGTATGATTTGGCTACTTCTTCATTAGTTGATCGTGTTGAAAAAGCCCATCAGATTTCTGGAGTTGGGAAAGAAGAAGAAGAAACGGCTGCTATTTGGTCGCTTGATTTGACACCGGATGGGAAGACTTTGGTGACTGGTGGAAATGATAAATGTGTGAAATTTTGGAATTTTAAAGTTGAACAAGATGTTATACCCGGTACGGAAACTGTTGTATCTCAATTAAGATTTGTGCATACTCAAACTTTGGACTTGAATGAAGATGTATTATGTGTCAAGATTTCACCTGATGGGAAATATCTTGCAGTTTCATTATTAAATAATAATGTCCAAGTAGTTTTCTTTGATACTTTGAAACTTTTCCTTACATTATATGGTCATAAATTACCCGTATTATCAATTGACATATCCCTGGATTCCAAATTAATCATCACATCTTCCGCTGACAAAAATATCAAAATCTGGGGATTGGATTTCGGTGATTGTCATAAATCAATCTTTGCTCATCAAGATTCAATCATGAATGTAAAATTTATTGGAGATACTCATAACTTCTTCTCAAGTGGGAAAGATGGATTAATTAAATATTGGGATGGGGATAAATTCGAATGTATTCAGAAATTACCAGCCCATCAGAGTGAAGTTTGGTGTATGGCTATGAGTAGTGACGGATTGCTGATGGTATCTACTTCTCATGATCATTCTATTAGATTATGGCTGGCGACTGATGATCAAGTGTTTTTGGAAGAAGAAAAAGAAAAGGAATTGGATGAAATGTATGAGAATACATTATTGGATCAACTTGAAGGTGATGACGAACAAAGAAAGAGAACCGATGAAGATGAAGAAGAGACTGACGAAGTTACTAGAGTTTCTAAACAAACTATGGAAACTTTGAAAGCAGGTGAAAAGTTAATGGAAGCACTTGACATTGGAGTTGAAGATGTCGAGGCAGTTAAGGAATATGAATCGTTGGTAAAAGCTGGTAAACAAGCAGTTAAACCAACCCCAAATTCTATTTTACTTGCTTATAATATGACAGGAAGTGATTATGTTTTAAGTGTATTGACTAAAATCAGACCTGCTCAAATTGATGATGCATTATTAGTATTGCCATTCTCATATTCATTGAAGTTGTTACAATTTATTGAGATTTGGACTAATAAGACCAATATTAAAACCAATGTGGTCAATATGTCGTTGATTTGTAAAGTATTATTCTTTGTTATAAGTTCAAACGCCAAGGAATTGATTAATCAAAAGGATCCAGCAATTAAGAACCAATTAATTAAAGTCAAGCAACAATTAAGAGAAGGTTTACAGGAAACATGTCAACAATTAGGGGTTAATACTCAAGGATTGAAATTCGTTAAACAACAATGGAAATTAACTCATGAAACAGAATTTATAGATGAGAAGGAACAACGTGAGTATGAAGATAAGAAGGCGGTCAAGAGAAGCTATGTTACCATTTAAGGAAGAGAGAAGGGGGATATATATGTATATTAATAATAAACAATAAATAGAATTATTTTTGCAAATTAGTTTTTTTTGCAATCTTGTATTGGCTTTTTTTGCGGCCATTACATTTATAATTTTTCATTTTCTCGTATTTTTTTTTTAAAAAAATTTAAATTAACCGACCTGCGCATTACAATACCGAATCTGGTAATGAAAAAAAAATAATTATATATCGGCTAGAGAATATTTCCATACGATCGGAGAGAAAAGACGGCCCAAGGCTTATAGAAGATGTCGCATATATAGAATCGATTGCAAAAAGTATTAGAAGGTGAATATAGAAATGGGCAAATCAGAACAAATGAGAATGTTTCAGATTCACAATTGTAAGTGGGATTTTTGTTTTTGAATCTTCAATGTTACATCAGCGGCTAAAATCCTAAATAACCCTGTATGCAGCTTGGAGAATTGCTCACAACCTCATTTGTCAAAGATATTGGGAAGCTAAGTTTTGTAAAGATCAATGTTGATATAGACTTCTGTCTCAAATTAGAATTAACCATAATTTCTATGAAAAGAAGAAGTATTTAAAGATAGTATTTATTATCTGTTACCAATTGGTTATTTTTTCAATAACAATGGTAAATCTCTGTCTGTTACTAAGAGAGAAAAATTGAAAGATTTTTTGTGCGGCTGAGGAAAATAAATTGAGTGACACTAAAATACTTTTCATAATAAACACTGTGGCTTCTTCTAAAGGAGATACTAAATACTGTGCAACCAACTCGTATATAGACTATCCCTAATGCTATTTGATTGCTATATTAAATATATAATTTAATAGAATTAAAAAAATAGCAAAATTGGAATAGAAATTTAATAATTTTCGATTGTACACAAATTAAGATTTTAATTTTAATTACTAAAATAGTTTATCACTGTCAAAAAACAGTAAGAATTAATTTACCTCACACAAGATATCTTCTTCTTTTATTTGATTTAAAGATTTATTCTTCCATATTTATCCGAAAGAGAAGATAAGATCAGATCTCTTACTAATCATATTGTCCCACATCGATTCTAGACGTGAGGCTTACGGAAAGAGTGGGAAAGAGATTCCGTAGATGTTGATAGATAGATTGTATTTACTGTACAATGTAGAAAAGGAGGAGAAGAGAAACAACCGAAAAATAAAATTTTAAAAATTATTTTTATTTTTGTGTTAAATTCTTAATTTTAAAATTAATTTCATAAACTTCACACCACTCTCTCTCTGTTTTTGCTTCTCTCCCAATACCTTTAGTTTTGTAAGATCTTGATTTGAAAAACCTTCTATTCAATCTGAGAGACTAAATGCTCATATTTCTAATATACTCCCTTGACCTCATATAAGTAGGGTCAATTTTAAAAGTTAATTTTAAATTTAACTCTTACCACCTTAATTTAAAAAAAACACAACACAACGAAAAAAGATCATCCTCTTTTTTTTTTCTTTTTCTTTTGGGACTCACACGGTAACAATTTTTTGATTTTTCTATTTTTGGGGGAATTTTTAAACTTCTTTGTTCATTTTTTTATAATTCCCAATCAACCATCTTTTATTCAAATACTATAACTGTTACATATAGTATGAATAATCTCAACCAACCACCCCCTCCCCCTCAACCAGGCAACAACAACAACAATGCCAACAATAATTGGAACAGCAACAACAATTCTCAAAAGAGTTCCAATGAAGAACGTCAAAAAGTTGTTAGAATCATATTGGATACGTTGAATATGACCAATCCTAATTATGATCCACAACGATTAGCTCAAACTGCTCAGGATTTTGAAAAATATATTTATGAGAATGCTCCTACTAGAGATGATTACTTGAAAGCTATTAGACAAAAGGTCACTCAGTTGAGAAGTTCAACCCAACAACGGCAACAACAACAACAGCAGCAGCAGCAGCAACAACAACAACAAAGACAACAGGTTCAACAACCACCTCCACCTCAGGCACAGGTCCAACAACAACAACAGATGGGAAGAAATAACATGACTCCTAATCCCAATTCAATAAATGCTCAGAATCAGTTTTTGCAACAACAACAATCTCAAGCTAGAAATCAACCTCAATTACAACCTCGCCAGCCACAGCAACAACAGCAGCAGCAACAACAACAGCCACCTCCAGCGCAACAGCAACAGCAGATTCGAATGGGAAATATGCCTCAACAGAACCAACAGGGTGGTCAACTTCCAATTCAACTGCAACAACCCGGGCAAGCTGGTCAAGGTGGTCAACAACCAAGACCAAACCAGCAACAAGCGTTCAGTGCTCAAAACTCAAAATTGGTTGAAATGGTTAGAAATTCGGCAATTCCCCAACCATTACTTGCAAAAATCCCTAATTTACCTGCTGGTGTTACAACTTGGAATCAAGTATTTGCATGTATAAAAAAGAGAATAATTCCGCCTGAATCAATTCAATTAATTAAAGAAATTCATTCTACTCATGTACAATTAGCTTATCGTGAACAACAACAACAAAAAATGAATCAAATGCAACGATCTTTGAATGATAGTAATACTACAATTTCGGCTCCAACTAGTTTGAACACATCTATAAGTAAGACTAATAATGCTAATAATTTAGTGATGAATACAACAAATCCAAATTTTAATATTAATAATTTAACTCCACAACAAAGGGAGCAATTACTTCAAAGACAACGTACACTTCAACAACAACGAAACCAACAGCAACAACAGCAGCAGCAACAGCAGCAGCAACAGCAGCTGCAACAACCTAGAGTGCAGCAACCAGTTCCACAAGCTGCAGGAGGCCCATCACAAAGTCCCCAAATGATGCAAACGACAATTCAACAAAATCAACAACCTCCACAACAACAGCAAGTCCCACCTCAACAGCGTGGTCCTCCACCAGCACAACAACAAGATCAATCACAACCTCCTAAACCGCCTCAGTTTCAAATTACTCAACAGGATTATAACAGGTATGCAAATGAAGCAGTTGCTGTTTTGAATAAGTTGCAACAACAGAAGCAGATTGAAGGACCTATTGATCAAGGTATGAAGGAAAGTTTTATTAGAAAATACATTATTCATCAAAAGACATTACTTTGGAAACAACAAAATGGATTAGCTCCAGCTCCTCCTCAGAAAGTTGGTCAACAACCACAAGCACAACCTCAACAACCACCACCACCTCCACAACAACAACAGGTTCAACCTCCACAACAACAACAATCGATCCCACAACAGGTTCCACCCCAAGGGCAACTTCATCAACAACAATCTTCAATTCAAGGAATGCCGCAACAACTGCCAATGTTAACTAATATGAATACACCGATGTTGAAACCCAATACACAAGTAAATACTCTTTCTTCACCATTAATGGCTCAACGTGGCGTTATGAATACAAATGCCCAAGTAGCTGCACCAGGACCAGTTCTAGGACAAGGTCCCGGACCAGGACCAGGAGGAGCTCCTGCACAAGCAACAAACATTCCACCCGCTAATAGAAATAGACCATTATCAGGAACCGGTCCACCCCAACCAGGTGCCATTCCTCCCATAAATGAAGATTTTAAGATGAAGTTGAGACTGTTTACCGAAGAAGTTGCCCGTAGTAATGTTGTATTGAAGGATGTGACTGCATTACTTTCACCTCAGGATAAATTAGCTGTACGTGAATCAATGAATAGGATTCAAGAACAGTATGGAAGTGTGGATAGTATTATTACTTATTTCTTTTTGTTGACTAGGAATGCCGAGGGGACAAAGAGATTGATTCAGATGAAATATATGACGAAGAATATTTTGGATAATTTACATAGAGGGATTTATTTGGCAACTCCTGAATTATTAGAGAAGTTAAGAGGACAATATAGTAAGTATTTTGAATATGTTAAGGAACAATTTGCATTAAGAAAACAACAACAAGCGGCAGGACAACCTCAACAACAAGGAAGACAACAACCGCCACAACAACCACAACCGCAGCAACCAGGTAGACAAGTTCCTCCAGTAGGTCAACAACAGCCACCACCTCTTCCACAACAACAAGCGGCACCAATCAAGAGTCAGACGACACCATTCATGAACCAAAACCAACAAGTACAACCTCAAATGGGAATTCCACAGCCTATGCCACCAGCACAACAACAACAGCAGCAACAACCACCCCAACAGCAACAACAACAACAATTTAACAACTGGCCACCTGCTCCTGGACCCGTTGGAGGTATGGTTGCACAATCAAGCGGTGTTCCCAGACAGCAACAGAATATTGGCAGCAGTCCAATAGTTCCACAACAACCAATTCCACAACCACCACCACAACAAATGCCATTACAATCCCCCATCCCCACCTTTCAACAAATTCCAATCCCACAACAACAACAACAACAGCAGCCCCCACTCGTCAAACCACAAAAGGGAGCCGCTAAATCCACCGCAGGTGCCAAGAAAGCGGGACCAGGACGTAAACGGAAAAGCAGTTCTGCTGCCCCAACACCAGCAGTCATCGCAGCACCTACTCCCGCCACATTGGCAAATGCAATCAAGACCCCCAATAGTATCCCAACACCTCAAATCCCTCCCGGATCTCATTCAAATAAGAATACACCCCAAGCATCATCCAGTGTCCAATCACCACCCATTATTAGTCATGAGACTCCCGTATATAGTGCCGAGCATGAATTATTTGGTGGCATGGTGCAGATTGATTCTAAGACTGCTAGACGGAAGGAATTATTAGGTTCTGATCCTGAACAATTTTTCATGGCTGCTTTGGCGAATTTATTAGAAATTGATGAGAATAATGGTGGGGATAATAGTGGTAAGAAATTGGCGAAGTCTCCGTTGTCTCCATATGATAGTAATTGGGTCTGTAGTGTTAGACCAGGGGCGATTGTGAGTTCGTTTAGACAGGTGGAGCAGATTAGAGAGACTGTGGATCATGATATTATTGCTAAATGTGAGGAATTGGCTATTTCTCAGACTGGGCAGGGTCAGAATGGTGAGAAGAGGAGGTTGGAGGAAGATGATGATTTGGATATGTTGTTTAATGAAAAGAGAGTGAAGAGGGAAGAAGGTGAGGTGGATATGATGAATAATAGTGATAGGTTTATTTATGAACCGATTGGATTTGATGAGTGGAAACAATTTGTTGTTTCTTCTATCCAATGATGAACAGTTTATTACAGTTTTTTAGAGTATTTTTAGTTATTATTATTATTATTATTATTATTGTTATAAATATACAATTTTTTGCATTTTCTATTCATTTGCCTTAATAAAGTGATGTTGAATAATTTTTTTCATACAATCTGATGATAACCAAAAAAGAGAAACTTAATCTAATCAGATCGATTTTATTCCTCTTTTAAGAACACATTAAATACTATAAGATGACAGTTAAGTTTAAACCTGAAGATAAACAAATATCAGTTGCATTCGTATGCTTAGGAAACATGTATGTTTTCATTCTAACCAGCTCCCTCTTTTGAAAATGTTTGTAATACTAACAGATCTTTTAGTTGTCGTTCCCCAATGGCAGAAGCAGTATTCAAGCATAGAGTAAACGAACTCGGATATTCCCAATATTTCAAAAAGATCGATTCATTCGGCACAGCAGCCTATCATGTCGGCTCCAATCCTGATTCTCGTTCGGCAAAGACATGTCGAAAACATGGAGTCCCCGTTTCTCATTCTGCTCAACAAATCCATCATTCAGATTTTAAAAATTTCGATTATGTGATTGGAATGGATACTAGCAATTTATCCGATTTGAAATATATGAAACCTAGGGATTCAAAGACTGTGGTTGAGTTGTTTGGGAATTGGAATACTAAAGATAGTGGGTTTCAGAATATTGTTGATGATCCTTATTATGGAGGTATTGATGGGTTTGAATATAATTTCCGTCAAATTTGTCATTTTCTGGATGAATTTCTTAAGCGTGAGATCGGTTCTTTAGAATAGACTGTAATACAATACAGAGGAAATATAGAGTTAATAGTTAGATAGTTACAGTAATAAATTAGATGTGCGTAATTAATAGAATGGTCGTGTAAATTGTATCACGACGTTCTGGCAAAACGCATTTTCTCAGCAGCAAAGAAAATCGGAGCCTTTAAGAAGTTTGACAATTGTAAGACAAGGCCGAAGTATTAGACAAAAACAAATCAATACTTGCTTTACTTGACGTATCAAACGAGAGAAAGAAATGAGTGCCAGGAAACTACAACAGGAGTTTGATAAAACCAATAAGAAGATAGCTGAAGGGTTGTCAGTATTTGATGATATTTATCTTAAATTAACCACCACTGATATTTCTCTGCAAAAGGAAAAACTTGAAAGTGATTTAAAGAAAGAAATCAAGAAATTACAAAGACTGAGAGAGCAATTGAAGACATGGTTAGGTGATACTAGTATTAAGCTAGATAAAAATCTCTTACAAGAAAATAGGACCAAGATTGAACATGCCATGGATCAATTTAAAGATTTGGAGAAATCTCTGAAGATAAAACAATTCTCAAATGAAGGATTGGAATTACAAAGTCAAAGAACTAGATTCTCAAGATTTGGAGATGGAGATGATGCCAAAAGGAATGAATCAATGCAATATATTAGTGATGTTATTGAACAATTAAATCAACAGAATGAAACTTTGGAAGAAGAATTGGAATCGTTGGGAGGACAACTGAAAAGAGGAAAAGGTGGTTCGTATTCTGTTCAAAGTTCAATCGAGGATGTTAAATATAAGATTGATAGAAATAATACTCATGTTGAGAGATTGGAAGAAATATTGGATAGATTGGACACTGATCGATTAGATCCACTGAAAATTGATGATATTAAAGATGATTTGGATTATTATGTTGAGAACAATCAGGATGAAGACTATGTCGAATATGATGAGTTTTATGATCAATTAGAAATGGAGGATGACGACGTGGAAATACAAGGTTCATTAGCACAAATGGCAGCAGAAACAGCTGAAGAAGAAAGTAAAGAAGAAGCCGCTGTCGCTGCCGCTGCTGCTGCTGCGGCTGCCGCAGCATCAGTACCTCCTCCAGCTAAACCAGAAGTGAAACATACTCCTCCTAAACCAACTCCAGCTGGAATTAATGCATCAACTTCAAGTACACCAAATAAAAAGAAACCTTCTATTGTACCAGCACCTGCCCCACCTCCAATAACAGGATATTCTAGTGCCATTAAAGCTGCCCAGCAATCTTCCAAGAGTGCTTCATCAACCCCTAAGAATGCCCCTGCTACAATTGCAACCGCATCATCTAGTACTTCATCCACGCCCGCCAAGATGCCACCACCAGGTTTGAATCAACAATCACAAGCACCAAAATCACAATCTGTCTCACCTTTGATTAGTAAAGAAAAACTCCAAGAAGATGGCAATGACCAAGTAAGTGCCTCACAACTGCCAATAACTTCCAGCAGCAAAATATTTAAGGATGGAATTTCTCGAATCAATTCTATTGTTCAATCACGATTAAGTAATCCACTACCATTTCAAGAAATCAATAGTCTACTTGAGTCTTCATTACTAAATTGTCCTGATTCATTTGATGCCGAAAAACCAAGACAATATATTCCGGTGAATATTCATCCTTCACTGATGGATTATCCCCAAGAACCAATGTATGAATTAAATAGTGCCAATTACATGAAGAAATTTGATAATGATACGTTATTCTTTTGTTTTTATTATAGTCAAGGTGTTGATAATATAGCCAGATGGAATGCTGCTCAAGAATTATCCAAACGAGGTTGGATTTTTAATACAGAATTCAAACAATGGTTTTTGAAAGATAATAAGAGTGGATCTAAGAATAGATCAATGTCGGTTGTACAACGAGAAGAAGAACAAGATCTGGTAGATGGTAGAAATAATGAGGTCGAAGAAGCTAATTATAAGTATTTTGATTATGAAAAGACGTGGTTGACACGTAGAAGAGAAAATTATAAATTCTCCCAAGAACTTAGACAAACTTTCTAAATGTAATTATTATTTCATGTAACTGTAAGTAGATAGGGGTAGGCTATATAATTCGAAGTAATTAAATTCTTTGATGTACAGTATTAGTAAGTTAGAAAGTAGAGATCTGCCAGATCTTGAAGTATCGTAAGGAGGGAAACTCAGATCACCGCTTGGCATACGTCATGTTTAACAGTTTGCTTAGTTCATGTGTGTTCATATACTTCTTTTCTTCGCTTAGACTACCTATAAATGATAATAATAACCAAGAGTCTTGTATCAGATGTTTTAACGAGATTTCTTTGGTTGCAAGAAATGTTTTATTGTGTGTGTTTCAAGTGCGAACATCTGAAACATATTGTCGAGGTTTCATATGGAAATGTGACAATAGTCAACACAAATATTCTAGAGTTGTGAGAAGGACATGTTACACTATGAATCATTATGAATGATAATCCATTCATAAACCATAATAGCCAAAAATAAAGTTACCGGCTAAAAAGTTAAAAGCATAAAGTGTTTTTGTTTTTGAAAAGGTCTTTACAGCAGTTGGTTGCAAAAAAGTAAAAAAATAACTGTCCTTGTAGCCATGTTTAATTACACTTACTTAACCAAGAACCAATCAGGTCTATGTTTTATATTCTGATGTTTGATATTGTCCATGTGGTTGTAATTCTAGTTCTTTTCAGTTTCAAATGAACTGAATTGAAATTGTATTTTGTACAATTGTTGCTATGAGATCTACCCCTTGCGTTGTCAATACACACTTCCTCCTATTAGTATCATAATAGGATGATTCTCTACGAAAGGTGAATTGAAGCGTTGTTGTAAGAGACCGAAAGAGATTCCACATCACCAACTTGCAAAATACAAAATTCACCTCAAGCAGACAAGAAATAATGTAGACGTTTTAATGACTTCAAAAGTTTGTTGATCCAGATCAAAAAGTGGCCGATGACGATGACGATGATGAAGAAGAAGAATATAAAGATGACGAAGTTGTAAGTAATACAATCAAAGAACAATAAAGCTATTGATGATTATCTTTCAAATTTGGAAAGGGCTTTTTATGCGGTGGATCTTAAGTTTCTGTAATTAAGAAAACGAGCGCAAGTAATTTTGTAATTCGGTTACTACGTACAAATGAACGAAGATCCCAGATTTCCTCTAACAAAAATCAGTCGTCCAACTGATCCTATTAGTGTCATTTTTGTGTTTTTGTGTTGTAAAGGTCTTTGGAAAGGGGATGACGTAGTGAACTGGGAGTGAATGAGTGAGAGAGAGTCTAGATCATTTGTGGCCAGGTACAATCTAAACCAAACAATAAAAAAAATAGAAGGCGAGGTTTTAAATCAAAAAATATTTAAAAAATAAAAAAACTTAAAAAAAAAATCTTTTCGTGTATTAAAAAAAAAAAAAATGAATTAAATTAAAAAAAATGTCTCCTCCCTTTTTTTTTCTCTCTATTTATAAAATGTGAAACATTCTTCTCCTTCTTCTGCATTTTTAAACAAATCGATTTTCTTAGGGGTTTTCTTAAATCACAACATTTACTTTATTTATATATTAGATACTATTCCCACAAATCACGATCTAACACCAAAGCCAAAAACAACATCATCAGTATATTCCCCCCCAACTACCACCACCACCACAGATAATCATAAGTTATCATGCCACACGTAAATGCATTTGAATCAATACGGAGTCTACTACCACGAGATGACAGCACTTGTATAGACACTTCTACATGTCCTGTAGGAGTATGTCCCACATGTAAAGATGGTTTTGAATGTACACTAATAGCTCCTACTTGTTCGGACTGTCCCTACTATACATGTATTTCAGTTCTGCCAACCAGTCGTCAAATACCAGTTGGTGCAATAGTAGGAGGAGTTCTTGGTGGGTTAGCCTTAATAGCTATAGTTGGACTTATTGCATATTATTTCCTTATCTATAAGAAAAAATCAAAACTTCTGTTGGATTCAGTAGAAGAAGATTTAACAAGTGATGAAATTTCCTTATCAAAATTATCAGGTGGAGAAGTTGTTTCACCTACAGCTGTAAGTTTCAATCTGGGTAATGAACCGGGACTACATCCACCAAATACAAGAAAATCAGGTAATAAAAGAGCATCTGTATATGACTCATTCACAAAACCTGGCGCAATCAAAAATAAAGGTAGAAACGTACAAGCTGAACAAAGACGGGCAAGACAAGAACAAATCATCTCACAAGCTAATAGACAATTAAGACAACAACAAGGAAATAAAGTATATGGAGATTGGAATCGTAATTCAGTGGCAACCTCAATATCTACAACCAATGCATCGAATATATTACCTATTGCATATATCCCCGGTGTTACTGTGCGTCCAACTAAGAACAACACCCGTTCAGTCTATTCTTATGAAACAGACTCGGTATTTTCGGATTTGAATACTATTGAAAACGCGTCAATTATTGGTGATGTCGCAACCGCAAATAGAATGGCCTTGGAAACATCGCAAGGAGGAGCTCAAGCCACAATGACTGCAATCAAAGCACAACCTAAATTAGTCAATGTGGATAGGATTGACGAAGATGATGAATATGAGGATGATGACGATGACGATCTTCTCGATGACGATGACGATGAATACCAAGACATGCAAGAACGATTTGCGTCTTCTGATAAATTAGTAACACCAACAGCCGAATCATTCACTACTGCCAATAAAGAAATGATAATCAATCCAAATGAATCTGGACATGAAAGTGAAGATGATGATTCGGATGTGGATTCAGATATAGGTGAAATCACCCGTGCTACATCTGTAAAAAGAGAGAAACCAGTGCTTAGAAAAGTCCGTCCTCAATCAGGTGCTGCCGAAGAACAACAAGTCATAGTGGATATGAATCAACTGGGAATCCCATTGGAATTTCTTGATTCTAAAGATGAGGACACTCGTGGGTCATTTATATTTGATGTGGAATTTGATCATGAAAAACCACAGATGGGAGATCTGAAGTTACGGGAATCAACAAATGGTGCATCGAGTCCATTTGCTGACCCATAGGTTATGTTAGGTATTTTATTTTATTTTAGATGTGTAGAAATGTATGGATATTATTTTTGTTACGAACAGATAACAGTAATCATGTTCTTTTCGGATCTAGATACAAAAATCAGATCAAAGTCAAGAAAACCTCTCTCCGATAATGCTTACGTTATTTGCATTAGCAGCAGTATCATTAGAAATCTGCTTAAGCTGTTAGTGGCCTCTGGTAAGAATGTTCGAAGCAATTGTTGCAAGATCGACATGCCTGGTTGCCGTTGGCGAGATCTATACAACGAGAGCTTTGGACAAGTGAGGCACGGCCAATACTAAACCCAAACTCTCATTGTATCAATAGAGTGCTGACGGGGAGTAACCTGCTTGACTTGTTCCGAAATATTCGATCCCTGAAAGAACCAAGCAAGTCAGTCCTCGTCAACACTATTTATTAAATGGCAGCAATAAATACCAATTAAACTGGTAGCGCAGTCCCAATAAGTAAATGGAAATGCGAAAATCGGCTGCCAAGTTTTGACAAACTGCTGCAAAAAAAAAACCTTGTTGTAAGTTTACAGTGCCATAGTTTGGATTGATCCTCTATGAGGCTATCAGTATAACATTATAGCATAGAAATTAGACTGTGTCTATCATTTTACCAACCTCAACCCATTTGATGGCAATTTTTGATATTGTTGGCATTTGGCCAACGCTAATAGTTGTTGGAAAACTCTATGTAGGAAGCTTCATAACCTTCCATGAGTTAGGCATTAGTCAGAAGTCGGTTAATCTCAGATAATTACACAAATTGAAAGAATATACCAGATTGCAGAGCTTGATGATTGCTAAACTAGGTTCAATATGATGTTAAAATCATTCTACCGTGGATAGACAAAGTGCATTCAAAAACACAGCTAATCACAGGGAACATGCTGCCATACACCATTCGAGAACTACAAGACAATGATTGGACACAAAAAGGATACATACTTACATGTGTTAGACGTGGCAGAAGACGTTGGTTATTGTTCCTTTATCGGTGTTGGTTCCGACGTTTTCAATTGTTCCGGAAAAAATAAGCTTTTGAAGTCTTTCCGGTCAAAAATTTCATTTCTTCCATAATGAAGGTTTCATTTGGGAAGACAAGTCCGATACAGGAAGATCACCAATATTAGCGAGAATAATTATTGTACGCCACTCCATGAATAACACTTTTCCAATTAATTACCAATACAAAATTATTATACCTTTGTAAGTGGGGTAGATTACGAAAAAAAAAAAATCCGAAATTATTATTATGTGTGTGTTAATCACTTTGATTGTTCTATTCTTCAATTAATAATGCCTGAGAAAATTTCACAAAAACAAAAAAAACACGGAGGACCCAGGGCCCTAGTCACAATCATATTTTACTAGAGATTTAGAGAAGAAGATTCTCGACCCTTATCAATTTATGACATCTATATTAGTAAGCTCATCATATATTCAAGCCATATATCAGATCTAATCCTTACAAATCTGATTGAGAATAGAAACATTACAGAAACAGCCTTTTGTGTTAATGCCTCATCACTAAACACTGTTTTTGTATTTGTAAAATGTGGTTAATCTTTTCGTTTTATTCTTTTTAAAAACGTTGGGATGGAAGTTGAATCCTTAAGATATTTTTGTTGGCGGGGGATGAGGAAGGTGGAAATCTACATTCGAGGGTGCATTGGTATTGAAACAAATCACGTGACTCCCATACAAAAGACAACCGGAAGTACCCTCGACTTTGATGACAATTAAATTTTGAAAAATAAAAACGTTGGAATTTTTCTTTTTTAATTTTATTTTTTTAATTTTGTCCATTTCCGAAGAATTGTAAGCAAAAATCTCAAAATCACAAAATTTTTCACCAAAAAAAAACTACTGAGATCCCTGACCTTAATGTGTATAAATAAAGTTGAAAACTCCCGATTAATTGTTCATCATTTCAATCCAAAAAATTCTTTCTTTTTCTTTTCTTTTGTTCTTTAGCTTAATTTTTATTCTCTATTCAAACCAATTCCGTAACTCAATTGACATTCCGATTGAATCATTAAGGATTAAAATACCAAATACCCAATAGAAAATTTTAAATTTAAGAACTACATATACAAATATTCGAAAAATGTCTTCAATTGATCAAAAAGCTGTCAGCACTATCAGATTATTAGCTGTTGATGCCGTTGCCGCTGCCAACTCCGGTCATCCAGGTGCTCCATTAGGTTTAGCTCCTGCTGCCCATGTTCTTTGGTCTAACATGAAATTCAACCCAAGAGACACCAAATGGATTAACAGAGATAGATTTGTTTTATCTAACGGTCACGCTTGTGCTTTATTATACTCCTTATTAGTCCTTTTCAAATACGACTTAACCGTCGAAGACTTGAAGCAATTCAGACAATTAGGTTCCAAGACCCCAGGTCATCCAGAAGTCTTAGATGTTCCAGGTGTTGAAGTTACCACTGGTCCATTGGGTCAAGGTATTGCTAACGGTGTTGGTTTAGCCATTGCTCAAAAACAATTCGCTGCTACTTACAACAAGCCAGATATTACCATTTCTGACTCTTATACCTACGTTTTCATGGGTGATGGTTGTTTGATGGAAGGTGTTTCCGGTGAAGCTTCTTCTTTAGCTGGTCACTTGAAATTAAACAACTTGATTGCTTTCTGGGATGACAACAAGATCTCCATTGATGGTGATACCGAAGTTTCTTTCGATGAAGATGTCGTTGCTAGATACAGAGCTTACGGTTGGAACATTGTTGAAGTTGCTGATGCTAACACTGACTTACAAGCCATTTCTAACGCTATCGAAGAAGCTAAGAAATGTCAAGACAAGCCAACTTTAATCAGATTAGTCACCACTATTGGTTTCGGTTCTTTAGCTGCTGGTACACACGGTGTCCACGGTGCTCCATTAAAGGCTGATGATATCAAACAATTAAAGGCCAAATGGGGTTTCAACCCAGAAAAAAGCTTCGCTATCCCAGAAGAAGTTGAACAATTCTACGACTCTAAGATTGCTGAAAACCAAAAGGTCTACAGACAATGGCAAGCTACTTTCGAATCTTACAAGCAAAAGTATCCAAAGGAAGGTGCTGAACTCCAAAGAAGATTAGATGGTAAATTACCAGAAGGTTGGAAGGAAGCTTTACCAAGATTCACCCCACAAGACAAGGCTGTTGCCACCAGAAAGTTATCCGAAGGTGTCATTGAAGCCTTATCTCCAATCATTCCAGAATTCATTGGTGGTTCTGCTGATTTAACCCCATCTAACTTAACCAGAGCTACTGGTGCTGTTGATTTCCAACCTCCTTCTTCCGGTTTAGGTGACTACTCTGGTAGATACATCAGATACGGTGTTAGAGAACACGGTATGGGTGCCATCATGAACGGTATTGCCGCTTTCGGTGCTAACTACAAGAACTACGGTGGTACTTTCTTAAACTTCGTTTCTTACGCTGCTGGTGCCGTCAGATTATCTGCTTTATCTCACCACCCAATCACTTGGGTTGCTACCCACGATTCTATTGGTTTAGGTGAAGATGGTCCAACCCATCAACCTATTGAAACCTTAGCTCACTTCAGAGCTATGCCAAATGTTTCTGTTTGGAGACCAGCTGATGGTAATGAAACTTCTGCTGCTTACTTATCTGCCATTGAATCTACTTCCCATCCAACTATTATTGCTTTAACCAGACAAAACTTACCACAATTAGAAGGTTCTTCTATCGAAAATGCTTCAAAGGGTGGTTACACTCTTATCAAGCAAGATAAACCAGAAGTTATCATTGTTGCTTCCGGTTCCGAAGTTTCTATCTCTGTTGAAGCTGCTAAGAGATTAGAATCTGAAGGTGTTAAGGCTAATGTTGTTTCTATCCCAGATTTCTTCACTTTCGACAAACAATCCCTTGACTATAAATTATCTGTCTTACCAGATGGTGTCCCAATCATGTCTGTTGAAGTCATGTCTACTTACGGTTGGTCTAAATACTCCCATGAACAATTCGGTTTAAACAGATTCGGTGCTTCCGGTAAGGCTCCAGAAATTTACAAATACTTCGAATTCACTGCTGAAGGTGTTGCTGGCAGAGCTGCTAAGACTATCGAATTCTACAAGGGTAAGTCTGTCTTCTCTCCATTAAACACTGCTTTCTAAATTTGATTATTTATAGGATTTTGTATATGGATGTTCTTTTAGGTATTTTAATATTAAAAAAAATTTAATGATAATAAAAAACGTTTTAAATTGTAGTTTTTCTCTCTAGTTGGATCTGATTGAATGCATCATTCGTTTTAAATTTAGTTCGTCTCTCTGGATCTGATTGAATGCATCATTTATTGTATAAACATATAAAAATCAGAGAACAAAGTTGTTATAAACAAACCATAGAAAAGAGGATACATCTACTTAAAAGTCAGTCTACTTTGAGGTGTCAAGAACGTATCTACCCAAAATCTTTCCTTCTTCCATTAACTTGTAGACCCCTGGTAATTCACTTAAACCAACAATCTTGATTGGACACTTAACTAATCCACGGCAGAACATATCCATAGCTTCAAAGGTATCAGCTCTGTTTCCAACATATGAAGCTCTGACTTCGATAGTTCTAAAAACGGAATCAAAGACAGGAACATTAATTGAGGCATCTTGTGGTAAACCAACAAGGACAACTACACCCTTCTTTCTAACAAGTTCAACGGATTGTTGCATAGCAGCAGGGGAGACCGAAACGTTAATGATTGCATGGAGACCACCATCAGTAATCTTCTTAACTGCGGCAACGACATCCTTTTCAGCTTTAACATCAACATAAGCTTCTGCACCCATAGACTTGGCGAATTCTCCCTTTTCTGCTCCGACATCAAGACCGACAACTCTCATTCCCATAACTTTAGCGTACTGGACAGCAAGGGAACCTAAACCACCAGCAGCACCAGAAATACCGATCCAGTCACCTGCCTTACACCCAGAAGTCTTAATGGCTTTGTAAACAGTGACACCAGCACATAAAATTGGTGCAGCTCCTGCCAAATCAGTACCTGCTGGAATTCTGGCAGCTTGAACTGCATCTGCAGTAGCATATTGTTGGAATGAACCATCATGGGTATATCCTGATAATACTGCGTCATCACAATTTGGTTCATCAGTATGGTTACAGTATTGACAGTTTAAACAAGAACCATTCAACCACTTGACACCGGCATAATCACCAATTTTCCAACCTTTGACGTTTTCACCCATGGCTACGACAACACCGGCACCTTCATGACCACCAACTAATGGTAATTTGGTTGGTACTGGCCAGTCACCCTTCCATGCGTGTAAATCAGTGTGACAGACACCTGAGTATTTGACGTTGATCAATAATTCATGAGGAGCTGGTTTTGGGACTGGAATGTCCTTGTAAAGCAATGGACCACCGTTGGTTTCGAAAATAACAGCTTTTTGAGTTTTTGGGATAGACATTTTTGAAAATAAATAAAGTTTTTTAAGTTGTTTGTAGTTTCAAGATATGTGAGTTGATAGATCTTGGTTGATAACCAGAAAGTAAGATTGGAATTGAAACCATGGGAATCTACCTCCTTTTATATTGGAAATCTTCCTATGGTTAGAAGTGAGGAGAAGGGAGTTCATGCATCTTCTTTCAATTGGTGGAGTTTGGATTAAGGTTTTAGATGGTAATGTCTTAAACAATAGTTTAAGACAAGGAAAATTCTATCAATCAAAGAATAAACTAGTAATTTCTGCAACTCACTCGGACCTAGGAACAAACAACTCAAGGAAGATTTCATCAAAAGTCCGAGTCAACTTAATGTTCCATTCGATCGAGTTTAGAATCACCGATAAAAATAAATGGAGCGGGACAATCAATTGTGGCTCTAAAGCCCGCATGGTTTTGAAAGCTAATTTTTCAACGTGTCGCGGAAGTCTATTTCAATAATAAATTTCAATTTTCCCAGGGCTACTGGTGAACATGAATATTTTTCCTACGGCTATTGGTGAAAATGAATATTTACTCCAACAATTACTAACGATTGGCTCAAAATAACTTGGGCAATCTGTTCGTGTAACAAAATTCTTGTTTATTTAGCGCCAAGTATATTTGTGCCTGGTTCCCCAGATTTTTGATCGGGGGTTATAAGACAGGAGCGGTCTTAGGAGCGGGCCCCCACCAAAAAAAATAATCTCTCACTAATTTGCCCGAAACCTTACTTTTTTAAATTCAGGAGGGGATCTTAAGTCCTAATATAATTGTTTAATTAATTCCCCCTATTATTGACATAAAGCGAAATTGAGAAATATCGTATGATTGGACCAAGGCTTAATATTATTCGGCAAAGTGTCCCACTAGATAACAATTCCGCAATTCTTTGTTATTTATGAACGGGATTTGCTCTTTGCTCCACTTATAGTTGACTTTCGCCGGAATTGCGTAGTTTAAGAAAACATCCTCTTCATTAAACAGTTCACTTATAATCATCCAGTAACATACCAATCATTGACTCGGAGTATCCTTATGAAAATCGTTTTGACAGGAAAACCGTTCCGTGTTCGACAGTCCAGATCTCAAACACTGTGCTGCAAGATCAAGGAAGAAAATCCAAAATATATAAATAAACTTCAGTGAAAAGAAGATAACCACTAGGGTTCCGTTTCTCGCTTAATAATGAGATTTAATTCTGATTTGTAGGCAACACAATTTCTGACTAGATAAACAATAGAGTGGGACTCTCCCCCCTATCGATGGGATGTATTTGCTATACACAGAAACGTGTTCAGTATCCTTAAAACAACGCACCTAGACAAGTGTCTCAAGGCAGTCAATCACTAGTTTAATGTGGGGACTTTGGTCCAATTTAATCCAATCAGAAGATTGTATAGAAGTTGTTTCGAAAGAGTATTACAACACCAAGAGGATTTATTTCTTTAACATAGGAGTGTTATTGTATTGCTATATACTCCAACCTTCTTCAATTGTTAGCTATAAACTGGCTGCAAAAAAAGCGGTAAGAAATTAAACCACACCAAATCGGGCATCTAATCAGTTTACCTAGCTAAATCTACAACATATCTGCCCATAATCTTACCTTCTTCCATCAAGGAAAAGATTTCAGGCAATTCAGTTAAACCAGCCACTTTAATTGGACATTGAATTAAACCACGTGAGAACATATCAATAGCCTCTCTAGTATCCTTTCTATTTCCAACAGCAGAACCTCTGATCGTAATCGATCCAGCGACCGCTTGAAAAACAGAAACAGGAATGATTGCACCAGGTGGTAAACCAACAAGAACAACACTACCTTTAGGTCTAACAAGCAGGATAGATTGTTGCATTGCCTTTTCTGAAACTGAAACATTAATAACTGCATGAGCACCTCCTCCAGTCGCATTTCTAACAGCAGTAATTACATCTTTTTCTTTCATGAAATCGACATATACTTCCGCACCTAATGATTTCACAAATGCACCCTTTTCTTGTCCACAATCAATTCCAACAACTCTAAATCCCATGGCTTTGGCATATTGAATAGCAAGAGAACCCAATCCACCACCAGCACCGGAAACACAAACCCATTCACCCGCCTTTCTTTCAGCAGTTTTCAAAGCTTTGTAAGCAGTGACCCCAGCACACAAGATAGGTGCAACACTTGCCAAATCAACCCCTTGTGGGATTCTTGCAGCTTGAATAGCATCAGCAGTGGCATACTGTTGAAATGTTCCATCATGGGTATATCCCGAAATAACTTGTTTACCACAACATTGTTCATCTGTACTCTCACAATATTCACAAGTTAAACAAGTGCTATAGAGCCATTTAATACCTGCATGATCACCAATATTCCAACCTTCGACATTATCACCCATAGCGACGACTTCTCCAACTCCTTCGTGTCCACCGATTAATGGTAATTTGGTAGGTAATGTCCAATCTCCCTTCCAGGCGTGAAGGTCGGAATGACAAACTCCAGAATATTTCATCCGGAGTAAAAGATCATTTGGACCTGGTTCTGGGACCGGGACGTCTTTGTAAAGCAATGGCCCACCATGAGTTTCAAAAACAACGGCTTTTTGGGTTTCGGGAATATTCATGATGATTAAGGATAGTAAAGATTGAGTAGATTTATCTGAATAGTGAAATCTAACATTGAATATAGAGAAGGAGAATTTCTCGTCCCTTTATATACTTGGAGTTAAGACACCAGGATCAACCAGCCCCCTATATTCACGACATAATGGGGTAGATGTGTTGTTGATTGTTTTCTACCCCTCCAAATGCTTGCTGATCTTGTCAATAATTATATGAAAGTGCAACGAATTCTAGTTTTATTTAGTCTTCCTTTTACCACGATATATATTGGGTATACAACTTCTTGATATTGAATCAACCATGTCAATGTGCTCCCTACTAGACTTCTATGGTAAGTTCTTCAATCTTCTAGAGAAAAACTCTTTAGAATCCGGGGAAAAATGATAGAGATTCTTTGTTCAGGGAATTTAGTTTTCTTGCATTATAATCAGGGGTAAACACACGGAGAATTTTCAACGATATCCGCAGCACCAAACAATTGGTCAGTATGCTAGTTCGTGGACAGTTGAGCTTCCCTTGTGGAAACAATAGGGCAATGTTGAATTAGTTGTTTCTCAAAGGGGGTAAGTTTTTTTCCGATCTAAGCTTATATTGTTGATTCCAGAACAAGAGACAATATTTGCTTGGGGTCAGTTCTGGAAAGTTTGTTTTCGAGTTTTGAACTTTGATTTATAACCGAAGAACATCTTCCCCCAATAATATTCATGCCAGAATATTAGTAAGATTACTAATTTATTTGATCAAGGAACTACAAAAGAAGCCACGTCGCGGCCCAAGTCATACATATCGTTTTTCACATTAAACTCTATTAAATTTTCTTATCCAATCGTAATTAATTACAAAAAAAAACCTATACAAGTCTTCTAATAACCAAGTAATCTTGGGTCCCATTTATCATTCTGAATAAATTCAATCAAAGTTTTCGAACCCGTTTGTAATAAAGGATGACCACTGACAATAACCAAAAACTTTTCTAATCCTTGTCTACGTTTTTCAATATTCAAATCATTAAATTTATTAGAATTCAATAATATCTTCCCGGGTAATGGCGGAATAATGACCCGAGTAGTTTCTTGTTCTAATCTTTTCCTAAATGCTACAAAATCACTATATCTTCTTCTGACTCGACTATGTCTCTTTTTGAACGCTGGGATGTTTGTTCGACAAACAATTTCATAATCGGTATATAAATCTACTCCACCATATCCACCATGAGTTATGGGGTTTCGTACTTCTATTTCGAGGAAGTTTTCGGGTTCGCCGTATATTTCGTCAAATGATTGTTGTTTGTGTTTGGGGGGACTGGTGTTGATTATATCACTGATTGGTTGGAATGGTCTTGACATGGTTAATTTTCAATGTTGAAGTTAAAAAAATAAACTGTAAAATGCAAACTTGTATTACGGATATATCTTTTTCTATCTATTCTAATACTACTGCCTATGGTATCGCAGTCTTTATTTCGATAGATCGGCTTTCAAGAAGGATGGGTTTATATTGGTTGGAAGTTGGGGTTGTTGTCAAACCCATCCAGCCATCAATTTTTTTTGGTCATACTAAATTACTGATTGCCAATATGCAGGCACAAAAAATCTTGATGTATGATAGAATCGCCTTGGAATGTGGGTGAATTTTTTTGAAACCAATTCTCCTAACTGAGTTTAAAAAAGATTTGAAGATTTAACATGAGATAGAATAGTTTCAATAATAGATACCTAGATAAATGAATATTACCAAATGGCTCAAATGGCCAATACCTCTCACAGAAATAGATTCATTGAAATTGTCCGTTGGCTCATATTTCATTATTCTTCTGTCTTCAATACAAATACTCTTAGAGTGGAAGACCCAAAGATATCACATATTTGTGATTTAGTTAACGGTTCCCCCTTCTTTAAGTTGTAGAGAGCTACCAAGTATGGTTTTGTTCTTCCAATAGAATGTCATTAATTTATATTACTACTCTCACAAATATTATTTTTTAAGCAGATTTTAGCCGAATGGAACTAAAATGAAAAAAGAAACACAATAGGTACAATTCTGAAATTGGAATTGAAATTCTCAATCCCACCTTATGTTCAGTTAAATGTCAATTGAGAGCTGGGCAGCACAGGGAATTGACAGTAAATGAAGAAGCCAAAAGGAAGAATTGACGGATACAAACAGGGAGTGCACAATTTCCAATAGTTATTCTTGTATTTCATCTAATAAATACATAATCTGTATATTAACTTGAGCTCTAAACAATAAAAAACATTAATCTACATAACCATTAAACCAGCAATGATCACTCTCATAAAACTGTATCTCTTATTTAAAGATAAAAAAGGTTAATATCAGGAGCGTTATGCAATTTATTACTAACAGCTATCCAAGCATGTGGCCATCCAAAGAAAAAAGCCATCCCACCTGCCCAAACTCCGAGATATGGGACACGACTGGCAAATATTTTTCCATATGTTAATCTTGGAAGTTTATTAGCGGCTAATCTAATTGCGGTTGGATGCATTGTATGTGTGTGTATAGTTGGGATTATATAAGGAATTATGTAAAAATCTCTTATTGAAAGAAAAAGAAGAAAAAACCGAGAGATAGGATTGGGGGAATGGTGGGTATTTATATACAACGGGTTGCATTTCGTGTCAAAAGGGGGATTGAAAATTAAACTTTCATCCAAGAATGCATGGCAAAGTTCCACTGTGCGGGAATTTGAATTTTTGGGGATTCGTTAGGTTGCATTTCTAATAATCAGTCGATTTTCGAAGCCCAGAGCTGATGTGTTTTATTTTTTTTTCTTAAGTCTAAATTTGGGTGCAAATTCTAGAAGACAATAAAAAAAGTTTTGCGCAAATGGTTCGATTTTTTTTTGGTTCCGATTTAGTCCAACACGAACCCTACGAAATATAAATAGATTTTCCATTAAAACGAACTAATATCCACATAAACCCCATGGGATATTGAAAAGACTTTAATTAATTTAAGTAAGTCAATGCCTCATAAAGGGGGATTTGGATATTTTCCGGATGTGAATTATATTGGTATTGCTTACATGTAATAGTACAGTGGAGACTGAAATTTTAGAACGGCTGCATTTCAAAGTCCGACATCTTCCTTTCCATGGTTACGTATTTTTGTTTATTTTACGGAATCAAAGATTTTATAAAATAATTATCTGGCGATTTTTATGGAAGCTTTACATTGTAATAATACATAAACAATGGAAACCCATTGAGTCTTGTCAGGTCATATTTCATGTCAGTTCTGCAATCGTTGATATACTTTATGCTAATGAAAGGAACTTCCGTGGAGTTATTGCCGGTCGGGAAGAGCGAATATAGTAAAACCGGCTATAGGCATTTTTGTTAATAATTATAATAACGGAGTGAATACTCTTGTGTCGCTATTCTGTTAACGAATTAGTTGTATAGTTTTGAATCTGTACTGCTTTAATAAACAATTGTACTTTTCTTAACTAGATATTATATAATTTACTTATTCGTGAACCTAGTCACTTATAATGATAAATGTAATATAATATTAAATATAAAATATAAATAGTTGATTCGTTCGTGTTCTAAAAGAATATCTAAAGAATAAAGAAGTACGGAATATAATGTTGTTTATATATCACGAATCCCTTTTACTACGGCCACATTTATACGATTAACTACAAGATCAACTACAACTTAAATTTCAAAAATAATTTAACCTTAAATAAAACTATATATTTATAAAATTCTAAAACACAAAAAACGAAAAAACTGAAAAAAAACATTACATATATAAACAAAATCTCAGCTAGAGAAGAAAAGACTTACTCTAACTTTGTTTTTCCTTGTCCATCATTTCTTGTTGTAAGGCAAAAGTGTTTGCATTAATATCACCATCTTGAACCACAGCAACTCTCATGGTAGCCAATAAATTATGAGCAGCATTAGAATGAGCATAAACAGCCCCATTGAAAGCCTTGGTGGCATCTTTACCTAAAGAAGCTCTAACTAAAGCTTGACCACCTGGATGTTCTTTAATGAAGTTCTTAACATTATGAATTATACCAGAAACAATTAATAAACCTTCTTTCTTAGCTCTAGTATTAAATTCTTCTCTTGTCCAAACAGGTAAATTATCAACAGGAGTACCCCAATTTAATTTAGATTTCATTCTATCTAATTTCTTTTGTTGTTGTTGAATTAAACCTTGTTCAATTGCATTTTGAGAGAATTTCTTTAAATTCCAAGCTAATCCTAATTTTGATAAAATAAAAATAGCAATTTTAGTTGGATCATATTGGTACCATTTTAAAGCATTTCTATAATCAGATGGGAATTCATGATGGAAATTATGATAACCTTCACCAAAAGTGACAAAAGCAGTCAAGACATGATCACGAGGAGTTCTTCTATCATCAAATGGTTGAACACCAATCCAATGAGCTAAAGAATTAACACAGAAAGTAGCTTGTTGAATAAAGAAACATTTCAAAATACCAGCATAAATCAATCCACCATAATAATCACCCCATAATAATCCAGCAACAAGACTTGGGAAAATAAATCCCGAGAATAACATAATAGTTAAATAATGTCTATGTTGGAAAGTAACAACCCAATCAGCAGCTAAATCAGAAATATCAGCTCTGGCTCTATTCTTTGGATTTGGTTTAGTTAACATCCAACCCATATGAGAGAACCAGAAACCTCTTCTAGCATCATAAGGATCTCTTGAAGTATCAGTATATCTATGATGAATACGATGGGAATGACTCCACCATTTAATAGAACCTTCAATAGCACCGGCACCAAAAAAGGCAAAGAATAAACGAACTGGTAATGCAGCATCATAAGACTTATGAGAATATAAACGATGATAACCAGCAGTAATAGAAACACCACTGAAAACATACATCATAAATGCTAAACCCATGGTTTTTAATTGTGGAGGATTAAAAATTGCCGAATAAACACCAAAAGCAGGAATAGCACAAACTAATATGAAATTTAACCAATTAATATGTTGATAGAAATTTCCAATAGTCCAAGGTTGTTCAGAAATATGTTTCCTAGTGGCATATTTTTGTTTTTCTCGTTCATCTTTTTCTGCCAAAGTTTCCATTGAATCTTGAGTAATTTGTTCTGCAGTGACTTTAACCATATCAGCAGTACCCATTAATTTACCACCCAAACCAGCAGCCACAATTCTTGGGACTTTCTTGTTGGTACCTGCAGCAATAGCATTAAGGGCAGTAATGTCGACAGTATCTAATTGTTCAGACATTATTATGTGTTATGTGTAAACTTGTTGTAAAATATAAAAAAGCAAATAAAGATAAGTTGAAGATGATGTTGTAAAAATAGGTGGTAGTGTGTGTGTGTGTTTGTGGTTGGTGAGGTTTGAGATTTTATTTATTGATGGGTATTTGTTGAAAGGTGATGATCTAAAGGGATAAAGAATAACATGTAAAAATTTATAAAGAAAAGGAGAGAGATTAAATTAAATATTTATATTTAACAGTTTTTGAAAATTTTTATTAATTAAATTAATTAAAAAAATAATTTTTATTATTATGTGGTCCCAAAAAAAAAAAAAGAAATATCACTAACAAATTTGTTGGGTAGTTTCGTATTTTCAATATATGCAGGATGATCCAATAATCTAAATCTAACCACATTCCAATTCAATCAAACAAGATATGACGAAAGATTTCAACCAGAATTGAATAGCTATAATTACTGTATTAAGTAATTGGGATTCCTTGACTTTCCTAATCAGTATCTAAGTGGAAATGATAACCCCCTTGAACAGCAATCAATTGGTTTATCTTTTGCCTTCATCAATTATTTTTAATCAAATGAATTATTTTTTAGCTTAAATCCGCCATGCAACCTATTTCTTTCTTTTTGCAGTAAAATTTTCTTAGACCCTCGGAGATTATCGTTTTTGGTCCATTGTTTCTCCTTATGTCTCCCTTTGTCTCCTTTGTTTTTGTCTCTTGTATTGTCAACGGTTAAACTAAAAAAAAATGTTGAATAAAATTTATTAGCCATTTTTGACAATAAGTACACGACCTATAGATTCTGTACTATTATTTTTACCAACAATACAAAACAATGTACAATCAGTTGACAGGATGAATCAATTTCAGGCCGAAAGGAGACGGCTATTCCAGGGCGAGTCTATTGATTGCTTTGAGTTTCAACATTGCTTTTACTTTTAGAACATTCTTCTGGAATTTGTCAACAGTCGATTTTTTAGACAAATCGTTATGCATACCCAAACATTTTTCAATTATGATGGGTTTGCAATCATCGTTCCACTTTTTCTGTCAAAAATAAAGAAAACTAGCGAGTATACACTGAACGACCGATTTATAATGTTTCAAGTAAAATTTAAAATACCCAGCCCAACAAACAAGAATCGTGCTTTATTTCTAGCCAACAACATGGATTTCATTTCCAATTAGTCTTCCACCTGACTGTTGTTATTCGATCAAAGAGATCGACCCATGATTTTTTTTGGGAGGGCCATTGATGAGTTTATCCGAATTCTGGGGAAAATTATTACCGCCTCTCTTTCTCTCGATCGCCAAGAATAATAATTCACAAATATATCGATACTAAAATCATATTGCCGGGAATATGATGTAAGATGGTACACTCCTGAATGAGTATGGATTAGTTCAATTGAAGCTAAGGAATGACCATAGACCATCACCACGACCGTACGATTTTCTTCCGGCTAAGGAATCATGCCCAGGACTGGTCGATGGAAGGGAGGCTTTGAAAACTGATAATCAAGAAATTCAAAAAGACATCATCACAAGCCGACTCTGGGAATGAAGACCGAGGTCAAACCTCCTTCGATAAGATTTTGATTTTTTTGTTGGTTTTCTACTTACAGAAGAAAGAATGTCACCGGGGAATTTACCAAACTGTTGTGGCGGCATCATTTCGAGGAGGAGGGGGAGGGGAACGGGATGGGATTGACAAAAGGCGAATATCGGAGTTTTGGAATTCTTTGGAAAAGGATGGAGTGACATGCTGTATAAGCTCTTAATTCAGAAGTATTACCCGTTAATCAAGTCATTATAATTTCAAAATATAATTAACTAAAATATCCAACCCCCGGGTTTCTTCCTAATTGGATTCGATGCTAGATCTGACCTAGCTTTCGATTAGAAATGGGGCTATCATCGTTTTGCATCAACTGCCATGGACGAGGAGACACTAGTATAATCATCCTTTATTCTATGATTGCAATATGTTCCTATCTTTTATTGCTTAGTTCTGATAGGAACGATTTTTTACTATATAGAGGTTACTTTCTTTCGGGGGGTCTACTGCAGAGTTTTTCCAACTGTTTCTAGTTTATTAAGCATTGAAGTAAAATAAATGACTGCAAAAATTTCATTCTTTTTTTATAAATAAATGATCCAAAAAATTATTTATTAATTAATTATGCAATTTTTCATTAATTACGCAATTTAAAAAGTCATTCATTTTAATTTGTAGGTCGACTAAATTTTAATTTTTTTTTCGAATGGAATTTTGCAGCTAAAAATTAATTTAATTAAAACAGAATGTTAGTACTTCAGAGTTTAATATTAAGCAATTAGATTACGTATTCAATTTATATTATCTCATCAACTCGATCTATACATCTTACAAAATATCATTACCAATTTATAGGTTTTCCACTCCAGAATTCGAATATATTTCGATGAATTTTTCCCGGAGATTTAATAAAATTTTTTAATTTTGTTTAGGCAGGCGCATAGACCCCCCTAATTCTTCAGAATTATAGATTTAACAAACAGGGTATACATAGAGTGCATGGGAAGACGATGTCCATATATGTACAAATAAAGTACCGTTCTACAAAGTTCTAGTATGTAGTTCATAGATCGTTCCTGAAATCAGAATCTGTCGGCTATTCTTACTCTTTCCAAATGAAGGATGAGAACCCCAGAATTAAAGGGGATGGAAGTATTTTGCTAGAATATACTATCCAAACTCATCCCCTAATAGTTATTGGCAATTCCATCCATGTCTTCTAGGCAGCTTCAAGGGATAAACTATATATGCAATTGTTTAGAGTAGAGCGAACGAAACAATAGATATCCCCAGTCATTCAATTGCAATTATGGGCTTTTTCCTTTGTTACTTTGTGATGTGTAACCCCGGAGGACACAAAATATAAAGACTACAAAGTCAATCGAAATGAAAGAAGAAGAAGAAGAGCAATCAATATGCAGAGAAGCAATTGGAAACGATTCGAAGGTTTAAGAAAGAGAAGTTTAAAGCTGTATAAACCCTGTATATAAAACTCTATGGTCATAATAAGCTTATTTTTTTATTTGGAATGATTTTGTTAACTGATTTCTTTGTTAAACAAATTTGTGGATTTTTTTTTCTGCTTCTTCTCCTTTTCTTTCCACTGTTTCCTTCTTTGTCCTTCTTCTTCTTATTTCGGTCTTTAAGTCAGTCAATCTCTTTTTTTACCTCAAATCTTTAAAAATTCTCCCATTTTTTTTAATTTTTCTTTATTTTTAAACAACCAATTGATCATTTGGAGAATTTCAACCAATTAACCAATTAAAACAGCAAGCTTACTTCCGTTACTAGCAGGCAGTAACAATTTGTTAAACTTTCCCCCCTTTTTTTAAAAAAAACCAGTCTCCAGAAACTCATACTCACGAAGTTTATACAGTAACCTTCCATCACCCCCTCCAATCCCATCGTACCATATTCCCCCACGGTTACATACACACAAAATACTTCAACTGATTCTCCAGACTTTCAATTAAAACACAACATAAAAAAATTAGACAACTTTTTCCACATCCGTTTAATATTAATTTATAGATAGACATCCCCCCCCCACAAACCAAAAAGATAGATATAATGGTCAACCCTCCATTTCCAAGACAAACACCAAACTCACCCCATCCCCCTCATTCATCATCCTCCAATCATGGATCACCCTCAACTGCCCATTCCCAACTTCATCACCATGCCACTCGTAAACCTTCAATTGTAGAGTTATTAAGTTCACCACCTCCATTACCTAATGATCAAGATGATTCAATTCATCATTTGAGTTTATCAAGAAATACCTCAATTAGTTCAAGAAGTTCTTCTCATTTAGGACAACCCCCACCCCTTGCCCATCTAGGGTCAGGATCAGTTGTTGGGAGTACAGCAATAATGGATTGGGGTGAGATTCCATTGAGTGAATTAACTGAATCTAATAAATTGATTAGTATTAGTAGTTCAGATTCGGTTCAAAGTGCTTTTGAAACTTTATTATCTCATAATTTAACTTCTGTACCTGTATCTATAAATCAAGAAGATCCAACTGATTTAAGGAATTGTTTAACATTTGATTATAGTGATTTAAATACTTATTTATTATTGATTATGAATAAAATCCCATTATCTGAATTATCAATTGATGAAATTGGTTCACCAACTGATGATATTGAAAAGAAACATGAAATTATTATTCAAACTATAAATAAAGCCAAAAAGGGTGAAGAAGTCCCAGTTGAATTTATTATTAAATTACATCCCAAAAATCCATTTATAAAATTTACTGAATCTGATTTATTATCAATAGTGATGGAAACTTTAGGTAATGGAGTTCATAGAATTGCAATTACTGATGAGTCAGGCGATAAGATTACTGGTATTTTATCACAGAGAAGATTAATTAGATATATGTGGGAAAATGCCAGAAGATTTCCATCTCTTGATTTTTATTTAACTTCAACATTACAAGATTTAAAAATTGGTTCAAATAATCCAATTACAATCTATGAAGATCAATTATTAATTGAAGCATTATTAAAAATGTTTAATGAACGAGTTTCATCATTAGCAGTAATTGATAGAACAAGATCACTTGTTGGGAATATTTCAATTGTTGATGTTAAAAATGTAACCAGTTCAAAAAATTCCCATTTATTATTTAAATCAGTATTGAATTTCGTTAGTTATAATTTATCTCAAAAGGGGATTGAAGAAGGACAAGATCAATTCCCAATTTTCCATGTAGATCAACAAAGTTCATTAGGTAGAGTGATTGCAAAATTAGTAGCTACTCAATCTCATAGATTATGGATTGTTGATAGTCGGAAACCTTCCGGATCAGGTACTCCATCTTCTTCCACATCCACCACCAATAATAATCATAATACACCAGTTACTGTTGAAGGGACATTAACCGCATCAGAAAAGAATTCAATCCCAACCACCCCCACTGAACAATCTTATGGATTCCCCGGGAAATTGATTGGAGTAGTTTCTTTAACTGATATATTGGGCTTATTTGCCACGTCAAAGGGTAAGAAAACAGATCCTCAATTTGCAAGAAATCAAAGAAGAAGAAGTTCAAGTTCTACAACCAGATCATCAATTGATAGTGGCAGTGGTGGTGATGGGAGTACTAGTGTAAGAGTTCATGGTGATACTAGTGAGATTTTTAGGAAATCTTATTGTAAACATGAAAATGTGTTTTCTTCTAAAGATTGATGATGATTGATGGGTGCTTGTTTTTAAGTATATGTTTTTTTTTTTTGGTTTTAACCACTACGACTAGTATCTTATATAGTTCTTTTCATTATATTCTTTACTTTTGTTTATCCTTTTTATCTTAGTTTATAATTATTATTATTTAATATATAAATATATTATTATTACAAATAGAATGAAGTTTTTGCAACCAATGAGATCACTCAAGTAGACCTTGTATGACACCTTTTCTTTTCCAGGTAGTACTGGAACTGAGTAATATCAGGTAAGAATTTGATTCAAATGAGTCAATATTAACTAGTATGATTTCTTTTAGCTAAAAATATTCATCATGATAAGCGTAGGGCACTCAATTGTTGGATCATTACGTGGTTATAATAAATTAATTGCATGACACAAAACTAACGTGATTTTTCCTCACTATGTGCTGCTAGGGATATCGCAAAATGACTGCAAAAACCTCAATTCGATTTCATATCAGAGAGATATCCCCTTATCTGGAATCAGAACCCTTCGGAATGACTCTAGCAGTGTCCGTTCTCTAATGTTTACAATTTATCAAAAATGAGTCATCGATAACCGTGGTTGACAAGATGATGATTCAATTGCAGGGATTTTTGGTTGCCTGGCAGTACCTATACCTCAATTGACTCATATAAAGAACAAGCATCCAACTGTGAGTCATTTCGTTGTTTTGGTAGGCTGTCAATCAGTCATAGATGGCAAAATGACTGTCTGAAAGGTTGCTATGCTTTTGTTGGCTTTTGGCCACCCTGATGGTAGTCAGACATAATTGATTGTAGAAATAAAACACGAGAAATTTAGAAGCTTTTAAGAGGGTGATTAAATATCAATTGATATTATAAGATCTACAATTCCTATAAGGATTCCAACTGGGTTATATATAGTCGTATTCCTTAGCTTGAGTTGATTTTCAAGCTGGGGTTTTTTATAGTACACGTGCATATAATCAAAAAGTGTAAGTCATCGCAGAATTCAAAATTTTCTGTCTGTCTGTGAGGCGTTCCGATTAATTCCTGTTTTAGATCATATTTCAGACACTTTTTTCAAACAATGATAAGTGAAATGGAAATATATTGTCGGGCATTATTTTTAGTGTTATTTTTTCTTATGCTTTATATAATAAGTAGGAAGAGAAATCAGACATTTAGTTTTTCAATAAAAAGTCTGATCTGTCACTTTTAAGAGACTGTTGATGTGTGTATCTCTCTCTACTTCATACGTTAGCGGATTTCGATTCCCTATTTCAAATATCAATTGGGCTTGGAATTTACGTGACTTCATGAACCATTTGTTATTCTTGTAGTACCAAATTCCCCCCAAATGGTCACGAAGAGCCAAATTGATTTTCAAGTTTCTTTTTCTCTCTTTCTCTTTCCGTGATTTATGTCGGCTGGCAATTTTTTTGCGAAGAATGCGAAGAGTTGGGAGAAAAAGTTTTTCATCTGAAGGCAAATTTCCGACACAAAAGTTAAATAGAAGTTTGTAATCAGTATCAGCAGACCCTCTCAAACGAAAGTTAGACGATGTGTGTACACGATCAAGATACAATTGATATGAGGCTGGTTAGATATAGAGATAATATAATGGATCATCTCTTGATCAGATAATCAAAATGGATAATTAAAAAATGTCAGCCAGCTTCCAAAATGGAATTGTTCAATTTTAACATTAAGTAAAATAAAATAAAAAAAAAAAAAGTTTTTTTCAGACATTTTTTCAGACATTTTTTTGTTTAAAATTTTCAAAAATTATAAATAACTCAATCACATCCCCCTTTTTCAACTCAAACGAAAATTTTTACTTTTTTCTTTCTTCTTCTTCTTCTTCTTCTTTTCCTTTCTTCTTCACATCACATATAATCTATCAATCATGGGTAAAGAAAAAACTCACGTTAACGTCGTTGTTATTGGTCACGTCGATTCTG